AGCCCTGACCCGCAGAAACCAGGGGACACTCCATGTTGGTGGCTGATGCTTTGTCACACAGTCACAGGGAACTAGCACAGAGCGCATGCCCCAGGGGACGCACATTTCATTCATTCAACAAGCACCAAAGAGCTACTAAGCACCAGGCGTGTTGTGGGAGCCGATGTAACACACCTTACCAGGTTTTACATAGTTACTTTCTGAGTAGGTAACACAGAAACATGGTTTCAAATTCTAAAGGGACAACAGGGGACAGAGAGAAAAGTCCCCACAGACCCTCAACTCCCTGGCCACGGCTTAACTGACCTGTTCCCAATGTGTACGCCCAGGAAGACTTGACACACGTACAACCAGACGCACGCACGCAGGCTCACACACCAGCGGGCTACTTCCTCTTCTCCCGTAACCACGCATCGTAAAGAACACTCTACGTCCGCGTGTGGAGAATTTCAGCGTTTCTCATGGCTGTACTGAATGCCGTTATATGAATGTCCTCTTACACATAACAACCTGTCCCGTCGATAACCTTCAGGGAATTTCCAACCATTCGCTGTTACCAACAACGGAGCAATAAATAACCTCCCCTGTATACGCCGCCCTCCAGGGCACATTTCTAAAATTGGGTCCAAAATAGGCCGATGTATAACTTTGATAGGAACTGCCCAGCCGCTGGGGCGACGGTGTGACCAGGGAGAGCTCAGGATTCACATGGCCATCAGCTCGAGACCGCCAGCTTCCCCCAAACTGACAGTGTCTTTGCGTTGGCCACGCTGATCGGGGGGATGGTGTCTCAGCGAGGCCTGCAGCTCCCCTCCTGGATTATACTGCTGAGGGTCTACTGACATGTTTAGTAGCTGCTGACATGGCGACATGTGTGCTGTGAAAAATAATCCCCGCGCACTGAACGAACGCACACGTCTGGCTGCCGAGGGAGGGCTGTGGGTGAGAGGAGTGGGCGCAGGGAGCCAGACGAGGTGGGGGAGAGCAGCAGATGGACAGAGCGATTGGTAAGCCGAAACAAAGAGGCCTCTGTGACGGCCGTGTGAGTGCGTGTGTGTGCACTCACACACTTGGGTGGTCGCCGGCGGAGCAGAGGCTGCATCGGGATTCAACCTCATCTCCAGCTTGTGCAACTTGGGGAAAGACGGGGACCTTCACTGAGGCAGGTGTGTGGGCAAAGAGCACACGTTTCCCGCTGTTGCCACAACAACACGAACTTCCTGCATTTACTATACACTGCGCCTTACTCCTCCACCTGCGCGGAGTCTTACATTGTTAACACATATTTGGGATTTCACATATTTAAGACGCCAAGCCAGTGAATCAGGTATGCGCAGAGCAGGGTCAGGCCCCGTGTACGAAACATGGCCCAGCCCTCAGCTCTCAGGTCTCCACAGTGTGCCGAGGGCCCGTGTGCAGGAGGAGAGGTGGGGGAGGCTGCGGGCGCCTGGAGCCGGGTTCTGGCCTGGGCGCAGCCACTTCAATAACTTCCTCAAATGATACCGGTGGACAGGGCTCCCCGAAAACAGCTTCCTCCCACAGGGCCTATGAAGACAGTTGAGGTCCCTGAACTTCAACTTCTTGCTTCCAAGCAGCCTTCTCACCCAAGGTGTGCAACAATAATGTTCTCGGGGCGGCGGCATGGGCTCCCATCCAGTTCTGAGTCCGTGATTTTAGGTGGAGGAGGCAGTAACAGCCAATGGGGGGTGCAGTGCGCAATTTTTAGTTATATTTATGTACCTTTCCTTGAAGAAAAAAAGAACATCACCACCGCCAAATACCGACCACGTCAGACAGATGCCCCTGTGACTGCCTGTGTCGTTTCTCACCCCATGCCCCCCAGGTTCCCAGGTCAGTCAGTCAGTCAGTCAGGCCCTGGCTTTGATGCTCCAAAGGCCAAGGTCTGGGTACAACACAGAAAGGGAGCAGCAGTCCCCCGGTCTCTGCCTAGGGCGGTGACTCTGACATTGTGTCCCCCCCACCAGCCGCAGTGGCACCACCTGGTCCCTGCTTGGAGAGGAAAATTCCCAGGTGTCACCCTGGAGCTGCAGACTCCAAAGCTCTCAGGAGCAGGGCCCAGAAATCTGGACTGTGCCCCTCCCGGGTGATTCTGACATACGGGCTCCTTACTTGTGACGAGGAAGCTGTTGAGGACACTTCCTTTGCTTTGTGGGAACTTAAGGGGAACTTCTCTCACGTCTCACTGCTCGTCTTAGACTACGGGCGAGGCTTTATCTTCTAGAACCCACGAAAGTTGTAGCTGGTTGCGATCTTGGGTTGTCCGGCTGCTCACGAGACCAGACACAAACACCGGCCGGCCTACGGGAACTGCGTAGGAACGGATGAGGGGTTCCGCTACGACCGTGCCCTGAACTTCCAGGTGCCGTGCCTTTTAAAATCTCTTTCTCTCTGTTGCCATACATGCAGCCTGTAACGTACGTACAAGTACAGTGCTGCCCTCAAACGGGGCACTGTTGTAGAGATGCATTCAGAACCCGAAGAAAGTGAAAGGTTCAAGTTCATCTTCCCAGGGCCTTTTGCTGCTATTGCATCAAGCAGGCTCGTGACAGTGGGTACCGACTGAGCCGACCACCCCGTGCCGACAAGCACAGAAGTGGCATTTACACTGGGCCGCCCCCCAGCCCAGCGGCTCAGACGCCGACCTGGGCACACGCAAGTGCTCCTCTCACAGGAACAAACCCACGGTAACCAAACCCAGAGAGACGGACACGCACGCCGGAACTGCAGAGCATTCACTCAGCGTGGCAAGTGCCTCCATGCTGGCCTGACAGACCTGTCTGACGACAAGGAGAGCTCACTTCCCACGCAGCAGCGGGAACGGACCGGCCCCAGGACCCAGCACGCACGGCCGTGGGGGTGCGGCCGACTCTGGGACGGGGCCCAGGCTCTGCCCACTCAGCTCCCTGGGCACCCCATCTCGCTACTCCCGATCCATCATCCTCGTCCTGTTCACGGCCTTGCTGCAAACAGTTAAGCTCCTCCCTAGTACGTTCCATTCCCGTTCCCGTTCTCCACTCGGAGCCCCCTCTCCATTCTGTTCACCTGGATGGGAGTGTGGGGACCACTGCCCCGCCGCGCATCTGAGCCCGCCTCCTGCTTCATCCCCTGGAAGGGCCTCCCGCCACGTCCGCCTGTGGGCTTTGCTCGCATGCCTGGCAAAGGGAAGCCCTTTTCTCCTTATCTCCAGTCCTCAGAAGGATTTCTTGGCATTTCTCTCAGTAAAAAAACGCGGCAGCCTCCCTCTCTCACAAAACCCAATTCTCTCCATGTATTAAAGTGTAGAATATATTTTGGCTTCTTAACAACTACGATTTGAATTAAAACCAAGAGGAAGCTTTCTGTATAGAATATACATACAGCCCTGGCTGTTGTAGCTCAGTGGATTGAGCCTGGGCTGCGAACCAAAGGGTTGGCAGTTCAATTCCCAATTGGGGCACATGCCTGGGTTGCAGGCCAGGTCCCAAGTGGGGGCCACATGAGAGACAACCACACATGGATGTTTCTCTCCTCTTTCTCCCTCCCTTCCCCTCTCTCTAAAATAAATAAGTAAAATCTTTTTAAAAAAGGAATGTGCTTATAGAAGCAAAATACTTGCCCGACTGGGAACTAACAGCCATCCTGGCTTTGAACTCAGCGGGTGGTGCCATCCACATTCACACCCTGTGGATTCTGGGAACCCAGTGTCACACCTGTGGGTCACCTGGAGTCACGGAAACCTGTCGTCAATGTCACCGGTAGCTGACTATCGTCATTTGATGGAAGAGGACACACAAGGCCATAAAAACTCTCAGTTCATCCTGATTTTAGGGCTGTTTAACAGCCCTGAGAACGGCAGAACACGTTGGCGGAGAAACACGGAAACATAAAATCTACTCTCCTACCCTGGACTCCAAGATTACTTTTTAAAGATTACTTTTTAAGACGCCACCTTCCCGTCCGCTGGAAGACCGCTTCCCGTCCCGTTCTCGTCCTGCTGCACGCGCGCCGGCCCCCACTCTGCGCCCACTGCCGCTGTGAACACAGCAAAGAACCCTGGGTTTAGACACTGGGAGAAGAGCAGATCCAGAGTCTGGGCCCGAACAGGGACGGGTCCCCCTAAAACATGGACTGTCTCTTCCGTGGAAGCAGAGGTAGCGAGGTGAACAGTTTGGGGAGGTCAGGCAGAAGTGGGTTGTTGTCCGAGCTAGTTCCCCACTCCTAAAGTGGGGTGAGTATTAGTGTCCAATCTCACTGATGGGTTGAGTTTAAAATGCGCGGCACAGCCCTGGCCGGGTGGCTCAGCCGCTCCCATAGCAACAAGCTCGATGTGTACACACCTACTCATCCACTTGACATCCAACCCCCCGTGAATTTAAGATGTTAAGCACTTTCCCATGCACTATGCATTCTGTACACCCAGCCATCTGCAATTCTTCCAATCATTCAGTACTTGTTTCTATCATATTTTAAAGTCTGACCAAAGACCTGATGGGCTCCTAAGCCCATCCTCTGAGAGCTATATTCCTCTCCCTTTCCTTTTCAACTTGTTCATGTGTTTTTGTGGGTATTTACTCTTACTTCCCAAAGTTGTTTTCCCAGCTGGACCATAAGCTGCTCGGCAATGGGTTCTATTTACTCTGAATATCCCTTCGGGACGGGTCGTGTTCTGGCACCTGAATGATAGCTAACTCTGCAAGGTCACTGCCTCTCTGTGTCTGCTGCCTTTAAAAAGAATTCCGCTATCTATGCAACCCACAGATGATGGGGCACATCCCCTACAACGCTTCCTATCTGTGCATCTCGTGCTTTCCGCCCCGAACGCCTGCCCTGCGGAACTTGTGAACAACTGTTCCAGAACAGCGAGGCTTTTGGGGTCCTGACCCTCTGTGCACCCATCCCGCCTCATTCCCTCTCTCTCTCTCACTCACTCACACACACACACACACACACACACACACACGCACGCACACCCTTTCACACCGCCAATGTTCTGTCCATAATTACCCCATCCTAAAAGAGGAATAATTTATTACTATGAACATGATTTTGAGCAGTATTCCCCAAGTATTAAGTAATCAAAAGTTTCTCCAAATTAGGAGACAGCCCAAAGTGATTAACAAATATATATGTGGATATACAGGTGGACACATAAATAATTTTTGAATCCCTTTCTGTGACTTCGTTTCAACTTGGAAGTAAGAGAGGAGTGAAGGACGCCGCACCAAGTGCATGCTGAGGGGCGCGGCCCTGCACGCACGTCAGGCCTGCTCCAGCTCCACGAGGACCCCCCCGCAGTCCTTGGGGTGGAGGAAAATCACCGGTTTTCCATGCGCTCCTATTTTGGCCCCTTCACTTAGGCTACGGATCTTCTTCTCCTTCAAATCCGCCACGGCTGCATTGATGTTATCCACCTTGAGAAGAGGAAGGAAAGAGGGACATGTTGGAGATCACAAAAGCACGGAGCGAAAGCATCGTGAAACTCAGCAGGAGCTCCAAAAGGTCCGGTGCCCTGTCTCCTGCACCTCCAGGAGGAGCCATTCTTTTTTTTTTTTTTTTTAAGATTTTATTTATTTATCTTTAGAGGGGAAGGGAAGGAGAGAGGGAGAGAAACATCAATGTATGGTTGCCTTTCGTGCGTCCCCTGCTGGGAACTGGCCTGCAGGGAACCGGTCTGCAACCCAGGCATGTGCCCTCACTAAGAATGGAGCCGCAATTGGCTGGTTCGCAGGCCCATGCTCAATCCACTGAGCTACACCAGCCAGGGCCGGGTGGAGCCATTCTTAAACCATCACAAGAATAAGGGAAGGAGAAGTAGTTGCTCAATTTTCCTAGGTGAGCACCCGCAATGCTTAAGAATCTTCACCACTTGCAGACATTTCTCCTTACAGCATAAACACTATATGCTATGTTCCGTGATATTTTCTTCTGTTGGTATGATCAGTGATACCACACACGTTGTTTTTTCCTAAGAGCCTTGGGCTCCCCATCAATAACAGGGAGAGGAAGCCTGCCATGTAAATGGGCAAGAGATTAAAAGGAGATAAGTTTATAGTAGGCACTCAACAAATGTCAGTGTGTCCCTGATCCCCAAACCTCCCACCTGCCAAAATACCTGGTTAGTACTTTTGAAATTAAAACTTCATTTACATGCAAATCACTAGTAAGTGCTAACCAAAATGTGTTTTTCCATTCTAAAAAATCCAAACATGTCTAATTTTGCAACTCTCTTCTAAAGCATTTCCGTTTTCCTCACGTTTACTGGCAGCCTAGGAAAGAAGCAAACGTGTCTTTATACTCTAGTGGGAAATGATGCTCCTCCGCCTTGGGAAGCCAGCCTCTAGGACTGGGAGCCCAGTGGGCAAGACAGAGAGGAACGGACGAGCAGCCATCCTCCTGAGCGGTCCCAGAGCAGCCTGGAGTTGAATGACCTCACAGCATTCCCACGTCTGCACCCAATACATACGTTTAACGAATGCCCACATTCATACAACCTTATTTCAAAGAGCCAAGGACTATATAGACACCGGACTCTAAACCTGGTCAAGACACCGAGGAGGACACTAAGTGTTACTGTCAACCAGCTATGATTTCTTCGAACAACATTTTTCTACTTGTTCGTTCTGAGAAGCCCTGCCTGGCCTGTGGGCACCGCCACTTCCTGCCGCGGGAGACGGCTGGTCTGCTCTCATCTTCCTGGAGCAGTGGGGTTCCTCCTGACAGTACCTTGAAACAGTGACTCTGACTGTGTCAAAGGGGACCTCTTTCTCCACTTTCCCAGAGTCGGTCCAAATTCAGTCTTTCCACATGAAAATAATTTTTAAGTCACGCGGTACGTGGACATTTAAACGGACACGGAAAGCTACATAAACCTCGACCACCGCAGATGACCATTCTCCTCTCCAGGGGCCATGACTGCTGCACTCAGTTTGACACGTGTTCTTCCAAACCTTGAACTTTTCCTCTGCTTCCCTTTTTCTTGGTAATGAAAAGGCCCTTTCATTTACAAAATGATGTTAGCAGGAGATGGACATCGCGAAGTTTTTCTTCAGTTAATAACACAGAAAATGTAAACCTTTATGATCACACTGCCTACCTTTTTTGCTTTGTGCTCTGGAAATGTTATCGTTCTAGACGAGCCCCACCCCTGGGGACTGGCGACACACAGATGCCTTGTGGAGCGTCCCAGGGCCCTGGGGTTTACTGTAAAGCCGAAAAGAGAATGGGATTTTTTGGAAAGTAGAATGTTCTGCCTTTTTGACCAAAGAACAGCCATTTCCCAGCACGCAGGGAATAAGTTGCCTCGCTAGCCTTCTACCTTAAGGTTATGTAACTTTCCCTTCACAGGGAACATATGCCCAGTGAGAAAAGATCTATAAAACATCCAGGAGCATAAACAAGAACATGAGTCACCTGTTACATGACTGCCCAGAAAATAAAGCTGTGACAACTGCTGCCGTTTCTTCACACTTTTTTCTCTCTTATTTCTGAAATGCCACTTTCATCACCTGCTCGCCCCCAGCAGCCGGGGCCAGCACGATCACTGCGAGATGAAATCTGACGTCCTCTCTGTACTCACAACTCGTTTCTCTGGCGCCAGGAGCTTGCCTCCTTCGATGGGCCTCCCTGGGCACAACCTCACCCCGCCCCTGCGGTGCACGCGCACTCACACCCATTCGCCAGCACAGGCTCCCACGCGCCCCCCGCCCCCCGCTGCCCACACACGGATGCCCCCTCCCTCAGCAAGCCTGGGCTCCAACTGCCTGCACTGGGCAGGCACCCATGCGAATGCCTCCTTGCCGACACCCCACGCCTGGCTGCCTCGGGGGTACAGCCCACCAGCCCACCTGCTCTGATGCCCTGCACCGCCCCGCCCAGCCTCCCCAGGGCCAGCAGCGCCAGCGTGTGGATGCCCTGTGCCCCCACCCGAGAGCCCACAGCCCGAGCGGGGCTCCTGCACCCCTCCCCACCAGCGTGCACAGGACTCTGCTGGGCCCTCCCTAATGTCTTCAGGTCGGAACTGTGTGGGAAGGAAAGGGAGGGGCGGGGAGGGGAGGGGGACGAGGCTGTAGCCACTTCTCACAGTGCGCACTTTCCTGTTTCTGTGGCAACGGAGAAGCAATGTTTGGCAGAACTGGTAGACACGCTAATCTTCCTGTCAGTTTTACTGGCCTTCTACTCCCTTTGTTGGAACCTGCTCTGTTAGGATGCTGACCTGTGGTGCCTTGCAGGTTTCATTTTGGTCCGTCACCTCTAACCCTTTGTGGGGCACGAGGGCGTACATGTCACCTGGATGCTTGGTGGGACATGCAGGGCCTGAGGGCATAGGTGAAGGAGGACGGGACGCTGTCCTCTCTGTACCGACCTATCCCCAGCGCCCACGGCAGCCGGCTGGGAGGGGGCGATGCGCGGGGCAGCCCTGGGCATCAGGAGCTACAATGGCAGGGCTGCCCAGTGGCTGGGACACAAAACTAAAATCCACCTGAATTCCTACAGGAGCCGCCTGATTGTGTATGGGCAGCGGAGGGTAATGATGGGCAGTGACACACTGATGCGGCCACCGACCAACCACGTCACACCTTCTCCTATCGCCCACCTCCACTTTACACCGATACACACCTCCACTTCCCCCAGGCTCTGCTGCCAAAGTCACTGTCACACCACTCAACCTGCACCATTCTTATCTCAAGTGAACTTCTAACTCGCGTCGGCTCCCTTTGAAGGCCTGGGCTCTGATGTCGGATGCAGACAGTGCCGTGTGGGACAGGGAAGAGTGGATTCAAAGGCTGGGGACCTGCTTGTCATCCTGGGGGATCTCAGGCGAACCCTCAGGCCCACTGCGATAAAGACTTGAAGCCAAAACTAACCTCCTAAGGAAGGGATAAAGGTTAAATATGAGGCCTTGTTAGTTCCCCTGCCTAACATCTTACGGGTCCCCCGCCTCGGATTTTAAACTCAGCTCACACAATGCCAACAATTTGGCACCATGGCTAACAGTGCGCGGACCCTGGAATCAGAACGAATCTGGGCCTGAACCCCAGCCTTGTCACTCACTGCTGATGGGACTCTGGGCAAGCTGCTCCATGTCTCAGCTCCCTCACCTGTCACATGGGGAGAACAGCGCCCTCACAGGGTGGCTCTGAGAATAAAAAAAACACTGCACCTCAAGCACCCCGTGCGCTGTCGGAGGGCCCAAGGGTAGTCCTTACAACAACTCGGTGCCTTCCCGCCCACTAGTCCGCCACCTGGCAGGGCTGCCTCCTCTTGCCCACCTGGGCAATTCCTGGACAGATGCCTCCCCTCCTCCTCAGCCTGCCAGCAGCAACCCATCTTTCCCTCATTTGTGCAACAGAGGAGACACGTATGTTAATTCTGCTTATCGTGGGGCACCGAGGGAACGAGGCCCTCCTCCCTGTGGGAAGGGCTCCTGTCCCATTCATCACAGAACCCAAGTACACGGTCAAGTGCAACAGACACAGTGTGGACTCTCAGATATGTCTGCAATGTGAACTCTGAAAATCCTTGAGTCCAACCCTCCTCTCGTCTGGATTAGGAATGAAGCTAATGATGAATCGGGTCCTTCGTCCCATCCAAAGAATTTAAATCAAAGCATAATTGCTACAGCTGATACTCTTTTCTGAAAGGCAGTTATCTGGCATGAACATCTACAGATAAAGGCTCTCTGATGAGAAAGTTCTTGTCAAACATTTCACGTTTTCTTCAGGAATTGTTGGCAGATGCAACTGACATCTTGAAACGCTGGGTCAGTAACTGAAAATGTGTTGCCTTTGTAATAAGAAACAAGCTAACAGAATTTGAAGGGTGGAAAATAATTACACGAATACTTAGCATGTATAGGGGAATTCTTACTTTATAAAAGCCCTTTTAGTTGCTTCTCCTAATTGCCTTGTGAGAGTGAAAGCGGTTCTGTTTCTGTTATACTGGAGGTCGTACACAATGAACAAATACTACAGTCAAAACTCAGATTTGTTTCGGCCAACTTCAGTGGCTTTTACAGTGCCTGTGGAAGCCAGATTCCATAAACTACATTATTATTATCTGCAGTTGTCTAGAGGAAAAGAGAATATATATCTGTGAATCCATCTTTGAGTAGGACCAGTAGTACCGTTCCCCTTAAAGAACTTAATACAAGTTTCAGCCCTGGATGGTGTGGCTCAGTGGATCGAGTACTGGGCCTTTGAACCAAAGGGTCCCAGGTTCGATTCCCAGTCGGGGCACAGGCCTGGGTTGCTGGCTAGGTCCCCAGTAGGGGGCGTGTGAGAAGCAACCACACACTGATGTTTCTCTCCCTCTCTCCCTCCCTTCCCCTCTTTAAAAATAAATAAATAAATCCTAAAAAATCTTTAAAACAGAAGCACTTAATATAAGTTTCTGTTGAGGGTAACTATATATAATCTCAAAAAGTAAGACATTTTGTGAACAAGAAGTTAAAATTGGCACCAAGAGTTAAATTAAATGAAATACCTCGATGCAGACGTGATGCATCCCTCCAGCCTTGTTCTTCTGCAGAAAACCCGTGATCGGACTGTCACTTCCCAGGGGATGCAGCAGTTCCATTTTGGTGTTTCCGAGGTCAACGAAAACCACAGACACCCCATGGTCAGGCAAAGGGACCACCTCGCTGACCTGGGCCCCCAGAACGTCCCGGTAAAAGGCCCTGGCGTCCTCCAGGTCGGGCACGGCTATGGCCACATGATTCAGCCGCCCCAGGCTCCACACAGTGCGTGCCACTCGAGGTGGGGACTGCAGGGTGGACAAAGCCCGGACCGCTGGAACTGGAGTCTGAAGTCTGGGGAAAAGCCCTGAAAAACGGAGCAGTCATTGAGATCCTTCTTCAGAGATGAATGCACTTCTGAAAATATTTTGTTAATGGCATAAATAATCCATGTAGAAATTATTTACATACCTAGTCTTTTCAATGACTGAAATTAAATCAGGGAAGATAAATGGAAAAACTGTAAAATTAGTCACTCTGTTCTGAAATAACTGCCTGAAATTAGAAAGCTAATTCTGAGCTATTTAGATTCAGAACAAAAAATGTCATTTTTCATAACGGTTTCTATTTACTGAGAACACGTAAGGGGCGGCTGCTATTACTGAGAATTATTTGCTATTCCCTGCATTTCACAAAGAGGAAGTTTGAATGTGACAGAGAAAGAGGCACATTTACTGATGAGGACAAGCAATTTTCTTCCCCATCTATGACCCATCTTTTGTGTTACCATCTGCAATAAGTTCATTAAAGCCGTGACCTTACAGTACTTCTCAATGTGCATTTTATTTGAATGACTATCAACCAGGCAGAGTAGCTCACTGTTGGGGGAAAAGATGCAAAGATCAAGAGGGTCATTAAACCAATGAGAATTTCCGCTGACACCAGATTAAAAAAAAATTTTTTTTTAAATTATTTTGAAGGATGAGAAGCTGAACTTCTTCTGAATGCAAAGAAGCCTCTTTGACTGGGAAACTGAAGAGGCCTGCCACGTGTTCTGTGTTATAACTCCGCTCCCTCTGTCCCTAAACTCTGGACTTCAAGAGCCAGATTCACCCTGCAATGAAAGCCATATGCATGCACGAGGTCTGAATGCAATCTTGCAGAACTGCATCACTTGATAAAAGAGTAAGAAGTAGCAAACTGAAGAACACATTTTAAACCTGCCTAACATCAAACAGATTTTTAGCTATTAAGGCAAAATGGTTTAAATAGTACCTAGTACCTCAGAGCTTCAGCTCACAAAAAACTCATTCCCCTTTAGTGAGGTTTTTGATAACAAGGAAATCAAAGTGACACTGCTTGATTTTAGTTAAGGCCGTGAACCCTGCTGGAGAGGCCGCCCCACACACGCGGTCTTTCACCCCCACCAAGCCACACGGGACGAACCTCAGGCCTGCAGTGCGTCCTCATGAAGATGCACAGCCCACCCAGCGCGTGCCGGGCCTGCCGCCTGGCGCTGGGAACATCGTTTCCTCTTTCAGCCTCCACGAATGCTCCTTTGGCTCTGCCGACAGCGTGGCCCCCTGTGGCCAACCCACTGTCACATCTGTCTTCCGTGGGGAGGGGACAAGGCTCTTTCTACTGTGGCAGGAGGCGGGTGTGCAAAGGCAAACTGTCCTGTGCTGGCCACTGCGAGAGCCCGGCTGGCCACAGGGGACTGACAACCACCACTGAAGCCGCTCCTGCTCTGTGAGTAGAGCAGATTCCACGCAGGGCTAGGAGACTCCACACCCAGGTACAATGGGCATTTGTTTAGGGTCCTCCCCTGGGACTGATAACGGTACGGGATGCTCTCTCTGCTCCACAAACCTGACGCACCATCAGTAGGTAGAAAGCGGAAGCCAGCCTAGCGTGGTCTTCTGCCAGGCTCCAGCCTGTGTTATTGATTACTGAATGGTCTAAAGGTTTCCATGATTGCTAGGCTGACACAGCCTTGTTCTGTGAACTCCCTGCATTATCATGAAATTCAAGTGTATTCCAACCCATACACATATACATAGTTGTTCAATGAAAGTGAAGTTGATAAAAAAGAATACCCAGTCTTCACTAAATGCAACATGCTCTCATATTTTCTATTCTATTGTATTTTATTTCAGTTGTAAAATACAGGTACTACCTACTAAATCTCCACGTTGCTGGTTTGTTCTGAAAATTAGATATTTGGTATAAAATAGAGCGCCATGCCAGATATATAATAGGTGCACAATAAATTCAGTCCCTCTTATTGTTCATGACATACAACGATTGTTTGCTAGTTGAGGGGCATGCAGGGTTATCTGTGGAGACCAAGAAACTATCTCCAAGTCACAGAGGCAGTGAACTTTCAAAATGCTAACCACCAGCAAAATCGCTGGTCTAGCACTGGTCCCTTCTCTCCCTGCACCTCGACTCTGTGTACCAGCTGCAATGAAAGCTCAGTACGGAGTGTGTTTGTATTAAAGACTGTGCGCTTAGCGTAACATGCACATGAATCAGCCATCTGCTCTGTAGAATTCGGTGGGCACGTCAAACACTGACTCTAGGTATTTGCGAGTGCTGCTCCCCGTGTTATCTCTATAGACACCGGCAGCGGGGGAAGCCTGGGCAGGCGAATGTCATCAGCACTGGAACACACGGAAATGTCGGAGGGGCAAACTAGATGTCCCAGTGAAGGTGACGTTTTACACACGATACCAGTTCACTTTAGGGACATTCAAAACCTGGAAGCCTCACTGCAGTCTTTCTCCCAAACCCCCTCATCATTTGGAGATGGAGAAGTGGAAGCAGTTTCCTAGAATGGCTGGTTCTTTCTCCTTCCAACAGAACATGAAATCTTCTTAATAGGTTAGGAAAATAGATATCATCTTTATATAATGTAAAAGTCAAGTCTATAGCAATAGAGGCTTATCTTATCTCTAGAAATGTAAACTAGTTTGAGAAAGGAAATATCCCCTTATTGGTTTTATCTGGTCCCTAAAGCATCTGTTCTAGCAACAGGGCAAAAATAAACACAGTGATGCCGATGAGAATTCAATCATTCAGCTTCTTTAAAATGAAGAGTTAGGGGTAGAAAAATGGCCCAAAAGTACATGATGAGATACTCAATGTCACTGGCCATTAGGGAAAAGCAAATCAGAATCGCACTGAGGTACCACTTCGCACCCACAAAGAAGGTGCGGATGAGGACGTGGAGAAACCGGAACCCTTGTGCGTTGCTGGTGAGGAGGTACAATGATACGGCGGGCACGGAGTAGGTCGGCAGTTCCTCAGAAAGTGAAATACAGAATCACTGTATGACCCAGAAATTCTACTCCTAGCCATCCAAATTCACTGGTAACAGGGACTCAAACAAAAACTTGTACGTATTCATAGCAGCACTATTCCCAAGAACCAACCAATGCGATATTATTCATTCTGTACAATGTAATACTATCCATACAATGGATAAGATGTACTGATGCTTGCAATAATGTGGATGAACCTTGAAAACATTATTCTAAGTGACAGAAGCTAGACATAAAGGGTCATCCATTGTACAACCCCACTTATATGCAATCTCCAGAACAAGTGAATCCATAGAGACTAAGAAGGAAGTTGGTGGTTGCCAAGGGCTGGAGGGAGGAAGGAATGGGGAGTGACCGTGTCTTTGGGATGGGATTTCCCTATGCGCTGATGAAAATGTCTGGGAACTAAATAAACATGACGGTTGTACAACACAGTGAATGTGATAAAACATTCGCTAAATTATACATTGTAAAATGGTTATTTTTGCCTTGGCTGGTGTAGCTCAGTGGATTGAGCGCAGGCCTGTGAACCAAAAGATCGAGTTTTGATTCCCAGTTAGGGCACATGCCTGGGTTGCAGGCCAGTTCCTAGCAGAGACCAGTTCCCCAGCAGGGGACACAGGAGAAGCAACCATACATTGATATTTCTCTCCCTCTCTCCTTCCCTTCCCTTCTAAAGATAAATAAATTTAAAATTTTTAAAAAGGTTATTTTTTACATTATGTGAATAACCTTTAAGAAAATCGCAGTAAAAGCCTGCGGGTGAAGGGTGAAATCCTGAATTAAAGTATTTCTAAAAATATACACACACAATGCTTCTCTGATACTCCAATGATTACTGACACGTTCACCGTCAGGTTCTGTGGGTAAGTACCTATGAGCAGGAACGTGGGCTGTGGTGCTAGGCTGCCCAGGTCTCGGCCCCACCGTTAGTTGTGTGACCTGGGCCAGTCATTGACCCTCTTTGTGCCTTTGTCTTGTCATACAAGACAATGCCTACGTCACAGCAATGACGCTGGACTAAGATGAATACATGTAAAGGGTTTCGAAAAGAGCCTGGCGCACATGACATGCATCATGAACTCCAAGGATTATCATTAGCACTTTTAGAAAGGTTGGAAAGAAACTCATTTATAAATGGAAGTATCTATCTCACATTTTATTCTTTTAAAGGAAAAGGTGACGATGCACCTGCCCTGCACGTGGTACACTTAGATTAACATCCCATTCAACAGCCAAAGGTTGCCTCTGCCTGGCCTCCCGAGCGAGCGCTGCTGTATGCACTGCACTGTTCCGTCACTTCACGACTTGCTCCCCTTGATGCCGAGACCACTCCCCTTGCACTCTGGAGAATGGCACTGTGGGGGCTCTGATCTGGGGCACGCTTGGTGGTATTTCCATATTCAGTGACTACCGATGTCTGGGTAAAATAATGTTGCTAGAAGGCATTACAAGCACAGTGTTCTTTGTGCATTTCGATACAAGAATATTGACATAATTTTTCCAAGTTAAAATTCGTTGTTTATAGTAACGTCCTCACACTGCGCATAACTATTGTTTTGACTTGGGAACTCCCTTTAGTATCATGGAAGAGTGGAAACGGTATGTGTAACTACTCTGCGTTCTGAAACCTATAAACTGGTTGTCTTCCCCAACGCAGACGTGCCTCCGCCTCGGAGCACTCTCCCTCCTGCTGGAATCCAGAATCCATGGGGGACAGAACCCTCTGGCCTGACCTCTCCCTGATTTGACCTCATCTTCCTAGTGGAGACCCATGGGCTAATTTCAGTGTTAGTTATGCAACGATACTTCTATGCAATCTTGCCTAAGGCTGCAACCTTGCCTAAGCAACCTATTAAATGGCAAAGTCAAAAGTGAGAGTGGATCATGAGGCAGCCCAGCTCTGCCCATGAGTCTTGTAGCCATAAAACAGAGTTAATAGTAATAGTCTAGTGAGCACTTTAATCATCTCAATAACTCTACAAATCAGATACCAGTATTTTTCCCATTTAGAGACCAGGGAATAGGCCCGATTAATTTTACTCAGTCACATTAGCCCAGGCCTGTCTGACATGGAAGTTCATGTTTTTAAATCATTACATTTAATTTTCTCATTGCTCTGAAATTATTTACCATTCTTTCGATCCTCAATTTTGAATATTGTTTATGTTCTCTGAACAATATCTACTTGCTAAAAAATGGCTTTTGAGAGATAATAAGAGATGACTCTTTCATGAGAGTTTTTTTGTTGTTGTTGTTTGATTTTTGCAAAGGGCTGCTTTTTCTTTGCAATGGTATAAGATCAGATACTGACTTGTATTTTACTAAGGAGAGGAAAGAGGGTCCAGGAGGGCATATTATTAGCAGAGCTTGAGTATCACTTCTTAATCTGACATTCATTTTAACAAGCTGTCCTCACTGTTATTATATTTTTTCATGTAGACATACCACTTCTTTAAACGGATAATGTGCTGAGGCTATTCTCCCACATCACTTCACCCTGGCCAATAAACAACTGGACTTCAGAAGATGCACAGAGCGGTCAGTTTCAGAAGTGGGGTGCAAAGAGCACTTTCCAGGAGAGGAATCTGACCTTCTTAAAGGTTCACCCCCTCAAACACTTTCTGAAGGTGCTAAGCTGAAAGATTTACGGCGAATGTTAACTCAAGAGACACTACTACTTAGCACTTCCATCCTAACAGGGAATTCCAGATGAAGGGAAAGAGCTGCTCTCTAATGAGGAAAAGAAAAGGCAGGAATGGGGAGAAAGTGGGCGGGCTGCAGTCAGAAAATCTGGGTTTCTGTCATCACCGATTCTAGGCAGCCTCTTTATTTTACTTTTTAATGGAGAGGTGGATAACTCAAGGAACCTAACAAATGTGTCTGCTTTGATCTTTCCTGCTCATATACAAGAAAATAACTATATTAGCGCAGGTGGGGAGAGGATGCGCCTCTTTCCACAACTGACCCTCAAGTGCTCCCAGCAGGTGGTGGAAACGCTGGGAGGTCAGCTGACGTTTTTTACAGGGCTGGCCCTTCTTTGTGGTTTCTCCCGTTTCTTATGGTGCGCCAAAAAAGAAATTCGCCGTCCCTCTGGCATTTACTTCTGTTCCAGTCACGCTGTCCCAATGGACAGGTTCCCCAGCCTCTCTGGGGCTTCACAGAAAAAGGGACCTCAGCTGCACACCCTTCCCAGGGTGGCTGTGAGACTCTCAGAGAACAAGGACCCCCACCGCCCACCCCGCTAACCTGAGGCGTTCCAGGGAGGTACTTTCTGCCTACAGGTGCTGACAGCGGCCACAGAGAGCGCCTCCGTCGGAAGAACGCGACGCACCTAGGTGCTCCGGCCACCCCCCAACTCCTGCAGCCCCGGGCCTTCCGTTCCTTGCGCCCCACCTCACGGCGAGCCCCAAGGACTCCGGGTATTCACCTCCTACGCTCGCAGCTGCCGCCACCACTGTGGCCACCTTCAGCACCCGCGCCATCTTCGGAAGCGGCAGGCTAAATCCCGACGCGCGTCTGGACTGGCCAGCTGCCCAGCCGAGGGGCGGGGCAACGCGGCCCGAGACCCGGCTGAGGGGCGGAGAGGCAGAGGGGCGGGGCATACGAGGCCAGGGGGCGTGGCAGGTGTTGCGGTGTTTTGCTGGGCGCTGGGGGAGGGCCCGCTGTTCTTAGTACTGAATCTTAATGCATCTAAACCAGGCACTTAAAAGGAGAACTCGCTACCTACCGTGGGCTCCTCTGGAATACAAAACAGGATGTTTAGAGAAAGTTTCAAAGGCACGCGAGCTGACCAATGGCTTTCTGTTTCGCGCTCCACCCCCTGCGCAAGCGGTTGAAGGTCCTCGTGCTACTATTGGCTCAGGCTGGGGGCGGGTCCGGCACAACTGCGTCGCGGTACTTTTGCCTCAGCGTTCCTGGATGCGCGAGGCGCGTCTTTGTTACACGTTTCCGGGCATCCTTTTTCCTTTGCATGCGGCGCTGGGTGCCGAATTTTAAACAGCCATGGCCCGTCGGGTCTGGCGTCAGCGGGCCCTGAAGCGGTGTCTGAACGAAGTTGACAAAAACACAGGCCGGCCTGAGTGCTTCCTCACGTAAGTGCGCTGAGCCTGGGCTCGGGATTCCGCCCAGATCTCACGTGGGCGCGGGCTGCGGGCCTTTGTCAATTTCTGGACTAGGGGTGAGGTAAAGGAAAGCGTAGATCTCTTTTTACCAAATTTCAGATTGTTTATGCACCGGTAGCCTGTCAAAATATTTTAAAGTTGTACAGAGAGGATCTTGAAGTCGTGTGCTGTTGAAATCAAAGTAAGCCCAGTTTTAACGCTCAGAGGCTTACGCACTCCCTGCCCCTCTACACACACACCGCCGCACGCTCGATTGGTTGCTTTCTCCCGAGATCTTCCAAAGATCTCGGTGCTTACTTATACATCATCATATTTCACCGAAAGTATTAGCATGTCGCTTGTCTATCCGCCTCCACGACTGAGCTCCTGGAGAAGTAGGACTGCCTTTCCTCTCTCTTACAAGCATGAGCTCTTTGTATTTTGTTGGAGGACTTAAAATGCGATCTGTCAAAGTGTGGCTCACATTTACGATTCAAACCTCACCTCTTCAAGCTCTAGGCGCACAGCACCTGCAGCCCCTCTGTACTCTCAATATCACAAGTTTAAGGTGCTCAAATGAACTGTTGCTTCTATTTAATGAACTCCCCTATACTCTGCCCTCCCTGGAATTCTTTCCTCTTGTTCTCACCTGCCTTCTCTGTCTCAGTGGCACCTCTGTCTTTCCAGTCATTCAGACATAACTTAGCTATTTCCTGTATGTTCTTCTCTTTCTCAGTTCTGCATCGCATTCATTAGCAATTCTGTCTGCTCTGTCTCATAACCTTATTCTAAACTTGACTACTTAGTGTATCCACTGCTGTCATCTCAGTACAGTTCTTCCTTATTCCTTTGCCAACAAGGCTGCACCAACCTCCCAATCACCCTATTTTCATTCCTTTTCCTCCATAAGCCATCTCTCCAAAGCATAAATTAGATCACTTTACTCCTCTGCTTAAAACCTTTGGATGGCTTCTCTTTACACTTAAAATGGCAAATTCATAACTCCAAGCCCTACCAGATTTGGCCCCCACTTACGTCTCTAACCACACTCCAGCCATGCTGACCTTTCTATTCCTCAGACTCACCTAGCACATGTCCATCTTAGGAAATTTATTTTTTTAAAAAAATATTTTATTTATTTTAGACAGAGGGGAAAGTGGGGAGAAAGAGGAAGAGAAACATCAATGAGTGGTTGCCTCTTGAGTGCCCTCTACTGGGGACCTGGCCTGCAACCCAGGCATGTGCCCTGACTGGGAATGAAACCCACAATCCTTTGGTTTGCAGGTTGCAGGCCGGTGCTCAATCCACTGAGCCATACCAGCCAGGGCAGGAAATTTATTCTTGTAGTTTCTTCTGCCTAGAATCTTTGTAAGACTTTGTAAGAGATCTTAGTAAGAGTGTCTCCCTATGTGTAGGTGTCATCTCGAATGTCATAGCCTCAGAGAGCTATTCTGTCCACCTGTGCCAAAGCAGGAGTGACATTTAATATAGCAGAGTTGGGAATTTAAGACTGAGGTTCATCATGTAACTCTAGGCAAATTGATCTGTAACAGATTCCCTGCCTAAAATCCTACACCAGATTCTTAAATAGTTAGTTGACACTTTTATATATGTGGCTTTTATAAGGTGGCTCATCAGCAAGATTGCCCACTCTTGGGGACCAGAATCCATAGGTAAAATTGACGTTTCATTCAAGTTTGATTTTGCACAAGAGTTGGATGTTTTTTTCCTTTTAATTTCTGAGTGCTGTAAAATTACTACCTATCAATATAAATCTCATCTAACTTCCTCCCCAACCTCCTTCATAGGACTCAGGATGAACTGGCATCAAACTTCACTTCTTTAACAAAAGTACTTTACGACTTTAACAAAATCCTAGAGAATGGCAGGATCCACGGAAGTCCTTTACAGAAACTGGTGATAGACAAGTTTGATGATGAGCAGATTTGGCAACAGCTGGAACTTCAGAATGAGCCGGCCTTACAGTACTTTGAGAATACAGTCTGTGAAGCCCTTAACGATGAAGACATCAGTCTTCTCCCAGAGAGTGAAGAGCAGGAGGACCAAGAGGACAGCTCAGAGATGGAGGCTGACAGCCAGGGGGACCTAGAACAGCACGTGAAGGAGGAGGAGGAGGATAAAGTGTCAGACCTGAGTGGTGATGAACCTGAAGGGGATGAGACGGCCAAACGCCCGAGTGAACATGGTCTGCGGAAAAGCCCAGTTTTCAGTGATGAGGATTCCGATCTTGACTTTGACATCAGCAAATTGGAACAGCAGAGCAAGGTGCAAAACAAAATGCCCAGGAAGCCAAGAGAAAAGTCCATAGTGGATGATAAATTCTTCAAACTGTCCGAAATGGAGACCTTTTTAGAAAACATGGAGAGAGAAGAGGAGCAAAAAGATGATGCTGAGGAGGAAGAGATTGATTTATTTGAAGATGTTGACTCCGATGAAGATGAGGGAGGACTGTTTGGAAGTCAGACACGAAAACTTAAGGTAAAGTTTTGGGAGAAGAGAGAAGGAGTCTTTTTTTAAAATCCTCACCTGAGGATACGTTATTGACTTTTAGAGAGAGGGGAAGGGAGAGAGAGTGATAGAAAGAGAGACATCAGTATGAGAAACACATCGATCCGTTGCACCCTGACTGGGATCTGAACCTGCAACCCAGGTATATGCCCTGACCAGGGATTGAACCTACAACCTTTCGGTGTATGACATTATACTGTAAACAACTGAGCCCCACTGTCCAGGCCAAGAAAAGGTACTTTTTACCTCCTTGAATTATGTTTTGTTCTGTTTCTTGAGAAAAGGTTAAAGTACCTCAGAACTCACTGGGGCGTAAGAGAAATATTTATATCAGTTAAAAGGAATTGACTGAAAAAAGTAGACCAAAGCCAGCATTTCTTTTTAAATATTTTATTTATTTATCTTTGGAAGGAGAGAGGGAGAGAAACATCAATGTATGGTTGCCTTTCGTTAGTCCTCTGCTGGGAACTGGTCTGCAACCCAGGCATGTGCCCTGACTGGGAATCGAACTGCGATTGTCTGGTTCGCAGGCCTGCGCTCAATCCACTGAGCTACACCAGCCAGGACTCAAAGCCAGCATTTCTTCATCACAGAACACTTGTAGGTAGGGTAGCTTAAGAACCATAATCACACTTGTTAGAGACAGTCAGAATATTCCCTCATACATATATTTTCACCCAGCATTAGAAATAATAGTGAAAGGAAGGCATTTGTATACTTTATTTAGGCAGGGATACTTTGGGAATAATTTTAGTTAGAAGATTTAGAGATAGGTCTCTGGCTCATGTGGCTCAGTGGATTGACTGTGGGCCTGTGAACCAAAGGGTCACTGGTTCAATTCCCAGTCAGGGCGCATGCCTGGGTTGGGGGCCAGGTCCCCAGTGAGGGGCATGTGAAAGGCACCTACACATTGATGTTTCTCTTCCTCTCTTTCTCCCTCCTCTAAAAATAAATAAATAAAACCTTAAAAAAAAAAAAGAATATTATGGTACTCTATCAAAGAATCCATACTTCCAGTTCGTTATGGTCTAGTAGTTCTCAGGGATTTATGGTAGTGTTATTATTGGTCGATTTTCCCTATAGAATACTTAAGTACACATATAAGCATGACTTGATGCATTTTCCTATCCTTAATTAAAAGTTTTAAGTCTTTTTGTTTTAGTCAGGTAAAAGTTCCAGGAACCTGAAATACAAAGATTTCTTTGATCCAGTTGAAAGTGATGAGGACGGAGCAAGTGCTCATGATGAAGAACTGGGTTCGGAGGAAGAAGAGGAAGGAATTCCTGACGGAGGAGGAGACAACAGCCTGTCGGAAACGTGAGTTTTTTCAGTGGTCCTTTACGTGGAGTCGGAGCTGCCCAGCCATGTCCTAAGAAGTTAGGTTCTCTAAGATCACATAGTCTCAAGATGGACAGAAGAAAGTCAACTTATGAAGGATCAAGTCAAGGACCATGTATAAAGGACCATGGACAAGGACAGCAGTGGGGAGGATTGAACGTGGGGGGCAGGCAGGGCAGGGGAGAGCATGGGGGGGAAATGGGGACAAAAATAATCGAACAATAAAAACATTTTTAAAAGTAAATGTGGAAAAAGGTCATCTTAAATGGGCTTGAGAAATCACCTGATGAAGATAAAACATCACGACAAGTAGCACTCAAACCTTTATTACAAGAGCTTTGATTTGTTTTCTGTGCCCATAAAAACACCTCGTTGTTATTCGTGCGAGATAACATTGCATTGTAGATTGATAGTAATTTACTGTCTTTATGGTGCACACTTTTTGTTCCATTTTAGCTAAATAATTTCTTCTGTTGGTCTTTCATAACTGAATGACTTCAGAAGTTCTGAGTATTCAGTTGCATTAGGCATACAGAAGAGAGCTCTAATTACTAGAGAATTTGTTTCTCTTTCTTTCCCTTTTGAAAAGTGGTGTTTCCTTCTGTGCATGTTTCAACACTATAGGGACGAAGATAATGACCTTGAAGAAGCTGAAGACAATAAACCACATAAAGAAACCTCGAAAAGAGTCACCTTTGCTTTGCCAGATGATGAGGAAATGGAAGACACGAATATCTTCAATGTGCAGAAAGATTCTACTGAAGTTAAATCTTCTTTTGAAAAAAGACAGGAAAAGGTAACAAATAGGAACTTAAGGAATTGGTTGATACGCTTATGTGACTGTGGAACTTACAGAGTACTAACCTACTCTGTTTTTCTTGGTAGAACGCTTAATTATCCGTTAAACACGCACAGAGATCTGGCCGCTTGGTGCAGCTCCCTGTAGAGAGCCCGTGGGGAACGCGGCTGATCTGTGACAATCGGTGCTGCCTACCCCAGCCTGTGGCTTTCAGTGCGTGGCGCCTCAGCAAAACCCTGTTTCCTTTCCCTCACACCTGTGGCACGTCTTTCCAAATCAGCTGTCCTGGGAACCCGTCCTTGTAACCGTCAGTAGCTGCTCTTACGGATACTGCGTATTTCTCTGAGGTGCTCTGGAGATGGTTTTTGTGGGTGCCACATAGATTGAATTTTAATTAATACCATCTCAAACACATCTTCTGAAGTTGATGAAAATTTTTTCCATGTCACATGATTTTGGACCAATGAAATGTCCTTTGAAAATAATGTAGTCAGGCTCCAATTAGTTGGTTCTATCATTTAACCATCTTAAAATCGTATCTGGTAGTTAGAAACGAGTATAGGCAAATAGCCAGAGATACCAAGGATATCAAAAGAGTTATTTAAGAAACGAGAGTCTGAGTTAAATCTAGGATTATCAGAGCATCTTCAGAAGAGAGAGAGGAAGTCTAAAACACTGTAAAAGAAAATAAAAAATTTTCATTGAGTTCATGTCCTTCCCTCCCCCTAAAAGAAGAAAGAAAAGCAAGTTTAGTTTTGCTGGGGATTATATCAGACCTTTAAGAGATAGATGGTTTAATGCTGTTTAATCAATTCCCACCCAGTATAAAGCTTACCATATATACAGAGTAAAGCTTGCAAACTTTTTTCTTGTGAAGCTATTATACTATGAGTACCCAGACTGACAAAGGTAACGTGAAAACACACGCACACATACACACACACACAGCCTCATATATGAATAATGATGCAAAAACCCAGAATAACACAGTGGAAAAGAATGGCCACCACACCCACGTGGGCTTCATCCCATTGATTCAGGATTAGGAAATCTACTTATCAGTTCTGGATCATAACAGTTTAAGGATAAAAACCATACGGTCAGCTCTGCATGTGTCCAGAAGACATTGATAAAATTCAGTGTCTCTTTCTAATTTTTTTTTTCACTCCTAGGGGAATACAAATACATCTAGGCAAAAGGTGCCTGCATGTTTAGTGGTAAAACTCCAGAAATATCCCTTTAAAATAATAAGACAAAATGCCCCCTATGACCACTGTTATTTAACATTCCTTTAGAAATGTTAGCCAATGCAACTACAAAAGAAAAAGGGAAGAAAAACCTAAATGAACACATTCATATTTGCAGATAGTATCAGAAAAAGCCAGCCAATGAAGTGAAAAGCAACTAGGGAAAAGAAGAGAAGTCAGGTAGGGGGCTGAGAAGGCTGGTGTTCGATACACTATGTAGTCACTATAACGTCTTTCGCACTGAGAGGTCACTTGGATTGGAGTGTGGAGTCAAAGCATCAGGCTCCATCAGATGCTAATGTAATGACAAACATGACTTAATCTTGGAATTCTTAATAATTAAAGTTGTTAGTGGCTTGTAAATAGATAGCTAATTTGACTAGTAGAGCGCAGAAAAAATGCATCTGGGGGTGGGGATTAGTATATTACAGGCTTGACATTTCAAATCAATGGGGAAGAGAGGTCGTCACCTCACCACAGGTGACAGGAGCAGGGAGTCACTACCAGCATAATACAGAGGGGTCAGGGACACCACAGAATTGTGCTGAGGAACCGTACATTTCTTGCCCACTTTTAAGAACATTAGTTGCTTCTACTCAACTAGACAGCAGGTTTTGTTTCCTAAAAGTACGAGAAATCCTTTCGTTCCTTTCTCAGATGAATGAAAAAATTGCATCTTTAGAAAAAGAGTTGTTGGAAAAAAAGCCCTGGCAGCTTCAGGGGGAAGTGACAGCACAGAAGCGGCCGGAGAACAGCCTTCTGGAGGAGACGCTGCACTTTGACCACGCCGTCCGCATGGGTAGGTGCCCGCGCGGGCTCCTGCCCCGCCCCTGCCGCACTTTCCCCGTGGGTGTTTCACAGAAAGCCTGGGACGAGTATTGCTCTGTCCCCAAGTTTTTATCTTAAAGTCTCGCCGACATACAGAAGGGTGGAAGGAACAGCGCAGTGAAGAAGCGTTTGCCATTCACCTCCTGCTGTCATCGCCCACTGATTACTTTGTGAGCTAGCCAGGCCCCTGGTCACTTCGTCACATCCTTTCTGGCACCTGTGAAGGCAACAGGAATGTCCACTGTGTCCCCTGCTAGAGACAGTGGAAGGGGGGTGGGATTCCCCAGGTGCGCGGATAAAAGTGGCAGCACTGACTACCATTCAGACCCTAGTTTTGTGGCCCTGTGACTGGAGGGAGCATCAGAAGGCTAGTAAGCACAGAGGGGTGCCCCCTCCCCAACTCTCTGCTTCAGGGTATGGGGTGGGGCCTGAGAATTCATCTTTCCTGCAGCCCCCCGCTGTCCGTGCTGCTGGTTCAGGGACCTCCCTCGCCACCCCACCCTTTGCAAAACTCGGGCCTAGATCCTGTCTCCCCACTGAGAACATGTTTTGTTGCCACTAGCGCCTGTGATCACGGAGGAAACCACCCTGCAGCTAGAAGACATCATTAAGCAGAGGATCAGAGACCAGGTCTGTAAGAATGAACTTGAACCCCATTTGGAATTTTCAGAAACACTATGAGAGTATTTGGGGAGTAGGAATACCTGTTTGCATAGAAGTTGTATGTCAGTTCATTTCGAAGTCCTGCATCAATGCTAAACACGTCGTCAGCTTTTGTTCTGTGAGGCGCTACCTTCACGGGTGCCCTGGAAATACAGTGTTGTGCCAGAGGGGAAGGGGCAGCCAGAGCCGGTGCCAGGGTTCCCTGCGCTTTGCCAGCCTGCTGAATGGCATGCGGTGAGGCTGGGGAGGGTGACAGGTGTGGTGGCTGGTGTCTGATTCCACGTGGTCACACCCAGGACCCTTGCTCTAGGCACAGTATCCAGTGTGACAGACGAAGGGTCTGATTTTGTTTTTTTTTAATCAAATGTTAAAAACATAACAAAGAGCTATTTAAGAATTGACCTTTGTAGGCCCTGGCTGGCGTGGCTCAGTGGATTGAGCACAGGCCTGCAACCCAAAGGGTCGCTGGTTCAATTCCCAGTAAGGGCACATGCCTGGGTTGCAGGTCAGGTCCCCAGTAGGGGGCACATGAGAGGCAGCCACACACTGACTCCCTCTCTCTCCCTCCCTTCCTCTCTCTAAAAATAAGTAAATAAAACCTTAAATAAATAAGAAAGAACTGAGCGTCTTCTGTACATTTAGCATACAACTTCAGTTATGTGACATGCTTAATGAGAGATGGCTTTAGGACATGTGAGTGATGCTTGCCTAGAATAGGAAGGGTCTGGTGAGTGGGCTAAGGAGAGTATCTTTAACTCTGAAATGAGATGAGACAAACTTGACTTTTTAAATAAACCATGAAGGGGAGATAGGGAATTGACATTGGTAACCAGGACAGGGAGACACGCTTAAAACAAAAACAAAGGATACTTGAGTGATGTGCTCTTTGCTTTTCCTAACACTTTGTGACTTGAACAGTCATTTCCGGGGTGAAAATTACTTTCTTGCTGGGGCAGTTGGCTTGGTCTGGGACGAGACCAGATAATCCAGAGGCAGAGTCTTAAGTGAGCCTAGAAAGAAAGGATGGATTTTCGTGAATTTACATTCCACCTGCCTCTCACTCTTCAGGCTTGGGATGACGTGGTGCGGAAAGAGAAACCTAAAGAGGAAGCGTACGAATATAAAAAGCGGCTAACGCTGGACCACGAGAAGAGCAAGTTGAGCCTTGCTGAGATTTACGAACAGGAATACGTCAGGCTCCACCAGGTAAGGAAGCCCCTAAGGCGGGGCCGTGGGGGAAAGAGAGCTAAGTTAGAGAAGTTCTCCTGTTGTTTGGGATGGTCAAAGTGAGCAAACACAGAAATCTCGAGCTCTTGGCTGACCTTGCCTTGTGTGAGCGGAGACCGAGCAAGCTCGGGAGAGTGCGAGAGAGTGCTCCCACTGAGTGGCGGGGTGGGGGGCGGTTTTGCACGGAGCGGTGCTCACCTGATAGCTGCACACCTAGGAACTTTCCAGCAGTTGTGATGGTGGTGCTGCCGCTGTTGAGCCCTTCCTCACTCACACTGGAGACATGGCGGGTGTGTTTTATAGGTTAGTCTGTGACTTCATTCCGATGTTTAGGTCCGTTTTGGTCTTTGTTTTTCTTTACTTAAATTCTTTAAAAAAAAAATCTCTGGTTAAATAGAACAAAGACCTATTTCCAAAAGTATTATATTCCCAGTATAATAACTGTGAATGATTCCTTTACATTGGATTTAATGGGACTGGGGTCAATATGTGCTTGGGGATGAGGTGGCATTTTTATTCTGCAAAAGCCATGGAAGATCCCTGCCGGACTTTGTTCACTGATGCCACTTACGCCGCGAGAGCAAACCGCCCTCGGTGCCACTGTGAGGTGGAAGAACAGGGAAGGATGGAGGTAGAATTCTTCCTGGCCGCTCTGCCACCCAAGGTGGCGTTGGAGGGATGGTGCACGGCCTCGGGAGATGCTCACTGAATGTCACCTGGCTACCTTGAGGAGGTTCGACAGAGATAGAAAGTAGTTGGTAACTGCGAGAGTTAAAACCGAGGTTAAGTGTCTACCAGGCAGCTAGCACCAGCCCTGTAAACATCCGATTATTCGTACCGCAGGAGTCCACAGCCAGTTCGCAAGCCTTTGAGCACAGACTCACTGAGGCACATTCTGAAGCCATGCCTTTAAGGGTTGGGCTAAACCCAATGGGTGGTTTCCCAAGGCCTGGAACCAAACTCAAGGTCACGGGCAAGAGGGTGGTGAACAGCTTGCAAGTGAACCTTTACTCTTAGTTGCCTGTGTGATACGTATCCAGGCAGAGGCTGTATGTTGTGTGTGATTCACCTGGGGCGAGGCAAAGCGGCACGTTTAGGATTAAATGTGAGCGAGGTTAAAACAGTAAGAGCAGCAGACGTGTGCGTGTGTGTGGCCGGCACGTGAGCTCCGGTGCCGGGCACTGGACACAGACCCAGAAGAAGCATTTTGGGCAGAGGAGGAAGAAAAGTATAAAGTTTGCCACCTCCCCTCAGTAAAATGAAAACTGCTGGCAATTTCTTTCAATTTGAGTAATCAGAATAAGTCACCAATTACACATAAGTAAAAGAAAGTAAGTCCCTGCAATTCAATTGGCTATTTGAATAATTTTACAAAGTCCACATTAACACCTCAGTGTCTATTTTATTTTAAACCAAAGTGACATAACCATTTGAAAGTGAACAATTCACATAACATGAAGGAATCGGTTTAAAGGGAGCGAGTCAGGGGCATTTCATGCAGTGTTCACGCACACCCTCTCTCTCTAGTCCCACAACATTTCCATCGCCCCTGCAGTAAAACCACACACCCGCCTCCCCCCAGCCCGAGGACCACCAGGCTTGGATTCACCTATCCTAGACATTTCACGCAAATAGAACTGAACCGTGTGCTCCGTGACCTCTCGTGTCTGGCTCCTTTTACGTACTGTAATGTTTTAAGATTGCAGCATGTGTCATTACGTCGTTTCTTTATCACGGATGAATAATATTTCACCACGTATACATACCGAGCTTTCTTCATCTGGTCTTCAGTTTGACCCGCATTTGGGCTCCTCCTATTTGGGGTCATTGCGTATAGTGCTCATCTGAACACAGGTGTTATCTGAGTGCCTGTTTTTAGTTCTTGTGGGTACAGAACTGCTGGTCAGAGGGTAATTCTCTCTTGAGGAGCTGCCCAGCTCGTTTCCACGGTGGCGGGACCTTCGTACTTTCTCACCAGCAGTGCACAGGGTTCCACCTTCTCCACCTCCTCCCCGGCACTTGTTACCTTGCTTCTGTCCTGGGAGCCACCCTCGTGGGAACGGCTTAGTGCCTGGCGGAAGTAAATGCCAAGGGGGGTAAGTTGTAAGTTTCACCTGCTGGAAGCAGTGGCTGCTGCAGCTCCTGAGTGCGCATCAGGTGTCCCTGGGTGGGCGCTGGTGCCCTCGTGGTATCGATCCCCTACCACTGCCCAGGATGCTCTTGGGAGCCGAAGCCTTGATGGCGAGAAATGGGGGAGGCCCCTCATCAGCCTTCATGGAGTGTGTGGTTCTGTGATCGCACCTTAAGCCCCTCAGGCTGATGTTGTTGAACTTACTTCCCAAGGAAAAAAAAGAAGAAGAAGAAAATCCAGAGCACGTGGAGATCCAGAAGATGATGGACTCCCTCTTCTTAAAACTGGACGCCCTCTCGAACTTTCATTTCATCCCTAAACCGGTCAGTGTGTGAAGGTGGTCGCGTGGCGCTCGGGCACATGGGATCTCCGTCCCTTTCTGAGCATTTGCGAGGCGGGCTCTTCATTGGGTGTCTGTTTACAGAAGTCCATTTCTCGTAGCTAGAAAATGCAATGGATCAAGTAGTGCATTGTGACTCTTGTTCCCATGAGCCTTTTCTGTGCGTCTTTTTCCATGTAGTTCTTAGACTGGGCTGTTTCTCCCCTGTAACTGAGGGTGAGGTCATGTTTACGGAAATCCGCAGATTCCGTTAAACAGAAATGGAGATGACATTGAGAATGTACGTAGACACGGAGGTGGAAATGGTTTCATAACAGAGGAAAGAGCTGGTGTTTGAAGGCAGCAGAAGTGTCATGCAAAAGTGCAGGCAGCATGGACACGGCCCCTAAAACACTCAGGTTTCAAAGGTGCTGCCCCCGTAATACCGCCATCACCCGGGAGCCTCCGACTCTCGCTGTCAGCACAGCTTGTGTTTTAAATAATCCCCCAAAGTATCCTATGTGTTAGATTTTAAATTGATAGGTTTGCAACTCATTTCTTCTGTGAGGATTACGTCTGAATTCTATTCAATGGATTGTCTCTTCTCCTAGCCCGTCCCCGAGATTAAAGTCGTGTCGAACCTGCCGGCCATAACCATGGAGGAGGTGGCCCCAGTGAGCGTCAGCGACGCAGCCCTCCTGGCCCCGGAGGAGGTCAAGGTACGGAGCCCGTGCTGAAACGTTAAATACCTGTCACTATGTGAGTTGTTGGTAGCCAGATCTCCATTCATTGTCATTTTTCTTGAGTTTTGTCATCTTTGCTCTAATGTATGTCAGCAGTCTCTAAGTATAATCAAATAATGTTATAACGTATATAACATTCAATATCAGGCTCCTATAATCAGGTATCATTGTGAGGTGTGAGTATGAGAGTTATTATAAATTACAATCAAACTGTTGGCAAACATCCAGTCAGTATCTTGTTATAATCCCTTTGAATACTAGCAGTGTTAGGTTTAAACCAAATTACATATATTGTTTATATACTGTTAGCAGTCTTTGAACATCAGCACTTTCCCCTTAATTTAGCCATTCAACGCTTATCAGTAGTGGAATCAGGGTCTAGAATAGAGCATCTGGATATGGGAAGAGGCTGGACATGCCGAGTGCAGGCAGGCGCTGCCTTGTGAACACGGAACGAGAGGCAACAGCATCTCTGGGTAGATACCTCCTGTCCCTGGGGTCCCTGTGGTGGGCCCGGTGGCTGTCATCAGCGGCTCAGCACCAGGGGGCCCTGAGCATGTTCACGGACCTTGGGCTGGGGTCCGGGTGCTACAGGAGCTGGCTTTGCCCCCGGTGTTCGCTTCTGAGACGTTAGATCACAGGTGGCAAACACAAGGCCCGTGGGGCTGAATCCGGCCCTCCACCTTGTTTTATCTGGCCTGGTACCTTGTTTCTATTCGCTGGCAGTGCCAAGCTCTCGCTTATGGTTAAGCAGCAGTTACACGTATATAGTCCTGAAATGACATTTGGCCCTTTGAATGCAAGTTCAAGGCTGATGTGGCCCCTGGTGAAGATGAGTTTGACACCCCTGCATTAGACTAACTAGTGCAGTGTGTTGGTGGTTCTTTTTTAATAGGAGAAAAATAAAGCTGGAGATATAAAAACTGCTGCTGAGAAAACAGCCACAGACAGGAAGCGAGAAAGGAGGAAAAAGAAATACAGGAAGCATATGAAAATAAAGGAGAAGGAAAAACGGAAGAAACTTCTGGAAAAGAGCAACCCGGACCAGACAGGGAAGTACAGCAAGGCCGCCGCTGCGGAGAAGTTAAAGCAGCTGACCAAAGCAGGCAGAGCTTCGCTGTTAAAGGTAAGGCTGCGGGCAGGGGTCGGCCGGCCGGCGGGGGCCTTTGAGGAGCGGATGGCAAGATGTAGGTGACTTGCGTGGCAGAGCCACTGACGCTGCCCACTGGCGATGGCTGGTTACAGCCCTATACTCTCAGGTCCTCGCAGTAACCTGGGCCTCACAGCAAGCTCTTTCTCCTCCCTTAAATGACAAAACACTGTGGCAGCACAGAGCGCATAGGGTACCTCCGTGTCGACCGGCTGGAGTTTTCAGTTTCCTCTGCCAGGGGCGTCCAACCTTTCAGCGTCTGTGGGCCACAGTGGAAGAAGAGTTGTCTTGGGCCACACATTAAATACACAAACACTAACAAGAACTGCTGAGTAAAAAAAAGGTTTTAAGTAAATCTACGATTTTGTGTTGGGCCAAATTCATAGCCCTCCTGGGCCACATGCGGCCCAGCGACCATGGGTGGGACACCCCTGCTACACTTTGACAGACTGTTGTTTATCCTCATCATTTGGGGTTTTCACCTGTGAGCACATGTCATTTTCAATTGCAGGATGAAGGTAAAGACAAAGCCCTGAAGTCATCTCAAGCATTCTTTTCTAAATTACAAGATCAAGTAAAAATGCAGATCAGTGATGCCAAGAAGACAGAGAAGAAAAAGAAGAAAAGACAGGACATTTCTGTCCATAAATTAAAGCTATAATAGACTTTGACTGTGATGGAAATAGGAACGAATATGTTTATATTCTGCCAGGGTTCTGTTTTATAAATAAAGACTTGGGGAACTTTCCTTGGCCTGGATACTTGAGAATCCCGTGGTGTGAGCACACAGACTCCAGACTGCCAGGGGAGAGCCTCAGCTTGCCTTTCCTGGGTATGAAGCAGGAACCACTGGCGCAGCCCTTCCTTCACTGAACCCACCTAAAAGCCAGCTTGGGCCCCAGGCCAGGGGGCAGGAGCCACCTGTCACAACCAGCTGTCCCAGCAGAGATGCTCATGCTCTGGGGTCTTGATTTTCTTCTCTCTGTCACCCCCGTCACCCTTTCACAAAATGGCGGGATCCTTATACACTCGCCTGACACCTTTCCCCTTGGGAAATGACCTCGTCACCCAGGCCATCGAGTGCTGTCCACAGCCAGCTGTGCAGAGGACAGGTGTGGTCTAAACAGGATAGAAGGTGGCCCTGGCTGGTGTGGCTCAGTGGACTGAGCACCTACCTGCTAACCAAACCAAAGGGTCACCAGTTCCATTCCCAGTCAGGGCACATGCCTGGGTTGCAGTCCAGGTCCCCAGTAGGGGGCGTGCAAGAGACAACCACACATTGATGTTTCTCTCCCTCTCCCTTCCCCTCTAAAAATAAATAAATCTAAAAAACCAAAACAAAACAAAAAAACAGGATGGAAGGTGAACACGCTAGAAAGAAAGCATGACAGTCAGGTGCTCATGGTTTCCAGCCTCCCTGTCCAGGGAACACTTGCCTTTTGTCTGATAGTGTCTCCTAGGACACTTTGGGTGGAAATGCCTTCCAGGACTGTCCAACCTTTTGGCATCTCTGGGCCACACTGGAAGAGTTGTCTTAGGCCCTTCATTAAGTGCATGTGACACGTAATGACAAAAAAGTCTCAACGTTTTAAGCAGATTTACGATTTTGTGTTGGGCCACCTTCACAGCCATCCTGGGCCACATGTGGGCCGCAGGCTGGACACCCCCTGCAAGCTTTACAAGGGGCAGACTTTTCCTGGTCTTGGTGATCTTAGACTTGCCCCTTTAAGCTCCTGCCTCAGGTACACTCCCCGCTCCCTGCTGCTGTTTCTTCCTACAATGTCTTTCCTTCAACTACTCACTGCCTTACCCCCAGGTCTGCTCTGATGTCACCTTCACAATGAGGGCCTTTCTCTTTCCCACACTTTCAAATTGTAACCTGCATCCCTGCCCTCCCTTGGGTTTATTTCTCTTCCAAGTCTTCATCTTTTAATTCTCTACATAATTTAATTTGGGGGCTTTTCCTCTATCTTCCCCCCCTCACCCCCATTCCTCTGTGCATTGCCACACTGTCAGCACCAAGGACATTCTGTAACTCGAGGGAGGCACTCAATGCACATGTGTTGATGAATTCCCTCTTCATGTCTCTTTTCTCTTTGGTTTGTTCATTTATTCACACATCCATTCAACACACATTTATGAAGTAAGTAGTTACACACTCCTGGCCCCTGTTGCAGTCAGTGACAACAGATGATAAGCCCAGGTCCCCTGCACTCACCTTCTGGTCATTCTTGAGGATACTGGAAGCTGCTGGTCTCAGTGCCTTGAACTTGACTGATCAAGTTTAATTTTTTTAGTTAATTTTAGTTGAAACTTTCAGTTAAACATAGCCATTATTATAAATCATATAGCCTCACTATTAAACTATATTAATACCCCCAAAGTGATAAATACCCCAAACTCACCATCACTCCCCAATTACAGGAGTCCTCTCTAACCGCGGTTTCATTTTCCACCATTTTTAGTTACTGGTGGTCAAGCACACTCCAAAAATGTAATGGAAATTCCAGAAATAATTCATAAGTTTTTTAATTGCCTGCCATTCTGTGTAACTTGATAAAATTTCGCCAGGTCCTGCTCAGCCCTGCCCCTGCGTGAACCATGCCTTTGTACATTTATCCGCCCAGTAGACGCTCCGGACCGTAAGTCAATTAGGAGCTGCCTCTGTTATCGAAGAGAGAGAGAGATCACCACACACAACTCTTATTACCGTACATTGTTATCATTCTATTATTCGTTATTATTAATCCCTATAAATTAAAATCAGATATATATTTACACTTAAAAAAAACACTACACAGGGTTCGCTACTACATGCGGTTTCCGGCATCTGCTGGGGTCCTGGGCCGTATCCCGAGAATAAGAGAGGACTGTTGCACTTGACTCCGTTTTAGTATCCCTTTGCTCTTCAGGTTATTTATATCTTTTGTATCAAGGCGCCAACAGAACTTCCCTTGGGAAGCTGGCCAGCAGGACTGGTTGGGTAGTGTCCATACCTGTGTCTTCCCCCCGGGAGACCACGTCACTTTGCCGCGACCGCTCCCCCAACAAGCTACCTTCGTGCGGGCCGAATGCACGCACCGAGGAGCACCTGCGGTCTCCTCCAACAGGTGTGACCCGATGCAGGAGCGCGGCTGCCGCGCTGGGCGAAAGGACGCCTTCAGCGTAGAGGGGCGCGGCGATCGATCTCTCGGGCCTCTGCTGGACGAGCCTGTGCGAGCCGAGACTCGGAGATCGGCTGGGCATGCCTGGCGCCGAGCCGGGTGAGAGTCGAGGGGCCGCAGGGCCGGGGTCTCGGGTTTTGGGGCTGACGGTCCAGACGGGGCGGAGCCGTGAGGACTGGGGACGGGCGGCGCGAGGCGGCCGGGCTCAGAAGGAGGGAGGCGGCTGCAGGGTGAATGGTGCATGCTCCGTAGCAGAGCCCCAGGTGTGCACCTCAGGTGCGTGGCCGCAGCCCCAAGGGAGCGGCCCGGATCCCTGCCTCCGCGACCCAGTTTGGTAGCACCAGCAGCAGTGGGGACGACCTGGGGTGGGAGTCGCCCAGGGGGCCCCTCTCTCCCGGAAATGGTTACTGATGCAGTGGTCTTTAAAAAAGGGCCTGGAGTAGTCAAATTGTCCTTTTTAAGAACGGGTAATTCTAGATCTTAAAGCGAGTTCTTAGCGATGATCCCTGCCAAGTCCAAGGCTGTCATTTTAAAGCTTGGGTAACACTGAGGTTGCACGTGGAGCCTTGGTCCCCGGTCCCCAGCCCGGGGTTTTTCCTTAAGCAAGAGATGCTGCCAGCGCATGCTTAGAGCTTTCTTTTACCCTGTTTTGAATGTATAAAACGTTGTTCATCTGTATGTGTTCTCTTTTGCAGAAAGAAGAAAGCGACGAAACGAATAACATGAGGTCCAGTAGAAGCCGACTTTTTGTTCAAGGCAGGGAAGTAAAAGCAAACCATTGCTCTTTCCCCAGTGACATCCTTTATTTTGTTACTTGAAGCATCCAGCTTTTCTAACATTCATGATGCCGGAAGGGAAATTGCCTTCCAATAAAAGACCGCGTCGGAGTTTATCAAGTAGCAGAACTAAAAAAAATGAATCTAAGTCTATTGTTTTGTTTTTTAACAATGTACCACCTGCTAAACTTGCCTGTCCCATTTGTAGTAAAATGGTGCCAAGGTATGACTTGAACCGGCACCTTGATGAAATGTGTGCTGACCCCGGTGATGTCACTCCAGCTGACCCTGGGCATGGTAGCTTAATGAATTCCAATGTGTCCACTGTAGATTTAACCAATACTGCCATAGACAATGTAACACCACAGAAGTCATCACCATTAAAGACAAATTTAACCCTTGACCAAAGCGATTCAGCAAAACCAGGCGTAAAAAAGCAGACGAGTCCCTACTTTAAAAGTAGCAATGATGAGGCACGTAAAAATCAAGATGAGCCAAGTCCACGTAATGTCAAAGTCATTCCTTTGGGAAGCCTGTCATCTAAATTATCCAGAAGATACATAAAGGCAAAAAGATCAATAGAGAAGAATGAGGAGTTTGCCAATCATACTCCACAGAGTTCCTCAGCCATGGGGGTTAGGACGGTTAACTGTTCAGAGACCGAGGACAAAGATCAGATGTTGGAGAACAGTTCTCAAAAAGAAAACTTATTTATATGTGATTCTCTTATGGAACAAAACACTGAAAATACTGTAGAAGGTGCTAAGTTAGTAGAAGCAGCAAAGCAAAGCTCTACGCAGGAAGGTGGGAGATCAGCCCTCGCTCCTGCTTTCTCAGATAGTGCTCCTATGGCGTCAGCACCAGAATTAACTCTGGGGAGTAAACTACAGCCAGCTTCAGAGGCCAGTCTGGCAAAGCAGGAGAGAATCAGTCAAGTACAGGGAGAAGGTGCTGAAAAATGCAAGGCAGATGTTGAAGTCACAATGGCTGTGGCTTCGGAAGCTAAAACGCAGGTGTCAGATTGGGAGGCACAATCTCACGGTTCTGCACATGATGCTTCTAAGGGGAGTGACATCCCCAAATGCCCTCTGGAAGGTGACAGTGGCTTAATGAATGAAGTCACTGGCGGAGCTGCCTTGGAGCAGGGATCAAGCTGTGACGGTCCTGGTCAAACAGTTCCAACAGCCTTGAGCCATCCTTACTACCTTCGGAGTTTCCTTGTGGTGCTGGGAGCCGTACTTGAGAATGAAGATGATAGGATGCTCTTCGACGAACAGGACAAGGAAATCGTGGCTAAATTTTACCAGTTATCAGGTATCTTAAGCCTCTTTGCTTGCAACTTTTGGGTTCCCACTTGTCCTGGTTCGAGCGGTAATGTGATGGTTAATAATCCGGTGGCCACCAGGAGGCAGTGTGGTTTTGAGAATCATCTGGGACTCCTTGCAGGAATCAGCTTTGTAGGAGGTTCCCCTGGGGAAGGATGTGTATAGAAAAGAAACGAGGTTTTGTGCCCGTGATGTTTTGTGCCCGTGATGTCTGCGCCTGCAATATCATGGCTTTATATGTCCATAGCAGGTTCTCAAACAACGTTGTTTAAATCAACATCTTTTCATTATAACATTAATGAGATGCAGTGGGAACTTAACTCTTGTTTCTATCAGTCTTCTGTGAAATTGGTTTTGTTTTACCTATTGATGTGAATGATAATTGTACGACCTTTTCTAGATGAAAAAAAATACAGGGCGACTTAGAAAAACATACTTTAGATTTTGAGCCTGTCATCCGGGTTACAGTTAGGTCTGGTTTTTGCACAGCCTTTCCTCAAAAGTGAAAGCCAAAGAAAATACAGGAAAAAACACACCAAGGTGTGTTGAGGCCTGTTTCACTCCCAACAATATTTTAGGTTCCCGGACTCTGCCTTTTAAAGTCTGGGTGTGGAGGAAGTGGAAACTTACAAGCTAAATTGGTCCATTGAAAAATATTGGTCTGTGCCTGGGTTCCTTGGCAGCCAGCGGGGGCTCTGGGCCAGAGGAGCAGGTTTGGAACAAAAGCCGCCCTTGTGACAGCTGCACTGCGTATCCAAAGGGCCACGATGGCGTGATGGAACTGGGTCCCTCCCTCCCTTGCTGGGAGGACACGCTGACCTTGGGAAATGGGGAGCCGGGGCTGACTCCTCAGTACATTTTCAAAATTGTGAACATTACTACTAATGTGTAAATGAAAGGTTTTTGCTTTAAATTCAGACAGTGGAATTATTTCGGAATTCCTTATATTTGAAAAGAAAAGCTTTAAAAAATACATTCATTGATTTCAGAGAGGAAAGGAGAGAGAAACATCGATGTGAGACAGAAACATCGATTGGTTGCCTCCCATACGCACCCAAACTGGGGATTGAACCTGCAACCTTTCGGTGCACAGGAAGATGCTCAACCGAGCCCCCCAGCCAGGGTGGAATTCCCTATGTTTTTACCATGTGAGCCACACTGGACACAGGATCCACCAAGCTTCCTTCTCTACTTGTGCTGTTCTCAGCAGACCATGGACGTGGTGCCACACGGACTGTTCTATCCAGAGCAGTTGCATCTTGGGTTGGGTGCTGGTTGCGTTCGTGCAAACCCTTGCTTGAGTAGCTGGTGCTCCGCGCTTCCCTGGGATTGAGAACTAGGACCAGGTTCCCCAGAGCGAGTTCTGCACATCTTTGTGTATTGCTCTCCCCTGGAGACTCACTTGCCACCCGTGTGGGAAAGCAGCTACTGCGAATGGCTTTGGCCTCTTTAGAGAAAAAAAGTTGAACATTTTAAATATATAATTTTGTTATGTTAGAGTTGACAGAAATTCCATGATAATCTGGGTAACAGGGAAACTGAGACCAAACAGGTTAAGTAGCTTGGCTCAGATCACACAGAGAGAGAGGCTACCCTACCAAAGCTATCAATTTTTTTCTTGATTTTACAGAGAGACAGAGAGAAAGACTGATTTGTTGCTCCACTTACTGGTGCATTCACTGGTTAATTCTTGTATGTGCCCTGACTGGGGATCGAACCCAGAGCCATGGTGTATTAGAACAGTACTCTAACCAACTGAGCTAGCTGCCCAGCCAGGCAAAACTAATGAATTTCTGAAAATTCTTTTGGTTGAAATGATTTTCAACCACAAATGGAACGATCGATGCCTGTTAGACTGAAAGCAGAGAACAAGATCACTGCAAACCCAGGTAGGGCTTCTCTGAGCGAGTGGAAATAGTGGCTAGAAAATGGGCAGTGTGGTGCTTAGAAGTTCTAAAATGATCAATAATCAAAACAATCAATAATCATTACCAGCATTGGACCTTTTTAAATGGCTTCTAGACCAGTCATGGACTACATCATCTTGTCTAATCTTTCCACTAACTTTGGGAAGGTGGGGTTGTTGCTTTCCACCAGCCCCTTCTTATAGAAGAGAAAACGAGGTCTCAGTAAGGTAGAGTGACGTTCATGCAATTCAAAAGTGGCAGAACTGTCCATCCTGGGGATCTTCCTGTCCTTTGGAGACAAGCACATGTGACAAGGAAACAGCCCCATGAGGAGTTTTTAAAATTATTTATTTATTTATTTTTAGAGGTTAAGGGAGGGAGAAAGGGAGAGAAACATCGATATGTGGTTGCCTCTTACATGCTTCCTACTGGAGACCTGGCCTGCAACCCAGGCATGTGCCCTGACTGGGAATCAAACTGGTGACCCTTTGGTTCACAGGTAGGTGCTCAATCCACTGAGCCACACCAGCCAGGATGAGACTTTTTATTTCAAATAAATTACATCATCCACAGGAAGCAAAGATTTCCTTGGAACATAAGCTGAGGAAGCATATATGTATTTGTGGTAGAGTTCATTTTATCTCAGTTTTAAAAAGTAAATGATGTTTGCATGTCATTTTGGAGAAAAAAGATAACATTTTCCCATTTCTCTTGATTGCAGACAGTGGTCAGAAATTATATGTAAGACTTTTCCAACGGAAGTTCAGCTGGATTAAGCTGAGTAAATTGGAATATGAAGAGATCGCCCCTGACTTGACCCCCGTGGTTGGAGAGCTGCAGCGAGCTGGCTTTCTGCACACAGGTATGATTCGTTGGGGAAACGTAGAATGAACACAGGACACAAGGAATGAACTTTGTGTAGAATGACGAGAACATCAGTGTGGTGCCATTTTCTGGTTGGTGCCCAATAAACAGTAATTGTGTGGTTTTTATTAAACTGACATTTAATCTTAGGACACTGAATTATTCATGTGATGTTAGAGCCATTCTTTGCCTTCAGGATTAAGACAATTAGGGTCCCCATGGCTAGTGTAGCTCAGTGGATTGAGCACCGGCCTACGAATCAAAGGGTCACTGGTTCGATTCTCGATTTAGGGCACAGGCCTGGGTTGTGGGCCAGGTCCCCAGTAGGGGATGCGTGAGAGGCAACCACACATTGATGTTTCTCTCCCTCTCTTTCTTCCTCCCTTCCCCTTTTGCCTAAATAGATAAAATCTTAAAAAATAATAATAAAAGAAAAGACAACTAGGACCATGAAAGAGTGTCTGCTTTTGTCTTCTTGTCTGTCACATGGTTAGGCCCCCCCCCCAGCCACGTAGGGACAGGTATGTGGGGGTGTGCCACCGAAGGTACCACTTCGCCCTCCGCTGTCTCCATCCAGCCAGAACCTCTTCGTCTCCTCGCTCAGATTCCTCATTTTATGATAGGATAGAGCTGGTCTGTTTGATGCTAACATCGCCTCTAAAAACTTCACCTACCCCCCACACCAGAGCCCAGCTCAGAGTTTCTAAGGAGGTTGCCTCAGGAGTCATTTAGTTGACTGAAGCCTGTGCAAACAGCAGGCAACCTTGGTGTCTTATCAGAAACACCACGTGCCTGCCTCCCTGACCGAGCACAATATTGCACTGGAAACACGAGGATAAGGAGGATGACAGGCGGACGTCTTGGGTTCAAGTTGCCGATGGTTCAGACTGAAACAAGCAAGTCGAGCCAAAGCCAGGCTCCTCTGCGGCTAGAAAATTTGCTAGCGTTCTTTAAAATGATTTCTTTCAAACCCATTTCAGAATCTGAGTTGCAAGAACTCCCTGAAGTGCTTGAACTGCTTTCTGCTCCCGAACTGAAAACCCTGGCAAAGACCTTCCACTTGGCGAACCCCAGTGCCCAGAAGCAGCAGCTGGTGGACGCTCTGCTCGGACTGGCCAGACAGCCGTCTGTCTGCACTTGGGGGAGGAAGCCGCCTGGAGTCGGGGCAGTGATTTTGAAAAGGTTTTGTTGGCTCATTACAGTGAAAACGTTTTAAATACTGATAGTGCATCTTCACATATAATAGATGGGTCCTGCTTTCGAGCTGTAATTGCCGATTTCATTTGCAATTAGACGGAGAAGGCTGAGGAGTCTTCCTTCTGGTAGCCTGGATTCGTTCTTGTTTATTACTCACAATTCTTGAGATACCATAGTGATTTCTAGGACCGAGGAGAAGCGGGAGGCGGGAGAATGCAGGCAATAGACTTTTGGTCAATTCTAGTGTCTTGTTATTCAAGAAAAATGCAGTTTGAACTAGTATTCTTGCAGGATTCAAAGGAAACTATCCAAATTCTTACTTTTGGAAACTCTGCATGGAAGTATAATCAGTCCGTCTTCGTATGCAACTTCTGCTGAAAATAATTTGTCGAATCTGATCCCCAGATGATTAAAACCGGAAAGTGATTTCTCGATGGTCTGTTTCTCAGAGCCAAGGCTTCTGCAGGACCCTCGCTGAGGCTGTGTAAAGGCCCCCGAGCCGTCTTCTCCAGAGTCCTGCTGCTTTTCTCTCTGACTGACTCCCTGGAGGAGGAGGAGGCGTCCTGTGGGGGGCAGGGCCAGCTGTCCACCGTGCTGCTGGTCAACCTGGGCCGCGTGGCCTTCCCTCAGTACACCGTCCATCGGGAGACCCAAATCTTCCAGGACCGAGAGGACCTCATCAGGTCAGATCGCATGCACTTGCAGCCAAAGCTGCATATTCTTAATCTTATATAAAACGCTTTTTTTTTCCAGCCACAGTAGAAACTTAAGTTCCTAGTCAAAAGGGTTTTTTGTTTGTTTGTTTGTTTGTTTGTTTATCTTTCTGCCCCACGTGTATACATTTCTGAGACTCTCAGGAGAATGTAGAATTGTGCTCAGTTACACCTGCCCAACCAATGAGTTTTGGGTCAGGGCTACAAACATTTCTCCTGGCTTATGTTCCCAAGTAGCTTTGGCAGGGAGCAGCCTTGAAAACGGAGACATTTGCACAAACCTGCCTTGGGAATATGTTGTCCACACGAACGAGAATGAAGATGAACGTTTTCCTAGTAATGATGCTTCAGATAATGCTAATACCAGCGTCTGTGCTTATACCAGACCCGTGGATGGGTTAGGTTGGAAATTTTCACCTGTTCCGGTTCATGGATTTAGTGCATGTTTGGTTTGACTGGCAAAAGCAGGTTTTGATAAAAATGGCATAGGTATTATAGGGGAAAAAAATTGCATTTCCTAAAAATACACCTTTTAGAAGAAAAGTAAATTTGGATGCCCTGAAATGTCACTTCTGAGTCTCCATATAAGGTTTATGACTCCAGTGAACTGAACTTGATTCTACTTGATTTTAGGAAAGTCATTGAAATATCGTCTGGTATATTCATTCAAAAGAAATTACTGAATCAAAGCAATGTCAGTATAAGTTGATTTTAACCCATTTTCCCTTAGGAGGAATGTTTTTTGCCGAATCTTCTAATATTTCCTCTTACCCTGTTTTTAGTTGCTGTGTGTCTTTTTACCTTTGCATTTTTAGTGACTTTATACTTTTCTCTTTTGTGAGACTTTGTGCTCAGAAGCCAAGTTCCAGCTTCTATACTATTGAACTGTGCAACTGCTCTGCCTCAGTTTCCTCACCTGTAAAATGGGGAGAATAATAGTATATTCCTACATATGCGTGCTGGGACCTGTAAAGAGCTTGGGGCCTGGCCTCTGCGGATAGCTTCTTAAGTCTTAGTATGATAATTGCCATTATTACTGTTATAGCTAAAGATTGCCTTTTAATTCTGTGACTGACAGGACCATGGAGTCACCAAGTTCAAAAGTTGGGGGTGGGGCTAGGGAGAAAAAAATAAACCATATTTTTTGTAGAAAGTGGGTACCATATTTTGCTGTGTATAATACGCACTGTTTTTGCCCAGTTTTTTTGAGGGAAAACTAAGGATGCGCAATGTACGTGAGTATGATGCTGACAGACTATGGGTATCAGAGCAGGTATGATAATCCCATGTGTAATGCGTGCAAAAACGTGGGGATGCATTATACACGGAGCGCCTTACACACGGCAAAATATGGTATGCTGTAAATAATAAAAAATAATTAAAACTCAAAGGGCCCGAATATGTAAGTGAAGTTAGACTTAACTGACCCGAGGATGGTCATCCCTCCAGATACGCAGCCGCCGCCCACATGCTGAGTGACATCGCCGCCGCCATGGCCAGCGGGAACTGGAAGGAAGCACACGAGCTCTCTCAGTGCGCCAAGAGGGACTGGAGCAGACTGAAAAACCACCCTTCCCTGAGGTGAGACTGTGCGGGGGGTGGTGTTTAGGTAGTTTTCTTCATGGAGAACTTGCTCCTTTGGTCCTGCGGTCAGGCCAGCGGTGACATTGACGCCCCTGTTGCTCCGCGCAGTGGCACTGCTCTCTGGAAGGGAAGGGGGTGTCTGTGTGTTTGAGGGGGACTTTCTATATAATTCGGGTCCCTGTGCCACAGACATCCGGGAGGCCGGCAGTGGGCGGGCCGTCACTGGCCCTCGGGGCGTGCTGGCTCCCCTGAGTTTCGCTGAACTTTAACGCAGGGGGAACCCAGCCACGGGCAGACGTTGCAGGGAGCATGCCAGACAGGCTCTCTCCATGGGAATTCAAAGACAGGTATTATCCGGAAAAGGGAAATGGAGTCCAGCGCTTATCTGCAGAGTTCAAGGACACGGGGCCTACGCCTGCCTTTTTCTGGTTTGATGTTGAATGTATTCCATATTTGAGAAAGGTTTCCTTTATTGTTACACAGCGATGAGAAAAACGAGGCTGTGCTGTGAAACATGTCTTCCAGAAGAACATTTAGGGGTTCAAGTTCACGCAGAAATAATAGACAAAATAGAACCAGAGGCGTAGACACAAGGAGCGGACGGACAGCTGTCAGAGGGGAGGGGGCGTGTGGGGGGCTGGATGAAAGCAGGGGAAGGGTTAGCCAAAGAACATACATGCATGACCGATGGACACAGACGACAGTTTGAGGATGGCCAGAGGGAAGGGGGGCAGGGGCCAGGTGCAGGTGGGCAAAGGGGGTGGGGAACGGGGACATCTGGACATCTGTAATAGTGTCAACGATAAAAACATATTTAATAATAAGTTTTTTTAAAAGATAGGCACTCTGCTTTGTCACATGCTCAGCATTGTCTCACAATAAATAAACCACATCCCAAACCATGGGTGCATCCACGTTCATTTCAGGTACCACGAGAACTTACCGCTCTTTCTGCGCTGCTTTACTGTTGGGTGGATTTACACAAGAATCCTCTCTCGGGCCGTCGAAATCCTGCAGCGGCTTCACATGTACGAGGTGAGAACACAGACTTCCGCTCTGCTTTTCGGGACAGTTCAGCGGTGAGCTGGGGAAGGGAGCCCACCTGGCTGTCGACATTTTCCACAGACACTTAAAGTGGGAGGCCTGCTGTCTGCTGGGTCAGCAGGGCCGTGGCTGGGTGGCCCTCTGTTCTGGGAGTTGGCCTGAGGGTCACGGACACGGCCCCGCACAGAGCCTCAGTCACAGTCCCCACAGCTGTGCCCCTCCTGAGCACTGGGTGGCCCTGGGAGGTCTCCCACAAGCTCTCTGCCCCCCTCCCAGCTGACATGGACTGTGTGGAGATAACTTATAATCACAAAGCCGAAATTCGTCATATCCTTTCTTGCAGTGAACTTTGTGAGATTGTGCAAGGTGACCTCTGTTAGGTTTGATGTTCTGTTTGGAAAATGGTTGTTTTACAGAGGGTATGCCAAACTGGGGACTCTGTGGACCCCACAATGACATGTACATAGGGTTTGTGCGTTTTTCCTAGAGGAGTCAGGAGATGTTGCAGAGAGACCCATGAACGATGGGAGATTAGGAATGACTGAACAGTTTGTGCAAATTTAGACCAGAAAGCACCCCTGTGAAGGTGTCCTGCCCGCCCCAAATTCCTCGTGGCGCTGGCCCCAGGACCTGCAGGGCTCCTGGGAGCCGGTGGGGCTCGGCTGCCAGGAACTTGATCCCGTTCGGCGCTGTGTCGGTGCCTTATCTGCAAGAATGCCTTGCACTGTTTGTAGCTGGCAGGGCACCCACAGGGACACCTCGGGGACCTCAGGCCCCTGCAGGGCACGTCCGTGGCCTGACTGCGGAATGGGAAGTTGAGCTTGGTAAACAGACGTTGCCAGTCTCACTAGCTTCTCTGGCGTGTGCGAGTCTGACAGGCTTCCTTTGTTGTTGCGACAGGAAGCAGTCAAGGAACTCGAGGACCTCCTGTCCCAGAAGATCTACTGTCCCGACAGCAGAGGGCGCTGGTGGGATCGGCTGGCTCTCAACCTGCACCAGCACCTGAAACGCCTGGAACCGGTTCGTACTCGGTCACTACGTACGCCTGAGCTGTGCTGTTGCCATTTTTCATAAGCTGGAAAAGTGTAGCAGATTACTAACACCTTAAACATCTAAATGTAACTAGGACATTCATCATTTAACCTTTTGTCCATGTTTTCCCTAAAAGACATAACAAGGTCACGCTCTAGGCTGGGTGGTTGGAATGTTGTCCCGCACTCCAAAAGGTCGAGGGTTCGAATCCCAGTCAGGGCACATGCCTGGGTTGCAAGTTCAGTCCTGTCGGGGCACGTGTGGGAGGCAAACGATTGACGTTTCTCACATCAGTGTTTCTCTAAAACCAATAAACATGAAAAAGAAAAGAAACAACAAGGTCGCCAACACAAGCCTGACGGTGAAGGCAGGAGACCTTTGTCCTGTCCTCACTGATGCCGGAGCAGGGTTGGCAGCGGGACCCGTGTTGGGATTCAGGAATTAACCCGGGGTGTAGGGACCAGGAGAGTTGACCGCTGCGCCCTCAGCAGGTGCTTCCCAGAAAGGTGCTTCGGTTTTGCAGATGGAGGTTTTGTTCATTTGTTGCACGGGGCCTCCAGGTGAGAGGCTGCTGGAAGATGGGTTACTGCAGGTACTTTATGAGCGGCTCTGTCCCTCTGCGAGCTAGTGCGCTTGGCCGTCACACAGGCCACCTTCTCCGTCTGGGACACTCCAGGCCCAGCAACATGGGGCCTCTGCAGGCGGTGGCAGCCGATCCCGGCAGCAACAGGGGGCCCTTTGTGTGTGGCCACTAAGTCCTCCCACCCGTCTGTGCTGGCCTCGCCTTCGCCACGCACAGAGGGCTTCTGAGGGCTTTTGTTCTTCCCGGGAGCTTGTTACTTGGGTCAGGAGGACTCGGGGGTGGAAACACGGACCCTGGGCGTGGAAACCTGACGGGCTATTTTCACCGCCCTCGACTGAAGAGGTGCCTTGTGTGAGCCGGAGGAGGTCGGGCCAGGGAAGCCGCCCGCTGTCTTGGAGGAGGGTGGGGTTGGCGCTTCCTTCCCTCGCAGTGGCCGTGTGGCTGAAACAGCAACAGAAGGCACCTGCCAGCCCACAGGCAGATGTTCAGGGAGGCTGCGTGTAGGTTGCTTCTTGCTTGCGTTGAAATAGAGGTTCAAAAAAGTGGACAGCTTTCCCTCGCTGCCCCGCCCCCCGCCCTGCTAATGGGAGCGTGGACTTATATCCCAGAGGGAGGTGGGTAGAAACTCTCAGCTCCTTTTAGCCAGTTTCCAAAGCTCTTCCTGGCCACCCTCACAGTCTTCATCACTCCCTTACCACTCCTGGCGTTCTTTACATCATTGCTGGAACCCGTTGGTGCCCGCTGGCCAGGCCCGGCCCGGCCAAGGTGGGTGGCCAGTCTGCCACTGGCCCTGGCTCCTGCCCGTGTCTCATTCTTGATTCCTTTGGACCATTCCGTTCCTGATGGCCGAATGCTTCATGGATTTTCCAGGCATTTTCTGTTTTTTCTTACCCTTTATATTTTATAGTCAGATGTACATCACATAAATAAAGCCTGCCATTGGAACAGTCTCTAGGTGTCGTTCGGTGGCCTTGCACTCAGTGTTGTGACAGCATCATCTCCGTTCCCCGTTTCCGTCCCTCCCATCAGAAACCCTGCACCCATTAAGCCGTCGCTCCCTACCCCCGGCCCCCAGCCCCTCGTGACCTCTGGTCTAACCTCCGTTCCTATCAGTTGGCCTGTCCTGGATGTTCCACATCAGTGGACTCGTACAGTGTTTGTCCTTTTGTCACCGCCCTAGTTCACCGGGCACAGTGTCCTCAAGGTTCCTCCATGCGGTGGCATGTGTCAGAATTTCCTTCCTCTTCAGGGCTGAGTAATATTCCATTTTACTGATCACATTTCTCTACCTGTCGACAGACACTTGGGTTATTCCTGCCTTGTGGCGATTGTGAGTAACACTGCTAAAGACACGGGGGTGCGGGTATTCATTTAAAAATACCCCAAGTGGAACAGCTGGGCCCTAGGGTGGGTCCATGTTTAGCTTTTCGAGGAAGCCCCCAGCATTTTCCCACAGCATTTGAATTATTTTTACATCTCTGCCAGCAGTGCATGAGGGCTCCGGTTCCACCCCTTTTTTCCCAGCAATCACCGCTTCCCATTGTCCGATGGCCATCATCCTCACAGGTGCTTTCCAGTGGGTTTATTAGTCCAAGTCTGAATAACCTTAGGAAATGCATTTAGCTCTTGCAAACCTAAGCTTCTCCCTGCAAGTGAGAAGCCTGGACAGCTCTGGGTGAGAGACTCACCTGGGAGCCCCTAAGTGGTCGTACCCTGGGCCCTGCCCTGGAGGTGCTCCCTCTGTGGCACAGGGGTGGGGACACCTGTCTCTTTCAGAGCTCCCAGGTGATGCCCCAAGAACCACGGAGCCAGCTATGTCTCTCCTGTCTCTTTTGGCCCACGACCCAGGGTGTCCTGGACTTGCTGGGTCTTCATGAGGGTGTGGCAGCTGAGATGTAACCCAGAGGGGTCAGGAGCCCGGCCTCAGGTGCTCCAAACATCTGTAGTCAGGGAGCAGCGTGACTCACCTGCTATGCACTCAGAGTATCACAGAGACATCTAAGGGATAGTCTTCATCTCTGCAAGGGCCGTTTGGCTCATTGCTAATTAGAAAAAAACTCAGTAACTAACAAACAGTGGGGTTTCCTGTTGCATGAATTCAGTGGATGCGGCCAGGGGCTCTCTGGATCCTGACATGGGACTGTGTTCTTTGCTAGGCCATCAAGTGCATCACCGCAGGGCTGGCAGATCCCGAGGTGAGAACGGGGCACCGCCTTTCCTTGTATCAGAGAGCTGTGCGGCTGAGAGAGTCCCCGAGCTGTCAGAAGTACCGGCACCTCTTCCGCCGGCTGCCAGAAATCACGGTGCACGACGTGAAACACGTGAGTCGTGTCTCTCGGGTTCTGTCCTGAGAGAGGGCAGTGCAGGATGGTTTGGAGTGTGCGTCTTCTTTGGGGCTTAGGAAACAGACACTCACTTTGGGCTGTGGGTTGGCCATTGTTCCGTCTTCACCCCAGTCCCCGACTGGGGTTGGGCTGGCTGCCAGGTTTGCGCATGGCCTGGGTGGATCGACTTTCTGGAAAACTCCCAGGTCAGAAGCTCACGGCCTTTGCCAATTCCACCTCCTTGGTCAGGGTGCGTGGAGAGCAGCTCTGGGGGTCCATGTGTTCCCCCGGGCCGGGGCAGTGACCTGGACACCTCCTGGCAGGTGCCACAGTGCAGGTCACGCAGCCTTGAGCTCTGCTAAGAATCGGTGGCTTTGCAGGACAGTGTGTCCTCAGGACACCGAAGTCAGGTTCATGGGCGCTCTCCTGTTGCCACCTCAGGTGACCATCACGGGCCGGCTGTGCCCACAGCACGGGATGGGCAAGTCCGTGTTTGTGATGGAAGCCGGAGGGTCTGCCGCCCCCACCACCGTGCTGTGCTCTGTGGAGGAGCTGGCGCTGGCCTATTACAGACGCAGTGGCTTCGACCAAGGTAACTAGCACGCAGCACGTCTCCGGGCCTCCTGGTCACCCTGGGACGTTTGTCTGCTGTCCTCCATCCATCCTATCCTGTCCCCAGTGGAAGACGCTGCTGACGGGGGAGGGTGGGGAAGAGAACGAGACTGACTCTCGTCAAATGAGAGTAGGAACAAACGAGCTAGGAACGACATGAACGTGGCATTCGAACCCCCCGTCGCTCTGAGATTTCCTTCCAATTGGGTTGTGGTGGCGGTTTCTGACCAGAAGGAAAAGCCCGACTTTTCCTGTGTGTGTGGCCTGGCTGCAGGAATCCACGGGGAAGGGTCCACCTTCAGCACTCTGTTCGGCCTGCTCCTGTGGGACGTCATCTTCATGGACGGCATTCCGGACGTCTTCAGGAACGCCTACCAGGTAGCCAGCCAAGCTCCGGGGTCCTGGGTGTGCATCTGTCCGTCACCCACACCCACCTGGGCCACATGTCTGCGCCCTCCCCCCCCAAAACCGGTACAGCCTCTTTGTCATGGTGCTCATTTGAAGTTTGAGACTTGAAGGTGAACTGACCTTGAACATTCCATTTGAAACATTAGTGTATCTGCAGCTTCAACCTTTTTTGAGCACCTGCCAGGGTCCAGGTGTGTGCCAGGTGCGGTCACAGGTGCCACCTGGCACATGTGCCTGCTAAGAGTTCCACCGATTCCCCTAAAAACTCCTTCCACGTTATTACTCTAAGAACCAGTGTAATAAATTGCTGTTACATTAGATATTTTTTATATACCCCTTGAGAAAAAGAATGTGCCAGTTCAACCAGACGGGCCCGCTGTGTTGACTCGTCTCTGCTGGCTCGGTTCTCGCCAGGCATTCCCGCTGGACTTGCACACAGACGGCTTCTACGCCAGCCGGGGGCCGGCCATCGAGGCCAGGCTGCAGCGGATCCACGGCGCCCCCGCCGAGCACCTGCGAGCCTGGGTGGCGGACGTGTGGCAGGCCCAGGAAGGCAGAGCGGCTTCCGTAGTCAGCTGGGATCGCTTTGCTTCTCTTCAGCAAGCTCAGGTGAAAATCCACACGCCACACGCACACAGATGTACATGTACACGTAGGCGTGAATCTGGGCGTGTGCACGTATGCACCTGACACTGCCCCAGCCCAGACGCCAGGTGCCCACGGGAACACGTCAAGGCATACAATTCTGCCGCGCTTCCTGCCCCTTGGTGGACAGCTTCCCATCGTCTGCCCTGTGGCCCCTGGCAGTGGGGACGCTGTCCCTGTCCCTGTGGCTGGAGCCTCTGTGAGTTGGCGCTGTCGTATTCCAAATGGCTTCCTTGCCTGCTCCCAGGGTTTTCCCAGCTGGCAGAAGGGCGGTCGCTGGCAAAGGAAAACTGACTTTGGAGCTGCTGGGGGAATTTTAGCCGGCAGCTCTGGAGCCCCAGCACAGGCAGCAAAACCACAGCTGGCATCCCCCAACCCGCAGCTGTCGGGCTCCTCTGGGCCCTTCCTGTCTCATGACCACTAGGAGTATTTCAGGGCCGCGGTCACCAGGGAGTGGCTGGTCACCCATATTTCTGTGTTCAGGACCTGGTTTCCTGCTTGGGCGGCCCCATCCTGAGCGGCGTGTGCCGGCGCCTGGCTACGGACTTCCGGCACTGCCGAGGGGGCCTGCCGGACCTGGTGGTGTGGAACTCCCAAAATCATCGCTTCAAGGTCAGTCCAGCAGGAATGGGAAGTCCTATTTGTAATTTGATCAGCAACTTCATCCCGGGTCCCCCTCTAGCCAGTTCTTGCGTGGTTGCTGGGGAGATGGAGTCCCTAGAGAACTACTGAATGGAAGGCCAGGGTTCTGCAGCGGCTGGTGAGGCCTCCCTTGATCCCTCCGGGGACCTGCCTTCCACGGGGCGGCTCACGTGAACAAGATGGGAGTCTGTCCCCTCTATCCTGATCTTGCAAGTGACGTGCCATCACTCTCGCTGTCCTGCTGTTAGAAGCAGGTCACCAGGTACAGCTCACACTCAAGGGAGGCATGATGTAGGGCTTACACACCAGGGGCCCAGGAGGACTGGGCGCTATTTCTGAAGCTCCCGAGAGTGAGCACCTCCCATGTCGCAGGCGTCTCCCTGGCGTCTGCTGCTGCCATCGTAGGTGAGCTGTTTTCTCATCACTGAGTTTTGAGACTGAAAAACAATTCTGGATATTGTAAGCCCTTCATCAGATGTATTGCATCCCAGTCTGTGGCTTGTTTTTTCATTTTCTTAATGGTGTCTTTTTAAGAGCAAAAGTTTTGTTGACAGCGGCATAGTACAATACAATGAGCCATTTAAGTAACTGTAGCAAAAACTAGCTTACTTGCAGGGCTGTTCTGTTTCTATAAGATACTGACAATTTTACAACTGCCCTTCCAGCTGGTGGAAGTTAAGGGCCCCAGTGACCGCCTCTCCCAGAAGCAGATGCTCTGGCTGGATGAGCTGCAGAAGCTGGGGGCTGATGTCGAAGTCTGCCACGTGGTTGCTGTGGGCGCCAAGAGCAAAGGCCTTGGCTGAGAGCTGTGGATCCAGGATTTTCAAAAGCTTAAGTGCAATTACGTTTGTTTCATTTTGACTTTGTTACTGGTGGCAATAAACCTGAGAGTAAACTTGATATTGGCCCAAACAGAATACGCCTTGATTCCACACAGCAGGTAATGAACTTTGTAGAAAGGTGAAAGCGTGGGTGGCCGTTTTAGGACTGGAGACAGCAAGTCAGCTGAAAACCCCCCAACAACAGATAAGACAGTGCATGGCCTTTATCGAAGTCGCATGCAGTGGATGGAAACAGATTCCGTTTTCCTCTTCTACTTCACCCATACCCTGTCTCACTTTATCATTATCCAAGGGCACGAGCAGCTGAAATTCTTATTTCTTTGGGAACTGAAAAGCAAATTCTCAGTTACTTACTGCATCAGTCAATGCCTGCTCCTATTGTCACCAAAGGAATGAGTAATCTTTATCAAAAGCATGTGTCCCTTTTCATCCTTCTTGGGAACATCCCCAGTGACTAGATTAGGGGTGATGTTCTGTGTGGACAAAACCACTAACAGAGGGCTGCTGTCCCCACGGTTGGAAGCCCCGAGCCGGGGAAGGTGTAAGAAAGACAGTTCACCGGAATGGTGGGCCTGGGAGTCAGCCCGGGGCCCCAGGCTCCCACGGACCAATTCTGGGACTTCGGGGAAATGTCACTCGCAGCATTTTAGTTGATTAGGTGAAATGACAAATTAGGCCATGGTTCATGAACACCTACGTGGCCACAACTCCAGCCGGTTCTGAAGTGAGGCTAAAAAGGTCAGGGAATCACTCCTGTTTTAGAAGCCAGAGTGCGGAGTGGACCCCCCACACACGGGCAGCTGGAAGGAAAAGCCCCCACTCCTCGAATCGCTCTGCTCCTGCAGATGACGTCACACCGATGACAACTCCGACCAAAGACAGATTTTATTGAACAGGCAGAATTTCCTTCACATTCATTACTGCTGAACAACAAAACCTTTCTTCCTGCCCCTCCTACTTTGAACTCAAGTCATAGTCAATTTTAGGCACAAAGGTGTTAGTTGTCTCTCAAAGTCAAGTTTTAACTACTTGAGGTTACTGCTACAGCAAGCCGACTTGGCTGGAGGATGTGCTGAATGGTTTTCACCCTCTGTTAGCACAAATTAATATACTTCTCTTAAATAAAGTTAGACATTTTTGGTTTTAAAGTTGGTTTCCATTGTAAAACAACAGTAAGACACTGTACATCTTTAAGCTCAGTACTAGAAATCCCAGCTGTCTGGCGCCCACGGGGCCCAGCTTCCCTCACGGGACTCTGGGACCGAGTGGGAGGCTCACTCTGGGGAGCGCACTGACCCCACGTCCTGGGAGCTCCCGGGGGCACCAGGCAGCTCTGCAGCGGCCAGGACTGAGGCCGTGGAAGCTGTTTTTCATACGGTGCACAGTACACTGCAGCACAGTAATCACGATAGAACCTCCCACAAAATAACACGGAAAACCGTATTTTACTACATTTATCATACAAAAATACGCACAATTTCTATCTGAAAACAGTATTCATAGTACCTAATTGTTTTTAAATCTGTAAATCAAGTTACTTGAGGAGTTGCAATAAATGTGTGAAGGGAAGAAAATTATAGAGAAAACAATGCTCAACCCTCTCCGAAAGTAACGAACTTACGATTTGTAGTAAAGCAGTAGCTGATGAAAAAGAATAATGAACTGCATGCGTTCAGAGACTGAAAACTGGCTGTGGTGTTTTGGGGGGACTGGGACAGGATTCTGAAAAGGACTCTGAAATGTTCAATGGCAACGATGCTGTCCGAACAGCCGGAAAGAGCCCTCATGTTCTCGGTGACCCATGGGAGAAACACTGAGTTTCTACGCAAGATGAGTTCTCGAAGATGCTGTGTAGGAACTCTGTCCCTTTAAGTCCAGAGACACTACCAAACAACTTACAAGGCAAATAATTAAAAAAGAAACAGCTATTCATCACAAAGGCAGGTAAAACACTTGTTTTAGAGAGGGAAATAAGCTAACCAGACACTACTATAAAATTTTCTTTAAAGTTCACGGTGGCAGTTTAAGAAACCAGGTAAGAGCAATGTGAAAACGCTCGTCCTTTAAACAGGGAGTGGGGAATGCTGGGAGTGGTGCCACACGCCTTGTCACAGGTTACACCCTGATGCCCCAGCTTTGGCTCTTGCGCATGACTGGAAAACGGGCGTTCCTGACCAAGACGACCCGCCCCTCTGCTGCTCAGTCTCCTCTTGATATTGCTGTATCAGTATCAGGGTTTGGCGGGGGAAAGGTCTCTTGCTATCTATTAAAATGATGGGGCTTTGAGAGGGCATTTCTTCTTTGTTACTTTGTTTAAAGATTTTTTTTATTCATCCCTAGAAAAAGGGAGGAAGAGGACAGCAATATCAGTGTGTGGTTGCATCTCATGCACCCCCACCAGGGACCTGGCCTAGCCCGCAACACAGGCATGTGCCCTGACTGGGAATCGAACTGGCAACCCCTTGGTTCGCAGACCAGTGCTCAATCCACTAAGCCACACCAGCCATGGCTGAGAGTGTGTTTTTATTTCTCTGGTTCTCTCCTCTTGAGCTCTGAGGACGCTCTCTGGGAGGAGGGACTTCGGGGAAGGTGACCGGACTTGTGGCCTCATTGGTTGTTTCCCAGGGAAAGTGCCAATGACAGCCAGCTGCACTGGCTGAAAATACTGAGGAGAAAGCCCTCTTCAAGAGGGTGGGCTCACTACAGACGGCCCCCCAAAGTGCGGGCAGACCACCACCCACAGGTCTGCTGTGCCCTCACAGACTTTCGGGGTGCGGGTGCAAATGTGGCTTCGGGCACTCCTGGTTATTGGTATGAACTCAGTGTGAAAAGCCTGTTTTCGATGTGTGTGTGTGTGTGGCGGGGGGGGGGGGTAAACTCCCTAATTTAAAAAACAAATTGTATTTTACTGTTTCTCTTACCTTGATATTAATGTCAAAGGCACTTCTAAGTTTAATTATACTATCTACAGCAATTGCTTTTCAAGTTAACAGTGCACATCATTTGAGAGTTAGTCCTAAGAAGTTGAGAGAGCAAACTCAGGATTTTAAGACACAGTGATTTACGGTCCCAAAGTGGTCAGAAATAAGTTACGGCATTGGACACTGCACCCTCAGGCGGGTCCAATCAGAGACGACAGAAGGGGACCAGAAAGATGCACAGATACCCCCTAATGCCGGTGGGGGTTTATCCGTGCTTCTCAGAAACATGCCCAGCCCTGACTGCTCAGCGCTCCTGACAGGGGCTCCTCTGGGTCACTAGCCTGAGGATCGGGGAGCCTTCTGAAGGCAGCAGGAACAAGGGGTGCAGACAGATCCGGAGAGTTTGATCACAGTAACAAGATGTGGGCACATCTGCCGGCACATCGCCTCAGAATGAGCCAGACCTACAACGACAGGGAAAGGACATCAAAACCGAAGTCCAGGCCTACCTTCTAAAGAGTGAAGGAAGCATAATTGAACATGTTTTTAAACATTAGTGCAAATTTCAACGGTTGTTCTTACATATAAAGTTATTAGAGCTTCAAATGCCTGGGTGAGCAACTCTAATTCAGAGGAAAAAAGCGTCCAGCTCCTCAAGAGTCAGAAAACACCCTTTCAGTCTTCATTTGCTAGTGTCTCGGTAGATAACCATATTTTGGCCCCACTTAAAAACTTGCTCAATGGTGTTCCTGAAATGCTTCGTCTGCACAGATTGCCGACCGGGGAGAAGGGAAATGAGGAGGAGAGAAACTCTGGCGTCCCCGAGGTGTCGTGGGGGCCGCTGGCCCGGAAGTACATCCTGCTCTGGTCCAGCTCTGCGTAGCAGGCCTCCAGGGGGCCGGCCCGGTGCTGCCGCAGCGTCCTGCTGAGCACGTCCACTTCGTCGGCCAGCAGCGAGAGCTTGTGGAAGGCAGTGATGGAGCCCCCGCGGCTGATCTGGGCCTCGGGGACCCAGCGGAAGTAGCACAGTTTCCACAGCTTTATGTGCATCCCAGACACGTGTGGCAGAAGAACACCGTGCAGGTCGGCCGGTTTGGAGAACCATTCCCGGAAGAACTGCTCCATACTGCCGTCCTGGCCGTCAGCCTGCGGCACAGGGTCTGGCTTTACTTTCAATATTAATGAGTTCCTCCGTGGAAGGGACTCTTGGTCACTGAGGATCCCGTTTTTGAAGGAGGCCGGCACTCCTCTCAGGGTGGAGCTGTAGTTTTTCTGCACCAGAGAGAGCGGTGAGCATTACTGTCCTGGAAGGCCCTTTTCAGAAAGACAGCAAAGGTGCAGTGGCAAGTACAAACTTGGGGTTATGAGAAACTGGGGAATTTCGGCCTGAAAGAACACTGTGTTCCTGCCCTTGTAATGCTTATTCCAACCTTCTTCCACTGAAGTTTAGCTTTTCCAGGCCTTGACCCTACTAGCTTGCATGGCGGCAGGAGGCAATATAATCCTATTCACTCAACTGGCTGAACTGCAGATTTCTCAGATTTCTGGCTTAGAAAAAAATCTACGCTGGCTGATTCTAGAAGGAACAGTAGGCAGAGTGAATGGGTTTCAAGAAAGGGGCCTCCAAGCTCGCAGCTGTGATCTGCTGACTGTCAACACTGCCCAGGGCTTGAAGGAGCCCTTCAATATCCTTGAAGGATATTTTACAACTGCAGCAATGGGCCTCAGCCGCCAAGAAGGAAAAGCAGAGAACGGTTAAGTCCTTTAAAGAGCATGGGATCCTCAACACCTGCACTGGCAGCGTCGTCGGCATTGAAGGGGCTTCCCTGTCAATACTCTGTGTTCTGAACAAGATGTTCCTGGGTGTGTGAGCCAGTACCAGGTGGTCATTTACCTTGGTCCGTTTGAAGGGCTTCCCCGAGCCGTTCTGCACTCGGGGCATGCTCCTTCCGACGTACAGGGGGTTGTGGAAGAGCGTGCGATCCTTCGCTGTGAACTGAAGAGACCAGTCCCAAACCGAGGGGAACTTTAAACCCTTTTCATCACCTAACTGAATATTTTTGCTTATGGCAAATTCCTGCAAAATAAAAACGAACCTTTGTGAAAAGATGCCAAAGTAAAGATTCTCTCACGTGAATTCCTGGTTTTGGATGAGCCATCTGTCATCACACAAGTTACATTTTCAGAACTACAGCAGCCCCAGCCCACAGAGCAGCACACTTTCCTTCCCGAGAAGAGGCACCCTTAACACCATGGGCCCGAGGACTTCTCAGCCTGTGTGAGCAAGCGCGCTCCTCCTGAAGACAGAAGGAGGCTGGACCCTCTGACCATGAGGATGCTATTACAAGAACTCAGACTTCATAGACATGACACCACAAATGTCCAAGTTATTTTACAACTGCAGCATCTTCCTTGTGAAACACGTGACCACACATTTATGCAGTTACCTGTGAGGTACAGAACTTGATAAGCGAAAACAGCAAAACCACCTTTCGGTGGAACTGCTGCCATCCACCTCACACCTCCTGTCCTAGGGGAGAGCCGCTCGCCACCTACCCAGTGACCTCAGGGTCTGGACCAGAGCCCAGGAGCAAGAAGGAACCCACTCCCCATGTCCCTCATGTTTGGCTGAGACCATGAAGATCCCAGGCCCTTGCTCACAGGAGCCCACCTCCACCCCTGCTCTGGCTCATGCAGCTTGGTGACCTGCCGACCTACTGACCCAGTCTAACCAGCTGAGCAGCGCCAGGCAGCGCCAGGCAGCACCATGCTGTGGGTGACATGCAGCCACCTGTCGGTCTAGCACGGGGCCCACGTGCCGCCTCTGAAACTGCTTCTGCACACAACTCTCCCAGAAACAGAATCCTGTTAGTGCATGATATTTGCAGTGATTAAAGCAACTTATAGCAGAGAAAGTACGTAAAATACTCATAAATAGGAAGCTCCTAGGTTATATCTTAGTTCATTCAGGAAATTCATTCATTACAGCTTAAAGTGGTAGTTAAAATCGTTCCCAAGTATATACAGTCAAACTCTGTTCTTGAATGTCTCCCATCTTGAACAAAACGCTTCTAAAACAGCATCCTATAACAAATTAAACTCAAGAACCGAGGACCCACTGTACTTAAGACACGCAGCTAGCTGTCCTTCAACTGCATCTCATTAAAGTTGGAAAAACAAAGCAGCCACAGCCTCAACATCGCTTACTGTGCTCTGCTTCACCCGCTGGTGCGGAGAGTTGAACAGGAAGGTGCCGAACAGCGAGATGTGGGTGCTGTCGCCCAGCACGGCCAGGTAGGTCTCTGAGAACTCGAAGGCAGCAGGGTGCTGCTGCAGCAGCTGCCACGTGGCGTCCAGGAACAGCAGGAACAACGGAGACTGGGGAGCACGGAAGACAAGGGGTCACTCAACACGTCCTTCCCCCCACACCTCTCCTTCCAAACTCATCACTGATGCTAGGAAGAAATTACTAACAGAATGGCCAAGGCCAAGTGTCTGGCCCTGCGCTGAGCTAAGGACATGTGAACAAACACAGCTCCTGTCAAACCCACAAAGAAGGTCTGACATGATAAACATCACAACCCTCACCTGCCTAAGAAGCAGGCAGTTGAAGGTGAAATAAACAGTTTGTCACTGTATGAACAGGGACAGTGAAATATGTGCAAGCCTTGCCTGCAAACAGTTCTTTGGAATATAAAAAGACCACCCAAAACCAAGAAACAACTTCTGGGATTAGCTTCTAGGTGACTTGGCAGCCTCAGCTTCCAGAAACTTCCCTGAGTTCCAGCAAAGAGCTGGCACCACCAGCCCTGGGGTCCCAGCCGTGTCCCCACAAACAACAGCTGACAACAGCTACTATGACCTGCCCAGCGCATCCTGAGGAGTCCTGGTGTTTGTCACAAAACGCGAGACGCCACAGGCCACATACCGCACCTGCTCTCTGAACAACCCTAGTGACAAGGTCCTTGCTGGGCTGCTCGCAGCATAAGTAGGGACCCAAGGCTGCCATTAGCCCCAGCTGCTCCAAGAACGCCCCTCCAAACACCCCATCTTTTCCACACCGTGTCCCCAGGCAGCTGCATCACCCTGGACAGGTCCAGGTGGCCACAGCAGCCTGGAAGGTTCTGTGGCAGACGAAAAAAGCACCCGCCTGGAACTGCAGCTGGTGCAGAGTGAGTCTGCAGTGAACGCTCTGTCCTTCACACAGGTACCCCACTGTAAGAATGTGGGAGAGTCCAAAAAGGATTTTTCAAAATATCTAATGAGCTCATTATTTACTTTGCAAAAAAATTAATGCATTTCTCCAAGTAGTTTTCAACTTAGAGAAATCAACAGACGATTCTTCACATTTCACCCACATAGCTACAACAGTCTTCACCAGTGTGCTGGCCCCCTGGACTAAGACGCTATGCTGTGCTGAAGGCAGCATTTCAAAAGCCCCCCGTCTCCTTCCAGAAGGCGAGTCTTTGCATACCCCCAGACTGGCAGTCAGCACTGAGCTGTGTTACCTCCTTCTCTGATCTCTTCAAGTGGTTGCACCTGTCCAGGAACTGATACCCGGCCATGACCCACTCCTTCTGTATCAGACTCTGGAACCCGGGAATTGTCCTGAAGTGAGGGTCCAGCATCACTTGAATGAGAGAAGCAACAATGCAGCTCAAGTCTCTTCCCTCCTCCTCTGTCAATAAAATGGAAAGTGAATGAGGACCACACCGAGAAAGGCTGCAAGGGAAGGAAGGTAAAGTGGACAAATTAGTGTTCTGTGCCTTCAGAATAATCGCCAGGAGGAAACTAACAACTCTAAAATACTGGACTTTTACATCTCCGGTGGGCGATGGCCTTTTACATGGGAACATTTCCCAGACAAGGGCAGCATGTCCCTCACGGTGTCACATCTCCATGGTGGGGGGTGGGGCTCTTCCATGAGTCCCTTCTGCCTGTTCTGTCAAGGACATGAAACTCTAGGTAGTCCTCCTCCTGACAATCTGCGTGGTAAATGAGAGGGATGAGACTGTCCACCATCTCTGATAGCTGGTACCCTTTTCAACAAGGCCGGTCACACCTGGATCTCAAAGGCAGCCAAGCAAATAGAAGAAAACTACTGTCCAATATCCCTTAGGCTTCAATGTAAAAGTCACCAACAAAATATTAGCAAACCAAAGCACCCCAGGAATATGAGAATTTATCCAAGGAACACAAAGCCAGCTTAACACCTGACAATCCCAGGGACAAATCATATTGATAAGAAAGGGTGAAAACTACATGATCATCCCCCTACATGCACAGAAAGCATCTGTTTGATGCAAGTCTGATATTCGTGCTGGGTAACAGCTCTCAGCAAACAAGGAATAGAAGGCAACTTCAGTCTCTAATAGGAGTCTATGAAACCTACAACCGAGATCCTCCTCATCAGTGAGAGACGGGGCACTTTCCTTGGAAGATCAGGAACAAGACCAGGCTGCCTGCTCTCGCCACTGCCATTCCACCCTGCACTGCAGACTCTAGCTGGGGAATTAGGCAAGAAAATCAAAGCCACCTGGGTCCAAACGGAAGTTGCAGTAACCATATCTGCCGATGTGACCGTGTATGTAACAACCCTATGGACCCGACAAAATAGCCACTTGACCTCACGTGTGAGCTCAGTAAAGCCACGGGAAGTCTATCCACAGCACTGATCTGAGTGAGCAGGCTATAAACCTGAAAATAAAATGGGAAAGACAACTGGACTCACAAATAGTATAAGAAATAAAATATGTGCACAAGATCTGAACACTAAAATCTGTGAAACTGCTCACAAAATGAAAGCAAATCCAAATAAATAGAGAGGCAGTCCTTTCATGGACTGGCAGACTCAATGTTGTGAAGGTGGCATTCTCCCCAACTCTACCGATGAGTAAATTTGGACACCCCTACCCAAATCCCACAAAAACATGGCATCTATAAACAAAACACTGTTCAGAAATTAAAAAACCAAGCTGCTGACACATGCTACATGAATGAACTTCAAAAATAATGTTAAGCGCGAGAAGCCAGAGGCAAAAGACCACTCACAGGAAAGCTCCAGAAAAAGCAAACCTAGAATCCAGAGGGGAGTGGGTGCCCAGAGCAGAGACACAAAGAATCTTTTGGGGATAACAGGAAATTTCTAGAACTGTCTACTTACTTAAAATCACTGACTTCTACATTCGGAATGCGTACATTTTATACTATATAAATTGTACCTCAGCGAACTTTAGAAAACACTTTCTGCAAGACAGTGTTACAACAGTGCAGGCCACTTCCACCACAAGGAAGGCGGCAGAAGGACAGCCTCGTGCGCGGCAGGGGGAGAGCAGCCAGTGGCTGAGAGAGGACCGGTCTCTCCGCTGCTGGGCTCCGCATGCACTTGTGAGTCAGAGACACTCAGACTGTATCCGCTAACGATGACGTGAAAGACTGCATCACTACTCTTTCCATCCCCCGAGGGTTTTAAATATTTTTACCTTTTCAAGTCATTTAAATCTGAGTTGGGAAAAATACTTCTGTAAGCTTTGGCAGGATAGTATATTCATATCCTAAGCAGTATGAATTTATTACATTAACAGGTAGTTTGTGGTTTATTAAATCTTATCTCTAAGCTTAGACATTCTATTAGCTATAAAGCTATTTAATATATAATTACCTTTTGCTCAACCGGAAAATTTTATATTGCAATTTTTTCTACCAAACATTAGACAAAATCCACACTATTGGCTGTTCAATTTAGTCAATTTCTTAATATCAAACCATTTCTTTAAGGCATACTCTGGCATGAGCCAGAGGCATTTACACTAAGATTTGCATGAATTAGAAAGATGGCACCCTGGCTGATGTGGCTCAGTGGACTGAGTGCCAGCCTGAGAACCAAAGGGTCGCTGGTTCAATTCCTGGTCAGGGCACATGCCTGGGTTGCAGGCCAGGTCCCCAGGAGAGGGGTGCGAAAGAGGCAACCACACATTGATGTTTCTCTCCCTCTCTCTCCCTCCCTTCCTCTCTCTCTAAAATAAATAAGATCTTAAAAAAAGAAAGAACAGAAAAGAAAAAAGAAAAGAAATAAAAGATAACACAGAGAGAAGGGCTGCTTGGCCAAGAGCAATACTGTGTATGATCCCACTAAGGACTGTGAGCTCCCTTCCCCCGAGGGAGGGACGGAGGCGGATTAAATACTTGGCCATCGACTGGCTCCTTTCTGCTCTCCTGTGTGCAGCCTCTGTGCCTGTTTTATTCTAACAGTGTGAGAAATCTGGAGAGTGAATGGGGGTAGTGTCAGACATTAGAGATGGCTAAGAGTCAATACATTGACTTGAACGTGGACAACAGTGCCCCAGCTGGCTGGTGACCAGTGTTCTTAATAATGAATTACCTTGGAGGACCACAGAGACTCGCTTGCTTTCTAGCGTGTACACAAGTTCTGCTGAATGTTTCAGGAATGTCCTGAGAAGAGAAAAGAAAACGTTAAAAATGAATCTGCACTACAAAGATTTTTTAAAAGTACTTGAAATTGGGCAACTCTAATCCTGCACTGTACACATTTGTATTCTCAATAATGTTTATGAGTTTCTCCAGTATTTACATGACTCCTCAACAGAGAACCATCTGATTTTTATACCAGGGAAGTTCATCAACCTTTGGTGAAGAGGAAGGAGCAGATTTAGAGAACACTCTTGAAGGATCAAATAGCAGAGATGGAGAAGAGACCAGCTGGGTGCCAGGGGACAGGGATGGTGGGGGGCGAGGCGACTCTGAGTGGCAGCAGGTGGCCTTGGGGTGGTGGAGCTGCACGCTGATACTGGCGGTGGCCACGAGAACCTGCCGTGACAAAGCTGCACAGGACCACACACGCATGAGCACGTGGGCCTGGGAAAGTGTGAACGTGGCCTGCAGACTCAGCGGTGTCACCTCCCACACAGCTGGTCACATGGGTGCCACCCGGGGGAAGCTAGCTCGCTGGCTCTATGCGGTTTCTGCACCCGCTGTGGGTCTGTAGTTCCTTCAAGTGTGAAGTGAAGACAAAAGGGAACATGGGGGTACAAACCTTACATATTCCAGCCACCGCGCGCTTTCCAGTGAAGACAACCATTTCTCTTCTGTTTCTTCAAAAGGCTCTGTAGTGAATATGTAATCATACAAAACTTATTTACACAGACACATACGGCACATTCTCAGGCTTTTTAAGCTTAATTTTACATGATCTGATCGAAATTAAGTGCTACATCAGTTTTTAATATTTAAAAGTTGGCTTTAAGGAAGCGTCAGGCACTTTCACTCAATTCTTTGAACATTTTAAGAGGACAGGTTACAATCCTCCTTAAAAAAAAGTGTTTCCTGGGGCTCCACCTTCTCTCTGGCTCTTCCAGGAAAATCTCGGGGCGAGTCCAACCCTGTCCACCTCCTAAGAGGTCATGATCCTGGCCCTGTGGTCAGCCCAGGCCCTGACGCTGGCCCCCTTCTCTTGGCTTTCTCACATGACCTTGCCCTCCCTGCACATGGTTTACACGGCCTTGGCCGCTGACCACAGCAGGGAGGAGGACGCTCTGATGTCAGGGCTACCCTGCCTGGTCATGACCTGGCTCCCGTCAAGGTGCCTGTCGCCTCACAAACCCCATGCTTCAATCACATCTGACTAAAGGGCCGAGAACCATCCATGTCACTGTGTTCCCACCCCCCAGTCGGGCCCACTCTGACCCAGACCCACAGTGACAGCTGCCACTCCGGGCTCCCAGGTGGCTCAGGGGCTCATTCTGCGCACACTCTCCCGAGGCCACTTACGTGGGCCGTCCCTCTGGGGCACAGTGGAAACGCCTGACGAGCGCCTGCTCAGACAGGCCCACCGGCAGTCTGGGCCTGCGCAGACCACGCGTGCCTCTGTCAGATCACGTTCTCAAGGCAGCTGTGCCTGTCTGAAAGCACCCCACTACCCCTTTCACGACTCAAACACCGTTTCTTCAGTTAATTTTCCCCTCCTAAACAGAAAGTATTTGTTTGAACTCTAATTTCTAAGGGCTCCTGACCTCATACAGTAATAACCCGTACAAATATTTCAGTGAGCCTCTATTTAAATATATCTGTTGCTATGTTTTTGAGGAATACCACTTTCCCTAACATACCTCATACAACGCTGTACCCCTGTTCACTACATACATATATATAAAATAAAAATGAAATTACCATTAACGCACAGTTGTTTCAGTTTTACAAAGGCCGCTTGTATTTCTTGGATATTGGGCAGTGTCTTATCCAAATCTGATTTGTAAACATCACTCCTCTGTGGATGACTCTTCGTAATTGCATTACAAACCCTAATGAAGACAAAATCCTTTCATCACTATTCAACCACTTACTCCACGTACTTTTCTTGAACACCTACTATGAGCCAAGACACTGCTCCACGAGTTGGGGACAGAGAGATGAACAAGACCGGGCAGGCCTCTGCCCCCAGGGGTTCACCTCCTGCCTGGGGGTCAGGGGAAGGGAGGAAATAACAGGTGGCGGTGAACACCACGGGTGCTGTAACGGTGGGGGGGTACGAGCTAGTTCAGGCCCCATGTAGGATGAAAGCCAAACCCCAGATGACCAGGAGCTGTGCATGGACCTGGGGACAGTGTTCCAGGCAGAGGGACAGCAGGGGCAAAGGGCCTGTGGTAGGACACAGCTTAGCTGGCGGGGAATCAGGGAGCTGATATGACAGGTCTGAGGGTGAAAGAGTGGAGATGAGGTTGGATAAGCAAAGGAAGCTGGCCTAATTACGAAGAATAGGATAGCTGAAAAACCAGAAGGAACTGAAATAAGTGTTGGCTTACTAAATTAAATTAAAGTCTTCCCTTCCCTTTAAGAGCACTTATGTAATCAGCAGGCATGCTGGTGAAAACAAGGCCTGGAGTATGTGGACATACTTATTTCTAATGTGGGTAAAGTGAAATTAAAATCCACCAGGCAGTAATAGTTTGTGCAAAATCCACCAGGCAATAACAGACTTGTGCAAACTGTAGTCACCGGCCTCTCCAGAAAACTGATGGGTCATTTGAGAGTCACTTGCTTCAGCAAATGTGCCTTTCTGGGCTGCGGCACTGTGGAAACCCCTCAGCTCTGGCTGTACCAAGAACACACTGTGATGTATAATCTCTGTGGCTCTCTGAGCCTCTTTTCTAAGATCTGTTCCTTTGCTCTTCATTTACTTAGCAAGTACCAAATGCATAATATTGTAGGTGTTTCCTGGGTGTTGAACAGACAACGGTGTGAAAACCGATAGTCTCTTCACCGCATGAAGCTTACAGTCTATTCAGAAAGACAGGCGGTAATCAAACTGTCACATGCACAATTAAAAATGGAAAGAGCTACAGTGTGTGACTTGAGGCCAGACCTGACTTGGGCAGAGAGGGAAGGCTTATCATACACAAAGATGATGAAGGTGACAAAGGTGATAGCTGCACTGGGACCTAAAGAATCAGTGAGTCCTGAGTGGGTGGGGAGAGTACCAGAGGGTGGGCAGCAAGGGGGCAGCCCTGGAGAGGGAAGAGCACAGGCAACGGTCAGAAGAGGAAGACCAGGGAAGTCCAGGGTGGCTGGAGCACAGGAGGGAAAGGGCACAGCCCTAGACGAGACAGACGAAGTGAGGGTGCCCTCCAACACACTAGTACCGGTGAAGCTGGGTGGCCACGTACGTGTTTTTAAGATTTCTAAAAAGTGAAGTAGCAGAACTAGGTGACCGCCTGGACATGGGGAAGGAAGTGAGGAAGGGGTCCCGAATGGCCCCCAGGTTTCTGAGGAGCAGGCAGGGAGAGGGCCAGGTGGCCAAGTCCTGGACACAATGAGTTGAAAGGGCCTTCGAGACCTCAACATGGAAGGTATGAATTTAGAGTGCAAATTTAATTTGATGGTCACTAAAGCCACAAACCACCGGTGAGCTTCTTGAGAAAAGAAATTCAGAAAGGGAAGAGGAAGTGGCCCCCGACACTCCAAAAGTACCATCTGCAGAGGGGAGGCGGGCCGGCCCCGGACACTGAGCCCCGGGAGCAGGGGCCCTGAGAGGAGAGACGACCACGGGGCTGCCCACCGCTGCGAGGAGGACCAAGAAATGCCTCCTGCTTGAGTGACCCACGGCAGTATACCGTATTTTGCCATGTAAAATGTGCACCCACGTTTTTATGCACGCTACACATGGGATTCTTATGCCAATGGTATGTATGTCATCATTATAACCATGTATAATGTGCATCCTTACTTTTCCCTCAAACACTTGGGCCAAAAAGTGCACATTATACACAGCAAAATATGGTAATTATAGAAAAGTCTGATTGATCCTGAAGCTTCTCAACTGGAAATCACTGCAATCTGAAAGCATGTTAAAGGCAACGGTACAAGATGTCAGCAACATCTTATAAGTCACAGAATGAAATTACATTTGGTATCACTTACACATGACCTCATTTTAACATGTTCCCATTCTTTTCAAAACGGTCATTCTCACATGGAATGTGCAGTGCAAACTGTCATGACCCTGCCATTTCCCCACTAGTTTCAGCGACTCACAGGTTCACTGAACTTATCGACGACCACTGACAGGTCCCAGTGAGGAAGCCCACGTCCTGCTCACCTCTGGTCGACCTTCCTCTGCTGCAGCGCATCCTTTATGAGGGCCATTCGCACAAGTGCACTGCCATTGGCGTGGCTCCAACACCAGAGCTAGGACGGAAGCAGAGCCTTTATGTCACTGGGTCAAAAAATGGACCCCGATGTTCAAGAAACCAACAGAGGTCACTTACCGGCATCCTCCTCCCGACAAAAGAGTGGGAAAAGGTCTTCAGGTCTTGGTCTGCTAAGGAACTTGGCACGACAAAGTACTCGGGAAGGCTGTAGGGAAAAACGAATCACAGCGTCAGGGTCCCGTGCTTCGGGCAGGGTACGTCTGCCCTGCAGACCCCACACACGACGAAACACACTGATCCCCATTTACTGTGCGCCCCACTTAGCAGCTGCTCAGCACACACCATGGAAGGCACTGATGACCCCAGATGGCTCAGTCTGAAACAGGATGACGTGGCCAACCACCACAAAATTTACATCTATAGCAGGGAAAATCCAAGGGAGACACTGAAATGGTTCCAGGATGACTGGCAATGAAACATGATGGCAATTTCTGAAAAACATATCCATCTTGTTCTCCTGACAGGTGATATAGGTAAGAAGATACCAGGCACACAAAACCAAAACCCAGAAATCCACTGAGAAGCTTTCCCTCCCTCCCTTCCTTTCTCCCTCCTGTATCCTTCCCTGTCCTCAAGGACAGGCAGGCTCCAGGATCCCGACTGAACAGCAATTACTAGTGGGCTGCTCGATGCACCTTAAGGCACCTACCTCCTCTCTCTTCCCCCCACATGGCCGAGCAGGTGGACAGACAGGCCCAGCCAGGTGCTTCTCAACACGTAACATACCAGAGTGTGCTGGCCATGAAGTCTAAAGTCAAGGGGCAGCAGGAGACCCAAATTGCAGGCTCCAAAAACCTCCCCAGAACTGCACCCCTAGAAGTGCCTGGTGCTAGTCAGTAGCTAGAGCAGGGCAGTGTTTTGATCTCAAACACTACTTCTCTGCAAGAACTACTGATGACTCTAATGGTCTTACAGTACAGCATGCCCCAAACCCATGACTACTAAATGATGTAAACAAACAAGTTTACATCATTTCCCCGGTCACTTTTGGAGGACCCTTGGGAATCTGCTCATTGACCTCAGAACTGGTTAGGTAAAGGGAAAAGGGCAAACACATACCGCAGACCAGTGAGCAACACAGTCTGACCTGCAAGGGTCCACTTACATTCAGAGTTTTTCAGTGACTATGGCAGAAGGAATACAGTCTCTTCCTCATGACTTTCTCAATAACGTTTTCTTTTCTCCAGCTTACTTTAAGAATGCAGTTCACGACACACATCACATATAAAATACACCTCAATAGACCGGTTATGTTATCAGTAAGGCTTCTGTTCAAGCAGGCTATCAGTGGTTAAGTCTGGGGAAGCCGAAAGGTATAGGTGGGTTCCCAACTGTATGGACTTTGGTGCCCAAACCCCCGTGTGGTTCAAGTACAGCTGTGCTTACGGGTCCTAACAAGCTGATGGGGGAGGGAGGTCTGCCAGAGGGATGACAGAGTGAGAGCCTGACCAATAGCACTGGTCATCACCACTGATGAACACCAGGGCAGCGACAGCCCCAGGAGGGACCTCTGCATCGCAGGATCAGGCCACCCACCACCGGGCCCTGTCCCTCAGCATCCCAGGGATGCCCGAACCCGGTGATGCAGCAGCAGGCACACAGCAGCAGGTCCACAGCACCACCCACTGAGGCATTCTTGCCAAACCCTGAGCCACATCCAGTGAAACCCGGGGCCCAGCTAACACCCTACAGGAAGCACGGGAGGCAGAGGAGCACACTGAAGGGCAGTGCTGGCATGGAAACAGCAACATCCTGAATGTGGAAAACTCCGAAGAACAAATGGCCTGGCTCTGTCACCAAATAAAGGGCTAATAAAAAGAAGGGTGGGAGGAGACTGTCACCCATAAAAAGGCCCAAGAGTCATGCCAGACAAGTTCACTGTGTTCCCAGCCTGAACACACGGAGGACACAAGGCCTTTAACGAGACACAGACACACACAGACACCGACTGGATGAACGCCGGCAGCGAGGGAGGACTGCCAGTTCTGTCAGTGGACACAGGCGCTGTCGTCATGTTGAAAGAGCCCTTTCCTTCCACATAAACCATGTGTGAAGGCATTGTTAAAGACAAACGTCCCACCAACTGCAGCCTGGAAGTTATCAGGGACAGCAGTGTGATTGTCACTCCTGCAGGGAGTCAAACCTGGCTGTGGGCAGCGCCACCCCCACCCCGCCCCAGCCCCAGACTCACCACGTGGATATCATGTAGCCCTCGTTGATGGAGCAGACCCTCCACCCGGCAGCGCCTGTCCTTTTGACCTCTCGGTCCCAGTCGGAGTACGTCTCAAAGAGCGGGGTCTTCTGGCTGCCGCCTCCCGTGGGCACCCCGTTGATTTTGTTGGCTACAAGAAAAAGCAATCTTACCAGTTACTTTAACAGTGACACAGCATCCCGTCTCCTGTCGCAAACACCGCAGAGGTGGCACCTCCTCCCTGCTTGTCCCTTAGGCCCTCCTGGACTGTCTTCCTTTTCCTAGCTGTCCTGCCCAAGAGGCGGCCCTTCTCTCTCCGGACACCTCAGGCCCTCCTGTCCTTGCCCGCTTCCCAACCCCTGCATCACCTTCCAGCCGTCCTCCCCCACCTGGCTCTGTTCCGATGCCTTCAAACCCACACAGGCCCGCTGGGCTCAGAAGACCGCCCCTGGTTGCGCTGGACCCCCTAGCATTCTCCCTGCTCCCTTTTGCTGACCCTCTTTCCCCAGTGAGAAACGATGCCTGCTGCCCACACTTCCTTGCCATGTCTTTTTTCCTTAACGTCAACTGTCGTTTACCCCTACTAGTCTATGAAAGCCATTCACGAGCCTCCCTCACTCCCCCGTCATAAACTGTGGGGAAATCCAACTCACTGCTCATTTTCTCCATGTTTTGCCTGGAAAAATAAATGCATCCAATAGACATCTGTTCTTAAGCCATCAAGCCCACCACCATTCTAATAGTGACCTCCCGACCCTTTTCTATGGCTCATGATAACACTCTTGTCTTCTAGCTGTATACGGCTTCCCTTTGACAAGCTCGCAGGGATTCCTTATATTCTACCAGAGAGCCAGTCCATTTAGAATTTCAGCACCAAGTGCCTGGACTTGAAGTTCCATAGCAAGGAGACTTCTCTCACTGGGGAGCACACTGCAGCCTTGGGAGGGCCTGCAGAGGAACTCCCAAGGACGAAGGTGTCCCAACACTCAGCCTCATCCATCCTGCCCATCTGGGTGACAGATGGCACATCTCTCCTGGCCCAGTGTCTCGCTGTGAGGGCTGCAACTGTGGCAGGTCTCCCAGCTGCATCCCTGTCACGCTGCTGTGCTGCACCCAAAATTGTCTAAACTTGCCACGTGACCACTTCCCAAAAAACGCGCTTTCACAAAGCTGCACTGTTGCCCCAAACTTCTGGTCATGCTCCTTTTCTAACCAAATCAAGCAATCTTACGTGGCTTCCCTCACAGAACTGATCTGACCTTGATTTCCTGTTATTTCCTGACTCCCACTCTCCCCTGCAGCCATGAAACACCCTCCTCTGCCCCATGAACAGGCCGCACCTATGCCAACACTGTTTCTTAGCACCTGGTGCAGGACAGATGTTTTCTGAGACCCTATGGAGCTAAGGCCTGAACAGGAAAGCACAGTTCAGACCTGACGTCTAGCTTCAAAGCACCGACACTGGTCACAGGGTGCTGGGTGCACAGGTGGGATGACAGGGCAACAACAGAAGCCCCAGCTCCCCTAGGAGACCAAGGTGGGGGCAGAAAAGGTCTCACGACTTGACCCATCTGCACAGAGTCATGGGGAATGAGCCAAATGCTGCTGGGGGGTGTTGAGGAGGCAGCAGGCTTGCTGGACAGGCAGATCACGATTGACACGTGTGGCCACACAGTGTCAGCGAGCCGGGGTGCTGGGGGTGAGAGGGATGGCACGTGAGGGGCTGGAAAATTAGTTGGGCCTGGACTCTTGATCTGTGCTGCCCCCAACAGTAACCACTAGCTCCATGGGCTATTTAAACTGAAATTAAAACTAAATAAAACTAATTACCCAGTGACTTTGACTTTGGCAGAACTTGTTAAAAATTAAAGTAGTAACTCTAAGCACAGATCCTGGAGTACCCCCTGCCCTCTCCCCAGATCCCCCTCTAGTACTAGTAACGAGACCGGAAGGAGCCTTGGGGGTCGTGACCTCTCCAGGACACAGACCCTTCATGGAACCCCAGGCAAGGCCCACTTTGTACACATGGTCCAGAGAACCACACCCACAGAAAAACAGTCAATGTTAGGAAACCTAAGTCATTCATCACATGACCAAATTAAAGGGGAAGAAACCCTGTGATCAGCTTGTAAGTGCAGAAAAACAACTGACAGAATTTAATCCTGCTCATGATTTAAAACAAAAACTCTGGGAAATTAGAGTAAAAGGGAATTTCCTTAACTTGAACAGGGGACTTATTAGAAACCCAGAGCACACATCATCTTCATTAAAACCAGGCACAGACAATGCCCGCTGTCGCCATGACCCCTCGATGCTGTACCAGACATCCTCACCACACAAACAGACAACTGCCACCACAAACGCAGAAAGGACACGCTCAAGACTTCTGCGGGCACTGTAACCAGCCCGGCAGCACATGCCTAGCCGAGGGCCCAAAACAAAATACTCTTCGGTGTTCCGAAGTTCTGGGCTTCGGTGAGCTGGGCTGAGAACACACTGCTGTTTGTGAAGGGGGAGAACCTACAGGACCTTGCAGTTTCTGCTGTTTTATTGATTTCGCTGGTTCAAAACCTGTCCACCTCTCAACAACCAGGAGCAGGTCTTCTTTATGTTCCACACGTTCTTCAGTGAGAGCTTATAAAATGTGTAGCTGACCCTTAGCCTAGCATTGTAGAGTCTGGTAACTCGAATATTTTCCAGAAACCCCCAAAGGCCTGACAATGCCTGTGGCCTGCTCCACAAACGGATCTGACACGCATCACTCATAGGGGTCACAGCAGCAACCCAGCAAAGCCGCTCATCTCAGGAAGATCTGAGTCGCCTGACAGTCAGCCAGCAGGTTTTAGGGCACAGCTCCTCAGCCAACTGAAAGTGAACCCTGAGTCTGGGTAGTCCTGACCTTGACTCTCTTCTGTGATACTGTGCAGAGATGATCCCAGTGAGGCCCCTTTCCTATTCAGAATGGCCGCAAGCCCCAGTACAGACAACAGAAGCATTGCACATATGAAAAGAAAGCCTGTCACTTCGGTGGTTCCCCAGAAATCAGATGTGAAGAAGGCAAAAAACAGACTGCAGTCACTAAGGAGTTGGACAGAGGTGAGCTACCTTGCTGGCTCCAATGGGAGATGGGGACCTGCAGGCTGGGGCAGAGCCAGCACGGCCGTGCTTCTCAGAGCCCCTCCAGGGTTCTGAGATGCCTCTGGCCAGCGAGGAATTACTAGTATGCAGGAGACGGGAGGACCTGTCACAACATTTACAGCTGTGCTGTGAGTCTGAAAAGAACTAGTAAGCACCACTTCAAATGCACCGTGCGCTCTGTAGGCAGTTTCCAAATGAGCTTCGGGAGGAAAATCTAGTATCAAGACCCATGTTAATAAAAAAAATACAAATTTATAGAATAAATGTCGCTAAAAACGTGCATTTTCTGCTGTGAGCCAACATGCTGACTTCAGAGTGCATCACAGTACTTCCCAGCACGAGGTCTGTCACGACTGGAGCTGCCAGCACTGAGGCTGCAGGTCACTGCATGAGGTTTTCTTCAGAAGGGTATCTGACATCTTATCAAGTTTATAACAAAGATGAGCCTGTGCTTTCTGGACATTGTTTGCCCAAGAATAACCTGACTGATGAAAATAGAGTCCTTATGGTTTCCTTTAAGCTCAAAGAGAACAAAAGGAGCCCTGTTCTCCACGCCAGGCTCCCTGTGATGTGATGGGAAGGACCGTGGGGGCTGTGCCTCACCCTGAACTTCAGCAACCTCGCAGAAGCACCTGAGTGACTGCAGAGCTTCTCGGAGATGGTTTTTTACTGAAGTGATGTTGAGTTTCTGAGAACCAAACCTCAGAAGACCTAGGGCCATCTACAAGATTCCTTTGTTTCATAATTGCAGGGGACATCCTCTAAGTTCAGATCTCATGTGTGGAAACAGCTTTGTCACCTACCTGCCTGCAAAAAGGACTTCTTTAATCCAGCCAATAAGTCAAGATGTCATCCAGAAGTTCAAGAGTGGATTACTGGGCATCTTTCACTCACAAATAATGAATGCTGACTGCAGTGTGTGGAAACCTCGGGCTTCTTTTCATCTTAAAGATGCAGTGTATGCTTCTGCAACAGCATGGAAGGATATTAAAGGCTGCTACCCTATGAGGAATCTTAACAAAACCTTGGCCAAGTGTTATGTTTATGAAGTACTGTCAAAGGCGGGGCAGTCTAAAGGATGTAATATAAAGTGCTCCTGAATATTTTAAGTATTACTTAATCAATTTCATCAACAAGCTGTACATAAAGAGATACACAGAACTGACAGATGCACGTAAGGGAAATGCAGCCCTGGCTGGTGTGGCTCAGAGGATTGAGCATCAGCCTACAAACCAAAGGGTCGCTTCCCAGTCAGGGCACATGCCTGGGTTGTGAGCCAGGTCCCCAGTAAGGGGTGCTCGAGAGGCAACCAGACACTGATGTTTCTCTCCCTCTCTTTCTCCCTCCCTTCCCCCCTCTCTAAAAATAAATAAATCTTTAAAAAAGAGAGAGAAAAAATGTATCAGGAGGGCTGTGGATTGAATAAATGAACTAAGGTCCTGTTAACACAGTCATGCCCGCAAGGACGGAGGAGGAAACCTGTGAAAAGTAACTGAAGCAGGGGCCAGCTCACCCGGTGCACAGTAAGGCTGGCTGTGTGTGCTGAGCCCCAGGCACTGCGTGACTGTGGGAAGCACAGAGCACTACCCTGGACTCAACTATTTCCATCAAGTTAAAAGTGGCGTCAAGAACTAGTCTGGATCATCAAGAAATTTAAGTGGGAATCAGAGACTCTCCTACAACTCTTGCACCACTTGGAACTCATTTTAGCTGCTGTCCTTGACAACAACCCTGATGATCGTGGTCCACAGCTCAATGGCGACGCAAAGGAACGCTCATCTAAGTGGCAGGGCAGGACAGGAACTGCATTTTCTTTACATTAAGAAGTAAACTTTAAATTCAACTGCAGTGCTCGATCTAGGTTGCAGTTAGTTGTATTTCGGTAAGAAAAATTAAGTTACCAAAACTGTGTGGTACAACTTCCATACAGTGCTGTGACCTTCACATACCATCTATGAAAGATGCCTCACAAGTGTCTTTCAAAACAATGAAACCACATGGGCGCCTCGTGCATCTGCAGACACTACACTGTTCCCATACTTTAATGCACTTACGCTGGAGTGATCCTGCAACATACTTATATTCTACAGAGTATGTAAATTACCACCATATGTTTGGAGGGAGCAGAATGGAAAGACCAGTACAATGAATAACGTATAAGATCCCCTCCAGACCATGCTGGATGAATAGATCTTTCACTATAAACCTGTAACTGATTTATTTTTCTCTCTTGAAGAGTGGAAGACCACGTGACTTGGCGAAGTGAGCCGACGTGCAGTCACAAGGGGCTAATATAAGCCATGACCTCTTCATTTACCCTCCTTCCTTTTATGAGGTTTTTAAAAATGGCCAATTAAAATTACATTAGTATATAAAAAGAATGTACAGAATTACATGAGCACCTGGAATTCTCCTTGATTACGCCACTGCTGACATAGATATGTGGCAGAACTCTCTCACGTTTGTAAACTCTGCCTAGAATACACCTGTCCTCTGGACAAGCGCTCATCTTCCTTCCATCAGTCTTACCCCAAAATGTAAAGTCACTATTTGACTGTGTTAATGAGGTCCCCTACAAAGTTTAACCTCTTCCACTTTTCCATGCAATTACACCTTGCCAGAAAGGATCATGCATTTCAAATATTTTCATTTTCCACCACTTTTATGAACAGGTAAGATGAATTCAAGCTACCAACCAAACAGGGGAGAATGCTTCTTTCGTCAGAACACACACGCCAACAACGGCAGTAAGATACTGCACAGCCCCTGTGCTTGCAGTTGCTCACAGGGTCTCCCCAGCCCCTTCTGAGGAAATAGCCAGACAAGTACTGTCTCTTTCAGTATGCAGGGCCCGCCTCTCTCACAGCCATGAAGCTAAGACTCCACAATCACTAGAGCCCACGTGGTAAGGGGCTTCTGAGAAACATAACATAAAATGCGCACAATGTAAAGTTAGTCACAATATTGAATATTTTCATATTTACCTGAATTGTGGTATTTTTTCCCAACATATTCAAATGCAAAGAGTAGCTGGAGGTCTGTTGGCTGGGAATAATGAGCTATTGCAAGGCATACCTAGGAAAAATTCTACATTTAGAATTTGACGTTAACACACTCAGTTAAATGAAATGCACAATCAGGCCTTGGTTACTGGGAGCGTCTTGGGGCAGCGGTATCGGACCCTTACTTACACGGTTTCCTGCTGACCTAGAAGGTGGAAGAGCTCCTTAAGGCCAGGTGTCTCACTCACTGTCGTGCCCTTAGGACATTGTTCAATCCTCAGTGAGTAGGTGGAAAGTATTAGGTGAGTGTTTGCTCAGCTGAATTTTAACAGGCAAGTAACTGTATTCAAAGAAATGACACTTGAAAACTAAAGAGGCATTCTCCCAAAAGGCAGTGACACATTTACTAAGGGAAAAAGCTTTCATTTTTGGTGAACTCTAGTAACCTAATACCAGCAATCTGGAAGGCATAATGGAAGGCATGAAAATTTAATGTTCATACCTCATGGATTAAAAATAATGCAGCCTTAATAGAATATCTACAATCACAAAAAGTTAAAAAAAATTAGTGAGACACCCCAGAACGCACAGGTGGCTCAAAGAGGTACATACAAAACAAAACTGCGTTTCGGTAAAATGGGCTGAGACAGGCCTGTGGTGTCAAAACCAAAGGCACTGCCTCGCTCTGGCCAGCACTTGCCACAGACCTGTGTGAGGCCAATTCCTCTCCCTAAGCCTCGGGTCACGCACCCTGCACCGTGAAGACAGTATCCACGGCTGTGATGGGAATTAACAATCTTAATGCTCGTGTGGCCCCTGGAGGAGCTCCACACATGGAGTTTGGTTCTTATTACTCCTAACTGCTGTGGGACAGAATGCCCTGTGCTGACACAGCCCTGGACTGGATGGTGGCAGGAAGCATTCTTAAGTGAGCAAGAAGAAAAAAGAAATTTAGAACATATGCAAGGAGAGAATACAGAAAATCGTACTGAAAAAGATTAAGCATCATTTAGAAGGAAAAGCATGAAGCCAGTATGATATACTTTTGATAGCAAGCAAACAAGGGAAGTTGTTAATTGTTAGTTTGGGGTAGGTTGATGCAAATTCTGTCAACTGGTAGGTACGTGTTAGCTTCCTGTTTAAAATATAATAAAAAGCCTTCTAAAGAGTAATGTTTCCTGTCTTTCTAAAATATACAGCTAAGAAGACATCAGTTATCATTAGCTTTAGTTTTGACTAAAAACAACAACAGACTTCCTAAAACTCACGACGTGTCTCTCCCTCACTGCCCCCTGGAGCGCCTGGTAGGGGGGCCCCCAACTACGGCCCCCACCCCGCCCCACCCCACCCTGCCTTGTGGTCTCCCTGCCAGCACCTCTGCAGCAGCAGCTGAAAGCTGTGCCCAGAGACGGTCCCACCGCCTTGTCCTCTGGGCCTTGTGTGTGGTTTATAAGCCTTGTTGTACTTTCCTCAAGATTATTTCTCATTCCTGCCCCATTTCTCTGCACTGCCACAGCCACAGCCTGAAGCCACACTCACCTGATGGCATCCCTGTGGGCTTCCCTACATTCCAAAACAAATCTGCAACACGCACAAACTCTCTTGAGAAGATGAGATTCTGACCAAGCAGTCTGCTCTCTGGATAATTCGCCATGGCTCCCAGACGCCTCCATAACAAACTCAATCTTCCTCTTGATTCTGCAGACACTAACCCGCCACCCCAGATGCCCCTCACCTTCCCACTAGCCCCTCAGTGTCCCTGCACATGTTCTACCCGGCCCTGGCCATCATCTTTGCCACTCTCTGCTCAGGAAATCCTTCCCCAATGCTGAGCCCACCAGGCTTTCTGTGAAACTATCACCTCCGTCCAACTCTAATCCCTGACAGGCTTGCCTAGACTGAGCAATCTCACTGTTCCAACTGCAGGCACCCCTGTTCTCCCTGCACAACAGCACCCCGATATAAAGTGTTTCTTCAGTGAACTGCGCTCTGGTGGCTATACTGCCAAGGTATTCACATAATAGTTATGAGTGTCAATAAAAATAAGGCACTAGGGTTGTTTCTCTTCCATCACGTCCAATTGCTCCAGGGTAGACGTCATGCCTCTCATTCATTCTGCTGCAGCAAACAAACACTTACATTCTAGTGGGGAAGACAGATGATAACAAGAGAACTAAGAAAAACCATAGTAAGTTAGATCATTCTAAGTGCTACAGGAGAAGGGAAATCCAGAGGGAAGGGCGATGAAGCACTACAGAGAGGGGAGGAGGGGTGGGTTAGTAACGTAGACACAGACCAGAGGCACTCTCTGGGCAGAGCCAAGGAAAGGCCTGGAGACCCCGCTATCCCAGCGGCCTTTCAGTAGCCTTCTGAAGGTGCTGTGTGCCTAACAGCAGCTGCACTAAAAACACTTGTTGGCCAGCTTAGTTACTAATGTAAGAAGGAAAACGCTCCAGGTCGGTAATACTGTATCACCCCTCTAAGACTTTTAGAAAGCAGTCACAGGCCTTGTTTTCACAAAAGCCAGTCATATATCACTGGTTACAGAATTTCTAAGAGCCCATTTCTAAGAGCCCTCAACCACAGCACAACACATGTTTCTGACAACTAGGGAACAAAGGGCATGCCTGATAGCACCCAAGTTTAGAGAAGGTGTAAAAACGGTGCGGAGCTGGGACCCAGGCTGATCACGTGCACACGGCTGCTTTGCAGGGAGGGGGCACAACCTGAACTGGTTGTTCACCAGTGGAATTATGAGTGTGGGTAACTGCTCGTAGGACCGGGGTACGGGGTACCTCTGGGGACGCTGGGCTGCATTTGGGTTGCCGGTCTGGGGCACTCTGGAGAGAGACAGCGGGCCAGGAGTCCTCTTTCCTGAGTTTTTCCATGCACGCTATTTTAAAAGCCTCCATTCACATTCCCAGCTCCCATCACCTTAAAAAGTAGATCTCTTTCACACATATTTATTCTAATTTTGTAACGTATTCCCTAAGCTTCAAAATTTTTGGAAAAACTCTGAGTCTTTAAAAACTGCCTGTGAAATAGTTCATTTGCCCTGGCTATCAAAGGAAATGAAGAAAACCTTGGTAGTAAAGACATTAAATGATGGTAGATATTTTATTGTGGGGAAGTGATTTCTGGACCAAGGTGGACATTCTTGTCTGGGCGGAAGCCGGAGCACCCACTGGTGGCGGCTTCCCCTCTCGGACCAGCTGGAGGGCAGCCCGGAGCAGGTCGACCCTCACCAAGTCCTGGCACAGAACACAAACTGTCTTCCTGTCCGTCTGCGGCCTGAGAGCCAAGAAGTCAGTCTCAGACTCGGGGCAAAAATGACAGGCCAGGAAAGGCCAACTGTTCTCTGACAGAACAGCTGAATTTTCACTTGTAGCAAGTGAGCCTAAGTAGGCGGTTCACAGCCAGGTAATGGGAGAATCAAATTGAGACGTGAAGGCTGTGTCTTCACTGGCCATCTTTATATATACACGTGAAGTGATATACATACTACAAGTGATAAATCACTAAAAAATGTTTTTATCCTGCTGCGAGCGAAGGCTCTTCTAAACGAAATGGCAGCTCCCAGCTGCTGTGGCCCTAACTGTCCAGCTCTGCCCTTCCAATCCCATCCCAGACCTTTCCCAACGTCCTTCTCACGTGCTTGGCCCCACCTGGGTCACCGAGGGTGAAGACTGGGGATGCAGGAGCACGAGGACCTCTTGTTGTGTCTTAACACAATTTAGGCACTGCCAGCTAGACTACAGAAGGCTTTACCTCAATATTTAACAAAATGTGAATCAATTTAGCATTTTAAGATTTCATATTTCAAACAGAAAGATAAACACTTTCAGTTTTTTTTAAAATTTATTTATTTATCTATCTTTAGAGGAGAAGGAGAGAGGGAGAGAAACATCAATGTATGGTTGCCTTTCATGCATCCCCTGCTGGAGACTGGCCTGCAGGGAACTGGCCTGCAACCCAGACATGTGCCCTGACTGGGAATTGAACCCCGATCCTCTGGTTCGCAGGCCTGTGCTCAATCCACTGAGCTACACCAGCCAGGGCAACACTTTCAGTTTTTAAAAGTTAATCAACAGTTCACCCACCAGAGAACTCTGAACATGCATCTGGTCATTTTAAAACAACTTTTAAAGTCAAAGCATTTCCAGAGAAAACTTAGCATTCGAAGTTTCAACGAGATAAAGTCAATCTGCAGCTTCCCAACTTGTTACCTAATTTTAGATGAAAACTTCCCCTTGAAATAAAAGAATGCTAGAATTTTGCTTTTACCTCACAAAAGATTAAGCTTTGGCAGCCACATGTGATGCGACCCTGTGTTTGAAGACTTCTAAACCAGGGGAAAACCGTTCTATTTATATTCTTATTGCCTATATATTATTTCCTGTGAGTCCCGCCTATGACTGTACGAAAAAACAAAAACAGTGTTTCTTTTGGGTCTGCGGTAACACGCCTTTTATATTTTCAGACAGTGGGGACAGGATCCTTGCCAGGAACTTGGTCTTGGGAAGACAGGGCACAAGTGGAGCCCGGCTGGTCTGTGCCCACAGCTCAGTGGGGCCTCCTGCCACTGAGAAGCAGCAGACAAGGGACAGCCTGGGTTTCCAGGGCATTTACTCTCTGGGTCACTCATTTGGCAACTGACCGTTCAAGTGGGAACATCTTTTATGTTGCCACTTTGTACTACTCCTTAATTTTCATTTGTTCATGCTTTATTTTCTCAACTCACTTAGCTCACTGTCTCAGACATCAAGAATGACCAACTCGCCCTGGCTGGTGTAGCTCAGTGGATTGAGCGCAAGCATGCAAACCAGAGGATCGAGGTTCAATTCCCAGTCAGGGCACATGCCTGGATTGCAGGCCAGGTCCCCAGTAGGGGGCGTGTGAGAGGCAACCACACAGTGATGTTTTTCTCCCTCTCTTCCCCTCTCTCTAAAAATAAATAAATAAAATCTTTAAAAAAAAGTAATTTGGCTAAAACATTTTATACAGTGTCAACCACCTAACTATATAAAGACTTTCTACATGAGACTAGGCATCTTAAATTAGTAAAATGCCAAAAAACAAACTGCAGACCTGAACAGCTGAAAGGGGCTTTCAGAGTTACCTAGCTGAATTTTCAGTAATGTATCAAGCCAACGGGTGGCTTCACGGACTCCGTGTGAAAACTTTCAGCCACAGCCCCCACCATCCCTGTGCTAGACAATCTAGTCCAAGTGACCATGTGTTTTCAGATATTCATCTGTTTGTTGTCTTCCTGTGAAGAAACTGTTGATTCTAGTTCTAAAAATAAATCTACCATCTCCTGACCAAAGCAGTATATGCAGGCAGCTGCCTTAAGACCATCCTGACAACTCCTTTTGATAGCAACAGAAAATTTATGGCAGTGAGTCTATTGTTCACGGAAGACAAATGCACCCAGTTTCTGGTGAGGCCAAAGCGGCCTCACTTTTGAGAAAGTGACTTCCTGCTTCACTGAGACACTGTCGCTCTCTTCTCTGCAGACAGAAGCAGGCTTCTCCCAGAACTCTGTTACTATTCTCTGCTTTTGCTGCACTACAGACCGGACTGGGAGGCACCGGGTCCACCAGCTTCCCCCTTCTACAGAGGTCAAAACGTGGCTCTGAAGTAGGGATTTCTGCCCTTGATTCTTACTTCATGAAGAGACAATGTACGTTCCCCTGGAAGGCAGGGGGTTTGGGGGGGAGAAGCCAATTAAAAAGCCCCTAGCTTTTGGCTGCCCCTGTGGAATGTCATTCAGATTAATCCACTAAGATTTCTTTGAAGCACTAACACTCACTAGGTCCCTCCCGTTACTCTTCATTTGCCTAACCCTTATGTGAGTAAGTCTACCTACCTCTTAGTGTGCTGATAAAGTTTGCTGACAAAGTTCTAGGGTACTAAATTAGAGGTCCTACCAAACTCATTTATAATATATCTACATCTTTTCAATCTTTTTAAAGAATCTTAATGTAAAAGATATACTAGTCTCCACACGATACCTTTCAATATTTTAAGAACTGATAAAGAAATATATAGAATACTTTGAAGCAACCATAAACTAGTCCAAGGAAATAGTTCTAGTAACATATCTGACAATTTCCCCTAAAAAAAAAAAACAACCTGAGCAACTGAGAAGTCAGAACTACCATACAGAACTGAAATTGGTAAGCATAATGCAAAACCCAGAACCTGACAAAGCTTAACCAGAAAAAAGTATTACCTTTTTGGCACTTTCAGGACCTGATTCGTCGAAGCGAAATCTGACAATTCTGAAATCTTTACAGTAAATAATCAACTCAGTTGGATTAAACTTCAGTTTCTGGTTGGGGCCCAGGACTTTCTGCTTCCTCTTATGGTCATTTACTTAAAAAAAAAAAAAAAAGAAAAGAAAAGATTAAAATGTGAAACAAGTCGTCCTCACGCCTCACTCTAACACCGGACAGAGCCCGAGTGAGGACTAGTGGAGGCCACCCCCCCCGCCCCCCGCAGCGTTGCTTTGCTGGCCTTGCACCGCTGTCTGTCAGCGATTCCTAGAGCTCCAGGGGACCAATTTTAACTTCGCTTTTGCAGTCACTTCAAATGATTCTTTGCACACCAACCACCACCCTCTAGATACATTTTACAATTAAAATTTTCATCTAAAAGAAAACAAGTACTAGATACTATAAAAAGCTATACATTCTACATCTCCATTTTAAAACAACTTCTTGATCTCTTTTAATAATGTTCTTAGTACTCAAAAAAAGGGGAAAAAACCTACAGAAATAAAATTCCAACCCAAGTATCTGAATTATCTTCAAACAATTCTTCCAGGGTAGTAATACCAGCTTTATGGATGAAGTAAAGCATAAATATACCTGTGACGATTTGCTCGATGCATGTTAATGGGACATCGTGTTCACCAAGAAGGAGGTTCCTGAAATGGAATTTCTGAAATACAAAGTTATGTTCACATTAATTCTCTTCCCAATAACCCCACCATGGTAATACTAACCCTAACTTCCTTTCAGAGTCAAGAGCCGTGACTCAGGAAGCAGCACGCAAACACACCTGCAGTGGCATCGGGTCGTCCGTGATGAAGGAGATTTTGAAGTTGGTGCAGATCAGCTTTCCCCACAAATCGTACTGACTGGTGTCTGTTGCAATGCATTTTCTCACAAAATTGACTTCATTTACAACAATTTCTCCTTTAAAAAAAGAAAACCATCATTGTGTGAGCCGCAACTGCACTCTGACATGTCAGCAGTCGCTGTGTGACCGAGAGGGAGCATTTCACAATGACGACGTAAGAGGGAACACTGAAGGCTCCCCAGAGCCGAGGGCACCCTCACCCTCCAACAACAAGCACCAGCCCGGCCTCCCGCCCACCCTGCGTGAGACACAGACACTGAGGCACCACGGGCTTGGAGGCCTGCGACAGCGCAGTCAGAGAGGCCTCTCCTCACTGGAAGGACTCGGAGAAGAAGTGAACTCGCCCTCTCCTTCAGGGCATCACGTGATGGAATGCCCGTACGTTATGAACACGCAGCTAGATCCCCCAAACCAAAGTTTTTGACTTATTTTGTAAGGAATGACAATTAACCTCTAAGTTAACCATGCAATCTATTTATTTTTAATATATTCCAAAAATCCAAATGAAATTTCCCTCTGCACTCAAATTATAACTTAATTGGTGATAACACTTAGAGTTAAAAGGTAAGATGAAAGAATTAAACAAAAAACTAAAATAAAAGTTAAAAATCAGGATACCGACCCACTTCATCTGTTTCTATCAGTTTAAAAACCTTTCACAGAAACAGACAGAACTTGTTTGTGGACAAGCCCGAACACCTGCCACTTCACAAAGATTCCAATTACAGCCTCGAAACAAAGCTGGCCCGGGCAAGGGGGCTCGGTTGGAGTGTCATCCCAATGACCCGAGGTGGTGGGTTCGATCCCAGTCAGGGCACATACAAGAATCAGCCAATAAATACATCAATTAGTGGCTGTCTTTCCCTTTCTCTCTCTCTCTCTCTCTCAAATCAATAAAACAAACAAAACAAAACCAAAGAATTCTCTAAATGACTAAGTGTCACAGCAGGAAGACACTGAACAAAGAACTGATTCACATCCCAGGAGGGACGGAGCAGGACAGTAAGACATTTCATCGTGCCATTCAGACCAGTGCACAATTTAAAACTTATGAATTGTGAACTGTTCATTTCTGGAATGTTCTATGTAGTTGACTTTAGACTGTGGTTGACCGTAGGTAACTGAAACCATGGACAGCGGAATGCAGATTGGGGGAACTCCTGTACAGAGAAACGGTGCAGAGGTCAGCAGGATGGAGTGTTAGCAAATTAGAGATTAAAGACTTAGACCTGACCCTGTTTAAGCAAGGTTTTACTCATGAAGGTTCACGGCCAGTTTCTGCCAGTTCACAGCCCAGGCAGACTGACGGTAGGGAGTGAGGGAGAGAGTAACAAAATGCTGGCCTACACTCCAGCGGCAGCCACCTCGGAGGCAGGGAGCGCCAAACCAAGAGCTCCAGGAGGAGGTACAAACGTAACGCTAAGATCCTGCACTGGTTGCACTGTTCACAGATCTGTGAATCAAAATACTACAAAACCATTCCCCAATCATCTCTAGAGCCTAGCTACAAAAAAGCTATCAAACAACCTAAATCATCCAGCAAAGAAACCTAAGGGTTCCTTGTGTGCAATCCAAGTTGAGGCCAAAAGTAAGAGCAGCACATAAACGGCCCACCCATGTAATGAACATGCAAACAAATACAGACGGCAGTGATCCAACAATGGGTATTTCCATTTCCCAGAGGGCCCTGTGGTCGAATGCTTTTCTGATTTGATCACAAAAGATGCTGACAATCAGTGCACTCATTGTCAATCGAACAGTGAACCCCAGCAATGAAGATGCTGTGGCCCCATAGATGGGAAGAGAGAACCAGCAGAGCTGACGCGCAGCCTGAGCACAGGGGCTGAGGTTTGGCAGGTACTCCAGATAGAGAGTGCCAGTCCCTCCCCCTCATCTGGCTGAAGTGACCTTCCTTGGAGCCCTTGGCACCTCTGCCTTCCTCTACTGCGGCATTTCCTCAGAGAACTGGAACTGTCCAGGGCAGGCGCCCATCTTTTCCAGCTTTGGGCTCCTCTGCCACAAGAAGGACCTTGCACTCACTCACTGACTGGGTACCTGTTGAAGGATTAACTCACTGTTAGCCACAGCACCTCAAGTCCTTCTCGCTGCGCTCCTCCCCCCTCCCCTCCCCTCCAAGAGCAGGACCCTGGGTCGGAAGAGAATCTCACATCCTTGTGACAAAGCGGCTTGGCACTCCACCAGCCTCTGCTTCAGCTCCGCCAGCAACAGGAAGTGCCCTGCCTGCAAAGACATTCCACTTTCTAGCAGTTGAAATGGTCTGCAAGTGCTCCTCAAGCTGGGGCAAAATGTGTCACTGCCATGGAAAGGGCAGAGCCAAGGGCTGAACTCTTTCTACCTCACTGGCACACTCCTAGGCCGACACCCCATCTCCATTATCCAGTTCCACAGCATGACTCTGTGGCCCAAAGACACCTGTGCAGTCAGGAGGGCCCTGCTGCTTAGTGGTTACAGGCATGGCCTGGGAGGGAGCTCAGGGCTGTGGTTCTGCCCTTGCTAGTAGTGAGGCACAGGGCCGCTTACCCTCTGCAACTCCACTCATCTCAAATGAGACAACTGCTACCTACCTGATGGGGTTGTTACAAGGAGCAACCTTTAAGCTATGTGCCAGGTAAAGATCTTAGCAGAAAAGGTCAGAAACCTGCCCAGAAGTAGCCCAGTAAAAAGCAGCAATCTGTGCCTTGCATGGGCTGGACTTGAGAAAAATGCAGCCCTCAGTGTGTGCCCCCGCCTCCCTCGATGTGACCTCAGTCTCGTGCACAGACCCTCTGGGTCGATTGCCAGTACTACCGCAAAGGCAGCTCATGGTACCACTCTGAACGTACCCTAGGCAAACCTGTGCCCAGGCTTGGGGATTGGGGGCAGGTGGCCACACTAGAATGCAAGGTTGGACAGAGAAGGGAAGGACAATTTGTTAAAGGAGGAAGGACACTTGTTAAACGAGGAAGGGAGTGGAGACTCCCAGGCTGACAAAGTAACTCATGCTGAACCATACCTATAACATTATAATTTAATCAAGTGGTTTCCAGGGTCAGATTCCACAAATCAGGTAAACTACAAAATTATTCAGGAAATCAACAGATTTCTTAATTTTTTATTTTGATAACTTAAAAAGTTTTTAGAAAGCCCTGGCTGGTGTAGTTCAGTGGATTAAGCACAGGCCTGCAGAGGAAAGGGTTGCCAGTTCGATTCCCAGTCAGGGCACATGCCTGGGTTGCAGGCCAGGTCCCCAGTAGGGGGCACTCGAGAGGCAACCACCCATTGATGTTTCTCTCTCTCTTTCTCCTTCCCTTCCTCTCTAAAAATAAAGTTTTTTTTAAAAAAACTTTTTAGAAAGCCACAGCTACTATTACTATCTTTTAACAAAAGAACCTACCTACACTAAAGAAGTTGAAAGGACATAATTTCAGAATAAAACACAATCCTTCATATCAAAACAGTTTAGCTCTATAGAAGAGAAAGCTGCATTTTTCTTATTTTTCTCCATTTGACCAAGGGCTGGCCCAGCCTTCATACAACTCTGACTGATGCCAGCCAGGCCCGGGCCGAAACTGAGAACCTCTGACACCACCCTTCCACCCTCTCTGCAGGCAGTGTGGTTGGTGCAAGGTCTTGCTGTGTGACCCGGGCACACGCCTCTGCCAGCTCTTCCCCACTTAGCACACAGCCAGGCACCCAGTATGACCCACATGCTCACTCAATGGATCTGGCAGCTACAAAACAAAAAAAGACACGAGCATAATCTAGCAGTACTTGCTCCTAACAAACATGTCAAACACACCCACTCACCCTATTTTCAAAAGGACTTGGGCAATTTTATGCATATGTAACACAATCATTAAAACGAGTGTCCCATGATGACGGGAGATGAAGAGAAAGCCCAGGAAAAGCTAGTGGCGTTCACTGGGTGCTGCATTTCAATTCCAGGCTCAGGTATAATTTTCTTGAGAAGTGTGGCTCTGGGAAAGGACAGAGACCCACTGGCATAAAATGACAGTCTTCCTCTATGGCTCCAGCTGAGAGAGGTCAGGGTGTGGGCACGCGTGTGCGCACCACTACAGAGCAACTTAAGCAGATGGTCTGAGGAGTTCTTCCACTCACTCAGCTCCTCAGTACAGACTGCTAAACATCGGAACCACTAGGCTGAATCAGGTACAATCTCCACCTTAAGGAGTTTCATGACCAGGCGAACTGAAAATGATTAGCACAACCTAAATTAAATTATTAGTTTCTTCTGTTTTCTCTGCTTCATAAAAGATGAGGATCATTTTAAATTCAGGTTGTAAAGTTCCGACAGAGCACTCTGTAACTGAGCACACAAATAAACAATTGATTTTGTGTTCTAATTTTCATCTGCTTATTGAATTACAAGTTCAAACTGTGGGCAACTGAAGTAGGATATCCTTGAACCGAAGGCATCACGCCAAGGCATAGCATGCAGTGCTATGTCTCGGAACAATGACTTCTTGTTCTGTGTGCCTGTCTGTGTAAAGCCACCGGCGACCTGCCCGAGTTGTCCCTTGGTTTCTGACTGGTGAAGGCCAGATCGCCAAGGCTTTGCTCACTTCCACTTGTGTTCCAGATCTCACATGCGGAGCAGCGGCTGCGGAGCAAAGGAGCTTCCAGTGGCAGTCAAAGGTGACATGACAGGCGCAGAAAGGAACAGAGACCCTGGCAGGGAGCGTGGGGGAAGGAGAAGAGGAGGCAGCAGCGGGCGGGCACTAACTCAGGACTGGCTTCACGCCCTGTAAGGGACAGGTTAAGCGCACACAGAAGGTGGGGTGCCAGCACCACCGGGTATGCAAATGCAGGTCCCGTGTAAAAAATTAACACAGGCCAGGAGATCTAGACTCAGCTGTGATTTCTAGGACAAGTGACCCACTCACAGTCAGGAAGTGAGCTTACATGTTCCCCCAGAAACTGCCTTTTTTGTAGAAAGGCAAGTTTTTAGTTAGTTCCACAGCATGGATGATCCTTCAGTGTAAGTTCTTCAAGTTGATTAATATTGAGAGTATCACAATCTTATCAAACATAAAAGCCAGTTTTTAAAAATCAAGCACTGTATCTGCAGCTAAGACCACGCTGTTGATTAGTGTCAAATCACAGCATCAGAAGCAGACAACCAAAGTCCAAGAGTGGGCTATTCAAAGTAATGGAAGCCGAAGTTCAAGGGCTCAGCAGAGGAGCACTGATTCCCATATACTGGCCCACGCCTGGGGTGACTAAGGCTAAAACCCCACAAACACGAGGAGCAAAGGTTACTTAGTAGTTCCAGTGTTCGCTCTGAGAGCATGAAGGGTGATTTAGCACACACGGTTTGGGTGAAAAGCAAGAACAAAATCAAGACAACAAATTTTAACTAACTCCCATACTAAAGTTTAAAACTTTAAATTGTGAGTCTCCACCATGGTTGATGTTTTTAACAGTTGGTGTTTGTTCCTACTTAACATTTCACATTTTAAAGCACAAGGTTTAAAGGTTCCATATTTATTCAATGACTAAAATATGAGTTGGATCATTTCACTCGATTTAGTATGGAGCAGTGACTAAGATTTTTAACGTTCACAGGAGCCATACAAACTAGTGTCTGAACTGTATTTCAGGTTTAGACCAGGCTCTCCTAAGCAGCTGGCTACTTCCCCCAGGAGCTGCAGCGAACAACCGACTTTTCCTACTTATTATACAATTCAAAGTACCAATCAAAAAGCTCACACACTTTAAAACCAAACTACTACCTGCTGCCAATGCCTACTTCCATCTCTGAGATTTTCTAAAGCATCCTTTGTTCTAACCCGGTTCTTTTCCCCTGAGAGGAAAATTAAAAAGTCATGCCATCAATGCTGGAGGGCATCACCACCAGGAGCAGGGAGAGGGGGCACCTCTGGCATCTAGCAGGTGAAGGCCGGGGATGTCATGCACATCCTATACTGCACAGAACAGGCCCTGCGGTGAGGAACCAGGGGCCCCCATGCCTCGCCTTTCTAAAGGGAAACAGGTAAACTTGCAAATACAGCTGACACCTTCCAGCGACATTTGCCAAGTAAGAGATGCAAAGTTCCCTAAGCTTTGTTACTGGTACAGAGACCCAGCCACTGTGCAAGGGGCTCTTCACGCTACTGAAATGATGATCCAACTAGTGGTCATCAATTCATAAAGCTGCAGACAGACAAGAAGGGAAGAGAAGCTTTCACGACCTAAACAACTGGAGGGCGCTCTAAAAACACTTTGGGCCGACTGGTGTAGCTCAGTGGATTGAGAGCTGGCTGTAAACCAAAGCATTACTGGTTCAATTCCCAGTCAGGGCATATGCCTGGGTTGTAGGCCAGGTCCCCAGTAGGGGGTGCACAAGAGGCAACCACACATTGATATTTCTCTCTCTCCTTCCCTTCCCCTCTAAAATATAAATAAATAAAATCTGTAAAAATAAAAACACTTCAGGAGACAGGAAAGTAGGTGGTCACATTCTCGGCAATTTTCTATGACACTTAAATTTTCAAAGACAAATACCAATTATTATTTTCTGATGTTTAATTGTAAGCAACTTATCTTTTTTCCTCACTCAGTGGTTATTTTTTAATTTTTAATTTTTTTTACTTATTACTTTTACTTTATTTTTTATTTTTGTTTATTTATTGTATTTTTTTTTTTACTTATTTTTTTTTTATTTCTTAACTCCATGTCCCCCATTCACAATACAGACCAGGCAAAGGGCCTGGGCTGAGGTGTGTATGAGGTGAATTCACTCTGCCTCCTCTTTCTGTACAGGCGGTGTAAGAACACAGCCTGTGGTAAGCACCAGCAGGCCAGTGGTGAGATTTTTAACTGGATAAAGCTTAAAGCTTAAAGCTTAAAGCAAAAAGAGGAGGAAAGGTGACCACGTGGTACTAGTCAGAGAAATAACATCGGACCCAAACCCATTCACTTCAGTATCTGTCGGACCTCTAACGTTTACCTGGCAAAAGGACCGGTTCCAGTTTTTTAATCTTCGGTTCCGAATTAATCTTATCGTCAGTCTGAAATACACGAGCAAATTAATCAAAACACAAACTTTCCCTCCCCTTAAGATACTAGAGCAAACTTTGTGTTATAAGGGATGACATATGCGACACGCATAAATCCGCCCCCACCCCCGGCCCTTACATTCTTTCGCATTTTTACCGAATTCTCTTTAAGATCCGCCCACTATCGGCTCGGGAGTTGGATAAAAAAATATTAAAACTGCCTAATGACAGGTATCCTCGTCTACCAGGTGCCCACAAGCGACGCCATCACACTGGCCGTCGCGGCGCGGACCGTCGCCGGGCTAACGAACCCACCTCTGGACGCCCCTAGGGTCTCGTCACACGACAGAACTACCGATGGGAGATCACTGGGCACAGAATGGCTGCGGCGGAGTTTTACAAGTTTTTGCCGCACCAGTGGGGGCAGCCGCGCGGCTGGGGACAGGGGGACGGCGAGGGCCTCCCGGGTTTCCCCGCTCCCGCGGGCCGGCCCGGCGGCTACCTGGAATCTTTGAGGACAGGGGCGCTCGCTGGAAGGGGGTTGTTTACCTGGGGCGGCGGCAGGAGGTAGGACTTGAACGTGGGTCTGGGCGGCTTGAGGGAGAACATGGTGCCGTTGCCTTTTCGCCCCGGTCCGGTCGTAGCCCGGGACCCGCCGCGGGCTAGCGACTGTGCTGACGCCTCCGGACGCCCGCTGGTTTACAGCTCCCCGCGCGGCCGCCCAGGGCCGGTCTGCAGCCAGCCGGGCCGGGCGGACTGGCGGGCGGGGACACGGCGGAGCGCCCGCCCGAGCGGGGAGGAGCCAGGGCAGAGTTGGGCCGACTCGGGCGCCGGAACCCATCCCCGGAAGGGGCCGACGCCCCGCCCCGTGAGACGGTTCGTGCAGCGCCGGCCGGCCGGCCACTCCCCGCCTCTAGGCCGCGGTGGCGGCGGAACGCGAAGTTTGCGCCCCGCACTTGCTGCCGGGACCTCCTCAGAGAGAGCGCCGGGAGGAGGACAGCCCGGTAGCCATCTTGGGAGCAGAAGCTGAGAAGGGCGCCCCTACGGCGGCTCACGGGGGTCATGGAGGACCTCAGGGACCTACGGTGGCCCGCAGGGGTCTGGCGACCACCCCCAGGGATCTACGGCGGTCCGCGGGGGCCATGGCACGAGCGGGAGTTAGACTTTGACCGTGGACGTTGGCTCTAGACATTCTGTTTCGCGACTGTTTCTCTTTTCCTGGGACAGTTCTCTTGATTATTGTTCGTTAGTCATGCAGTGGGCGCGATCATAGTTTGAAGTCCTCAGGAGGAGCCCGGGCGGAGGGAAGGGACTCTGGTGCCCTGATGTGGACCAGCCCCACTGCGCCCAGCGTGTGAGGGACTTACTCCGGGAGAGCGGACCCATGGGTGCCCTGCGTGTGGAGATGCCGCTGGTGATGACCCTCCTCAGACGTTCACCGCAGTTGGTACCGCATATACAGCCCCCTTAGATGTCCCACACCTGAGCGAGATTCCACCACCTGAATGGTGTCTCCGTGCGGAGCTTTGCGACCGGGATGTCCTGCCCGCCGAGCTGACGGCCCATTTCCCCGGGATGCTCGCACTTGCGTGGCCACTGCTAATGACATTGGCAGCCCAGCCTGACCCCTCGATTTCGTGTGTTTACTGCTACCCTCCTTATTAAATTTTAATGTAGAAAAAGATATTAAGCGAGTTATCTCCTTTCTTTTCTTTTTCCTCCTCGTATGTAAAGATGTGAGTGAGCAGCCGCTAAGTGATCAAAAGCCCTAGCAGAGTAGGGGCTTCCACAGGCAACGGACCAAATAATCTGCCCATTCATTGCAAAGGACAGACGCATTTCAGCGTACCCGAAACTCTTAACAAATTTCTGAAGTTAATGTATTTCTGACCTGGAGCAGCCTTTGGTGGAAGGGCAGATGGTGTTACATTTCCGTGAATCTTTTCGTTGAGACTAAACCCTTCTTAGGCTTTGAAGAATAAAACCCTAGTCCATTTTATAAGTAATGTCACAAGGAAGCTCCAGTGTGGCCCTATGAATTAGAGTGACAAGTGTTGCTAAAGGAAATATTTAAAAACTTAGAGATTTCAAACGTTGCTTCCCCCTCCCCCGAAAATTTTCCTGATTCAGCCCCCTCCTGATCATTCCAGTTAACTTGTCTGAGTGACACGTGACTTCATTTTGCTCTGGAACCACAATTGTGTTTTGACATGTTAAGTCCACTGGGTTATAGGTGTTAAAAAATACTGTTATGCAAAAACATTAAAAACTTCTTTATGAATACTTTGTGATTTCTCTACATTAAATAGATGAAACAAAACAAAATAAAAAACAAACAGAGAAAGACCAGATTTATGGTTACCAGGTTGGGGGTGGGGTGGGCAGAGGACTGGAGAAATGTGGCTGAAAGGTACAAACTTTCAGTGTATAATTGGAATAAATAAGTACTTTAATTGGAATAAATAAATCTAATGGGAATAAATAAGTACTGGGGATGTAATGTACAACATGATGAGTAGATTACGCTGCTGTATGGCATACATGAAAGTTGGTAAGTGTATATCCTAACCATTCTCATTGCAAGGAAAAAAATTTCCTTGCTTCTTTTTATTGTATCCGAGATGATGGGTGCAAACTACGCCTATTATGGTCATCATTTCACAATCTATGTAAGTGAAAAATCATCGTGCTGTACACCTTAAAATTATGCAGGGATGTATGTCAATTGCATCTCAAGAAAACTGGAAAAAAATAGATTTTTACCCACACACACTCTTCAGCAATATGTGGGTGTTCTTTAGTTTCCGATGACTGACTCTGTGACTTACTTTTCCCCATGTAGGTTTCCTTAGAATCTCAAACTATAACACGGGACCATGTGATTGCAAAGTGGGAAAACTCTGATTTCCAGATTTGTTGTTAACGTCACCCTAATTTTTATGACAGCTTCAGACACCTAATTGTGTTAGTCTGCTTGGGATGCCATCACAAAAGTACCACCGTCTGGGTGGCTTAAAGAATGGAAGTTGATTTCTCACAGTTCTGGAGGCTGGAAGTCCAAGGTCAAGGCAGGTTACTGGCGCTAGCTCAGAGGCTTTGTCCTCACATGGCTGATGGAGAGAGAGGAGGGTGCAAGCTCGTGAATGTTGGAGAGTGCTCTGGTGTCTTCTTATAGGGCACAAATCACGTAGGGCCCCAACCTTTATGACCTCATTCAACCTAAAGGCTCTATCTCCAAGTATAGTCACGCTGCAGTCAGGGTTTCAACACGGGAATTTGGGGAGGACACAACACTGTCCCTAGAGCTAGTCTTTTGGCCTCTTGTCAGTCCTGACCTCTTTGACTATCCTGTGGGTTCGAGGTTGCTGGCTATCCCTTCTTTTGGCTCAATTGTCACTATTTTGTCCTCTTCCTCCTATTTTTCTGGCTCTCTTTCCATCCTTGGTTCTTCTGTCATGGGGGATAGCAGCATTCTCTGGGGACGATTTTCTTTTCCCTGTGCAGAAAAGAGCTAGCATTTCTTGACTGCCTACTAGATCCTAGGTACTTCATATATTCATTCAATTAGTTACCAAATTTGTACTGAATGCTGGCTTTGTGCTAAAAACTATTTGGGTCACTGAGAAGACAAAATTCCTACTTTCATGGCATTTTCATTGTGGGTAGAAACATATGTATTTTCATGTGAGGACAATTAATGTCCGTGTATCATATACATACACCTTATATATCAAATAGATATACCATATATATTCATTGGATGATAGAGAACCAATTACCTTGAAAATTGTCAAGTAAAGGGAAAAAATCCATCATTATTCCTGCTGTATGTACAGAGTGAATTTATCACTCTGTAACCAGGTAGGAGGTGAAAGGAATCATCTCCTGTTCTAACTAATGAAAGAAATAATAGGATTAAAGTATTACAATTTTCAGCCTCCTATGAATTAGGAGATCTAGGCATTGAATATCACCAGCTGCTGACATCGCAAAAAGACAGATGAATAAGCTAGTGGGCCTCCTAGTGAAAGAAGCAACATCGCCCAGGTAGCCTTGGCAAACGGTTTGAACCTAAGCCAGAATAAGCCTCTGATTCCTCTGCCAACTTGGGAGAACAGTGCAGCATGTTGAACTGCCCATGGGTAGCCAGCCAGTAAAATTTAAACTCTGACAAACGTTACAAGACAAAATGGCCCATGTTCTCCAACAGATTAACTGTAAGGAGGAGAAAAGGTTTCAGGAGCCTGGGTGGGTCGTCAGTAAGTGAAAACAAAGAGTGAGATGAAACTATAGCGCTGAGGAGCAGCCAGGTGACAAAACCATGACGAAATGCAAGTGTGGCCACTTAAAAACACGTCTGCAAAATCGGTAACACTCCTCCCAGATAGGACCCCTCCCTTAGAATCTGGGCTGGCTTTGGTGACTCATCGCCAGCCAAGCGATGCAATCTCAGTTGATTCTGCGTGACTCCTAAAGCCATGAAAGAAGCAATGGCATTTCCTCCTCATTTGCTGGGACGCTCACTTTCGGAAGACTGAACTGCTACACAAGAGATGTGATTTCTTCTAAACTGTCGTTATGTGAGGGAGCCCAGGCCACCTGGACAGGCCATGCTCCTGTGTCCTTGTGGAGGACAGCTCTAGTGGCGAGTCCCATTCCAGCCCACAGCCCACACGGGAGGGAAGATGCTTCTGGAGGCTTCCAGCCTCCACCCCCAGACACTCGGTCGCCCCAGTTCAAACACCATGGAGTAGCAGCAGCCAGTTAGTAGCGGCAGCCAGTGAGTACTGGCTTGCAGAAGCCAGCTGTGGGTATCTTTCCCCAGCTCCACATTCAGACGCCACGTGGATAGCTTGGAACTGGCCATCGTAGGAGCCTTTACACCAGGCAAATCAGCCAAGGCCATAGATCAGGGGCATTCCTGCTGTGCCTTGTCCGAATTCCTGACCTGCGGGGTCCATGAGGAAATAAAACCGGCGGTTTAAGCCGCCCAGCGCTGGAGTCATACTTTTACAGCCAGGAAGTCTTCACTATGAAAGGACAGCGGTTACTTTGCGGGGAGGAGGGTGGGCCTTTGAACTTGCAGAGTGAAGCACGACCCCTTCCGTTCTCGGCCATGAACAGCCTCGGCAGTTCCCGACAGTTCCCACCTGGAACACGTGCCCTTTAAGTTCTAGCCACAACTTTGCACGAGCCATTGTGTGCGGAGGTACTACTAATGTGTGATTGCTACCAAGGACTATAGGAGGATAAGAAAATGCATATTGGCTCCTTTATTTTCACACATTAACAAAGCTCTTGGTCACCCTAAAGTATTAACAGTGCAATCTTTGATATTTCTCTCACTGTGTAATTTTTTTTAAAGATTTTATTTATTTATTTTTAAAGAGGGGAAGGGAGAAAGAAAGATAGGGAGAGAATGTGTGGTTGCCTCTCGTGCACCCCCTACTGCAGACATGGCCTGCAACCCAGGCATGTGCCCTGACTGGGAATCGAACTGGCAACCCTTTGGTTTGTAGGCCGGTGCTCAATCCACTGAGCCACACCAGCCAGGGCTCACTGTGTAATTTTAAAACAATAACATGTAAAACAGAACCCAAGTAGAACATGTGGTGTTCATGGCTCCTTTCTACTTCTCACTTCTTGTAGCTCATAACTTTATTTTTCTCTCCTTCACCCCTCCTTTTTTACACTTTTGTTTTCTCCTTATTTTCTCCCTCTTACACAATTCCTTACTCCTTAAGTAACCAATTAGTGGCACCCAGAGGCATCTCCTAGGCTATTTACTAGCCCTCAGAAATAGAGACTGTAGGTTCTTTGTGTTTTCTTTTAAGATTTTATTAATTTATTTCTAGACAGAGGGGAAGAGAGGGAGAAAGTGAGGGAGAGAAATATCAATGTGTGGTTGCCTCTTACATGCCCCCAAATGGGGGCCCAGCTGGCAACCGAGGCATGTGCACTGACTGGGAATCGAACCAGCGACCCTTTCATTTGCAGACTGGCACTCAATCCACTGAGCCACACCAGCCACGGCAAAGTTGTAGACTCTTGTATACTGATTAAGTAATTAACCTCCATTGGAGTATCATCAGTTTCACTTGATCCTACTCCAACTTAAAAAACAACAACTAAGTTTACTGACAGATGCTAACAAAATATTCCTTTAAGTTTAGTGCATTCCATTTTAATTGCAAGTCCAAATGGCCAAATGCGTTTAATGAAAACGTTTTCAGAGACCGAGGATCCAAGATGGTACTCATTAGTGGCTTTGACTTAAAAATCAGGCAAACCGAACACATCAGCATTCAGTTTCAGTGGACGTTTTCTCTTGCTTAAGAGTCTCTGTTTTAGGTCCAGACACGACTCCCAGGTTACTAACGCTGCTGGCGTGTCCAGATCTGCCTAACTTGCCCTGAACAGCTTTAGCATTCCTAGGGTGGCCGTGTAAACTTTTTGACCTTGAAGACACGAAGCCCAGAGTTTGGTCTGGTTTCACGGCCAGTAAGTTCCCCGTTTCTGTTCTCTCTGTGACGGCGAGTGACAAGCGAGAGATTCGAGGGACCCTCATGGGAACGCAGCTGTCATCTTCGAGATCTGTGGATGGGTCTTTAAGCTCTGCCTGCATTGCAGCTTCCGACACAGCATAGGGGATATCGGTGCTACGAGACCGTGTGATCTTCTGAACTTCGTATTTCCACTCTGTCGTCCACTGCTGCCCCGCGGAGGGACAGGCTCGGTCCATGATCGAGCTGTACTCCGCACACCAGTTGTTAAGCCCACCGCTGACCAGCTTTGTCCCGTGGGCATATACAAAACTTCTGGACTCCACGGTTTGACAAGCCCCGAACATTTCGTCAGGGTGACAGCGTGTCATGTTCGTGTCTTCCAGGGGACAGGAAACAGTGCCTTCTATCTGTGCTGTTCCCACTGTCAGCTGAGTGTTTGAATCATCGGATTTATTCAGTCCAGGCATGACATCCATTTGATTTGAACCTGGGGAAATGGTGTCTCCTCTTTCAGAGTCGGCCTGCCTTTGGTCAGCGTCTGAAATCCCGATTTCTGGACCTAACTTTGGCTCTGAAGCGTGGTTTAAGTGGTCTAACGCCAGGTGGCTGCCCTCGCGGGTCGCCGGGGCGCTCGCGCTGGGTAAGAGGTGAAGGCTGCCCTGGCGCTCTGCAGCGGTCAGGTGCATTTTCAGGTCCTTTTCTTCCTTCATGCGGAAGGAGCGGGCTTTCTTCCGGAAGCCTGTCCCCAGCAGCATGGACACAGACGCGTCCTCACAGGCCAGCTCCTCTGCGTTGAAGTGGAACCTGCTCCCGCAGCTGTCGGCGCTGCGGACACTGCTCTGCCGCAGAAGGTGAGTCGCTTCGCATTCGGAAGAAGCGCGGGACCGCGTTGGTATCAGCTCCCATTTGTCCGCCCCCGCGAGGTGTTCCAGCGCGGCCACCATCCTGCTGGACAGGTCCTCCAGCTGAGTCAGTCGGAGGTCGACCGTCTGCAGGGACGTCTTCATAAACTGCTCCCGCTCATTGATCTCTTCCAGCCTCATCGACATATTTTCAACTCTGGCGAAAGCAAAGGGATCCGTTTATTCCACCACGCGGAATCAAACACTAGACAACAGCAACAACAAAATAAACACTATTGTGCTGTTACCTGATCTTACAGTCTTTTGGGAATCGTGGAGCTCCTTGGGACTGTTTTTGAACTTCATACGCGCCTAACCAAGCTGCTACAAATGACCGTTAGGAGCGTAATTTTAAAATACACCTAACACACACAGTTCTGTTTACCATTGGCTGCTCCCCAGTGCCTTACGGATTCATCGATAAGGATTTGCTGAGGGACTCTTCCCGGCTGGTTTAATCCTCACCGCAGCTCTGTGAGGTAGGCACAGAGTGCCAGCGACATGCCCAAGGCCACAGGGCTGGTCAGCGCTGGCCCTGAGATTGGGGGGCACGAGGGGCAGCCCCGCCCTGGCTTCTGCCCCTCAGCTGCTACCTTACATTGCCTCTGATCACAAAGGCAGGCACGAGCCCTCAGGGTTTCCACCTCTGGTTATGGCTGTGAGCAAGTAATTGTTAGGATGACGAATGAAATATATTAATATCCTTCCTTGAAGTTCCAGGAATTCAGAAAATAAATTGTTAATAATAAAGTCTGGGTTATCAGATGGTTTACTTAAGGCACATGAGGTCATTTAATTGTGTGAAGACCAGTAACTTTCAATTGTTCATTATATTAATCACTAGTATTTCCCTAATGGGGTTGTAAGACGGAGATCATGGCAGATTATAAATATCTGCTGTTAGATTTCTCTTTTTAAAAGATTTTATTTATTTATTTTTAGAGAGAGGGGAGGGGAGGGAGAAGAGAGGGAGAGAAACATCACTGTGAGGGAGAAACTTCAGTCAGTTGCCCCTTGCACGTGCCCCAACCAGGGACTGAACCTACAACCTAGAGATGTGCCCTGACTGGGATTCGAACCGGCGATCTTTCGCTCTTCAGGACAATGACCTACCCACTGAGCCACCCCCGCCTAGGGCAAATTTCTTTTTAAACTCCTGGAAGATCAGGCAAGAGCCGATGAAACCATCCTGCAGCCTGAACAGCAAGCTTCTGATGTAGACTACATTTTATATCTCGAGAATACTCACACTATGAAGTCTTTCAATGCATTCATGAAATTTAACTCTTAACAGGCAGCAAGTTATGCTCAGGGCCCAGGATTGCCTCTAAAAGTTGAATTTGTCCCCGGGGTGGCGGGGCAGAGGAGATCCTGGGGCCTCTGAACCGGGCAGGGTGGCAATCTGCTCGGGCAGGTTCATCCTTGCCTGAAGGCGAACACCTGGTCTGATTGTGTCGTGTATTGGTTTCTTACGGCCTCTTGTACAGGCAATGTCAAGGGTCACCTAGTAGGTCTCTGCCGCCCTCCCTACACGGCCTTATAAATTCCCTCCCCTGTTCTCCCTTACCTCTTTTAGTCACTTCCTGTTACCTGCTGCTTTTTTTAAAATTTCATTTTATTGATTTGAGAGAGAGATAGAAACATCGCTTTGTTGTTCCTCTTATGGTTGCTTCCTGTATGTGCTGTGACCGGGGATCGAACCTGCAACCTTGGTATATGGAGACAATTGATCTAACCAACTGAGCCACCAGGCCTGGGGCCTGTTGTTCTTCGCAGGAAGTTCCTGCTCCCTGCCTGACCACGGTCTCCGGAGGGCTCCTCGCTCTTGCCACTTCTGCCACTACCTGCCCCACATTCCCCCAGAACTGCCTTTGCTAACGTGCTGCTTCCGTGGTCACGCTGACAGCTGCCCTCTGACACGTGGGAGGGTCTCGGGCTTCTCTTCTCAACTCTTTTCATGGGGAGAGAACTGTTTATGCCCCAGAGGAAACCACATTATCTGAGCAGGAAGGAAGTTTGCAACCAGGAGGATCAAATTTACCAAGTTCATCTTTTAAGGGTTTCTGGCCAGAGACATGACAGATTCTAAAGGGTCTCTCTCTCCTCTGGCATTGTGGGGACCAACAGCAGTGCCTGTCACTTCTCAGTATCCATGACTTTGAGGAAGACTTGGCTTTCTCTGTTAATATCATGCCTCCTTGCTCACTTCAAATCTATCACCCTCAATGATTCCTTCTGTGTTATAATCCACGTGGCCTTTGTAATGATCAAACTTGAGATTTTTTTTTTAAACAAACACTACCTTTAGAGATAAGGCAGTCATGCAAACTTTCATAAACAAATCAGCTGGGAAAATAGAGACCTGTATCTTCCCTCTCAAGCGTTCTGTGGTTCCCTGCCGGTTTTTCCCTGTATTACCTAATCCAGATGCTGGCTTTGGCAGCCACTCACACTCGAAGTAACCTCCAAGTCATGTGATTCCTTCGTCTCCCTTACACTCTCTAAACTCCCCTCCCGCTGCAGGGAGTAAGATGTCAGGCCCTGGGGTAGGGCCGCTCTTTTGGTGCCTTTAAATTTTTCTTTTCTGTTTTATTGATTCTAGAGAGAAGAGAGGGAGGGAGGAAGAGAGGGAGAGAATCACGGATGTGTGAGAGAAACGTCGGTACGTTGCCTCTAGCACGTGCCCTGACTGTGGACTGAACCTGCAACTCAGGCATATGCCCTGACCAGGAATCCAACCCGTGACCCTTTGGTTTGCCGGACATTGCCCAACCAACCATGCCACGCCGGCCAGGGCATTTTAGGTGTGTTAAATCTTTCGTTCCCACTGCCCTTCCCCTAGTTGAAGCTTAGAAAGAGACAATGCTCCATGGTGCAGCTCAGATTAAGAAAAATGATAAAGATGCTTCTTCCAAGCCCATTTTAGACATCTGTGCCAAATGGAGGCAAGTCATACTGACTTTTCACAGCATGTGTGAAAGGAGAAAGAAAAATGAGTTTAGGTTCACGTGCTTCTGAAACGATGAACAGAAAGGACGCATTTCCTGCATTAGTCACGTTTTGTGACTTTCCCACAATTACTTAAAACAAGCTTCCCGAACTGCGACATCCATACAAGAAGTGATTTCCACTGCAGATGGGGAGAGACGGACTATCTGGGTGACAACTGCGCAAGTGTCCCTGATCTATTTGCACAGAGAGTGGCAGGAAAACAAGTCAGGAGAAAGCGGCTTTCTGAGCTTCCGGTGCCCTAATTCCGTTCTCCTTTCAACAGGGCAAATTATTTTTCAGCACAGCACAGGCTGAAGTATTCTCGGTCCAAAGTGATTTGCCATGACATAAAGTGGATTCCCTCTTCAAGACCTGTTTCTGATTCAGCGTATTTCCAGTTAAAGTTATCATACAGTCCGTGGACTATTTTTTCTTTTGGTGTCCAGTTTGAGGACTTTTAGCCCTTGCACAGGTTTCTATAACCAACGTCACGACCAGGATCCAAGGTCATTCCATCAGCCCCCAAACTTCTCCCTGCTCTACATCTGTAGCCACACCCCTTCCACCCCAGTCCCAGCAACCAGGGACCAGTTCTCCACCTGCCCCATCCTATCTTTTTTGAGAACGTTAAATAAATGGAATCACACAGTGGTTAGCCTTTGGAGACTGGCTACTTTCCGCAGAATGTCTTTGACATTCACACAAGTTGTTGCACGGGCCTGTCATTCAAGCCTTTCTATTGCTGAGGAGTTACTGGGCATGCAAGCACCACAACATCTGTTGAAGGACATTTGGGTTATTTCCAGCATTTTTGGCAAGTCTAAAAGGTGCAGCTATGAACACGTACAAGTTTTCTTCTGTGAACATAGGCTTTAAAAACATCTTTCTTTTTTAACTTTAATGTAATTAATTTATTTTTAGGGAGGGCGAAGGGAGGGAGAAAGAGAGGGAGAGACACATCAATGGGTGGTTGCCTCTCGTGCGCCCCCTACTGGGGAACCTGGCCTACAACCCAGGCATGTGCCCTGACTGGGAATCCAACTGGTGACCCACTGGATTGAGGCTGGTGCTCAATCCATTGAGCCATATCAGCCAGGGCGCCACAGCTTTTTCAAAGTCCTATATACATCTATACATTTCTCAGCCTTTCCACCCAAACTTTTTGGTTAGTCTGTTGTGTGCCCCAGTGCTGGAATCTATCACAGAAGGGGGCAGGAACTAAAACATTTGGCACCGCCACCTCCATGCCCCCCAGCTAGCAGCTTTGGCCCTGGGCCAGTTCCAAGTTAAAGGAAATTAAGACTAGTCTTTCCAGCCAGTCTTTCGGGGAACCACCAGGCAGAACAGGACAAAGAATTACAATTCTTTGGGGATGAGGTCCTTTCTGCTTCCACTGGTACCAGGAATTCCAGCTGTTCTGTTTGGGGTTACCCAAACAGAGCAGTGCGGGGTGGGGGTGGGGGTGAGACTGGTTAGTTAAAATGCCTTAAAGCTCGCTTTCCAAAAAACAAAAAGCAACAGCAATGCAGCAAGCCCCAGCCATGTCTCTTGAATGAGCACTGCACAGACTGCTACAAGTCACTGGCTGATTTCCAGATTTCCAAAAAAGTTGATCCTGAAAGGTTTTTTTTTTCCCCATTGGGCCAGTTTTGCTATTTCTACTACAAAGGGGTGAAATTGGAGTTTCTTACTCGACCATTTTTTGTTCACTTCATCTCCCTGAGGAGTTCACTATGTTACCAAAGGAGGAGATGCCCCCCATATATACTCACATGCACTCAGGTTGGGGGTAGGTCTGTAGTTTCTAAATGACTTTATTTGGGGGGTTCCTTTTATTTTTCTTTTTTTAAAGATTTTATTTATTTATTTTTAGAGAGAGAGGAAGGGAAGGAGAAAGTGAGGGAGAGAAACATCAATGTGTGATTGCCTCTTGCACGCCCCCTACTGGGGACCCAGGCATGTGCCCTGACTGGGAATCGAACCGGCAACTCTTTGGTTCACAGGCTGGTGCTCAATCCACTGAGCCACATCAGCCAAAGCTGGTTGTGCCCCTCTCTACAGTCTCCCTGGTATGTCTAGTTCCCTGGAGCTCCCCCTTTTCGATTAGAAATCTAGGACTTGAATTAATCTGCTCAGACCTATGCTCCCACAACAAGGGTAGCATGA